ACAAGGAACTTCTGACCTTTTCTGCCCCATATAGTAACGAGTTGAGTGTAGTGACCGTTTAAAATGTTTTGTGTAACAGGGCTGACTATAGCACCGGAAACTTTTAGTGTTGGTGTGGGTGTGTTGCTGATTGGAACAAGATGAAATGCAAACCAGTTTGAAGACTTCAATTCCAAAACACTAAACATTTGTTACTGACTGGTGTGCAGGGTTTAAACTACATGATATCAGATCAGTAGCAACATGAACTTGTGGTGTTGATTACAAACCAAAAATAGATCGGGATAGTCTTATTGTTTTATCCTGTGTGAAGTGACACTGATGTGGCATCTGCAACACCTGAACTCATCCCGCTAGAAAAACTGGCAAGTCTGAATTTTTGGCAGCTCTTGTTCCTCCGTCCTGGCTCTCGTCATCCCTCCTTATCATGAGTGAAACTATGAAACTGTGGAATGTGCTTTCTGGCAACAAAGACACATCGTGAGCTGATAGTATAGTTTGGCTGATGACTAGTGATGATAACATTTGGTGGAATATGTTGTTTTTACCTTACCGATAATCATTTACAGCAGTGTGCTGAATTTTAAATGTTATATTTATTTCAAGTCTTCTGAAGGTCACTTCGAAATGTTTGCTAGAGATACTTCCATCACATGACATCTCCTGTTTTTTGTTTTTAGCCTGCACTAAAAAAGTGTATTAGTGCAAAACAGTAACAGTAATTTGACAAAAAATGAATGGAACAGTGGCTGAGTCTGTACTGACACTGACTAAGAGTGATGAAGTACTCACCTGATGATAAGTGAAGCAACCCCACCCACTGAGGAGGGCTGCACGCTGCGGTTAGAAGACCTGTGTGTAGGGAATTTCATTGTTTTTTTGTCGTGCTGCTGTTTCCGAGGTCAAGAATGAACCTTGAAGCTCGGTGTTTGTTTTGGTAGTTAAACAGGTGTTCCTGGCTGCCGTGGTGACCGCTCAGCTCCCGGCAGCTGACGGCGGCACACTGTGGTTCTGCAGCATCATTTTCCTCTGGAGGAGGAGAGGTTAAAGCTGTGACGTCTTATCACTCAGCTGTGTGTGAGCGTGTGCACTCAAGTCCTTAATGAGTTTCTGTGGTCAGCCAGCTGTCAAGGCCGCTCAGTGACTAACACTGGCCCTGCTGCAAACACACACACACACACACACACACACACACACGCACAGGTGAACAGGTGACCTATGACATGCTTCCCTCACTTAAGAACACATGACTGCGTTCACTCAATAGCTCTTCACGGAGTAACCACTGAAACAGTGGGACAGAGTGACGACAGATGTGTGTGAGAGAGAGAGAGAGAGGGAGAAAAGCAGAGGTGATTGGGAGATCAGCCGCTACAGTTATAGGCGAGCAGCTGTCGGTTAACTGTGTTGTGGAATGAGCTAATAGAGCTTTCTTGTGGTCTCTGTCTCATACAAACAATCGATTAATGTCCAAACCAAGTGTAAAGCAAAAAGGGAAATGAGCGATGCCGGTTGCAGATCCACCTGACGTCCGGACAGAGGGTGACCTGGTCCAGGTCGGGAGTATTCCACACACCGTGGTGGAAATGGAAATAAATGGAGGTGGTTCCAGTCGTTGCAGCAGTATGCTCTTCACAGGATTAGCTGATCAGTTCAAGTGCAAACTCTTTGATATTAAGCTTTGTTGAGAAACTGCCAAGTGGCATGCAGTTAAAGGCTTTCTCCACTTTCATCTTATCACCAGCAGGCCGTTCAGTTTTTAGTTTTTTATTTACACTGTGTCAAATTAACGAAAGCAGGCATTCCTGAAAAACAATAAGGTTGTGGAGACCATGTGACTGACTGAAACAGCTCATGTTTCCAATAGCAGTTTTTTTTTTTGGAGTGGTGTCCAATGAGTTTTGTTTTGAAAAAAAGTTAGAATGAGATCAGAAGCCTCGTTAACTTACATGACAGAGTAGCACCTGTCAGTAGCGCTCCTGATCCCCCTACGTCAGGGAGCCACTCTACGCTGTTTAACTCCCGTTACGTTTACATTCAAATAACTGTACAAACACATACTGGAGGAATGCCTGCACTCCTCCAAAGTCATTCGAAGAAGGAAAAGAACAAACAAACTTTAAAGACTGAAATACAAGAGATAAAGACGCACAAAAATAGAAATGCCATTATATATAATGCAGTATACTGTATATTAGTGTGTGTGTGTGTGTGTGTGTGTGTGTGTTGATTTACTCAAGTGTGCACATGCGCTGGCTCTGTAAGGATTCACCAGCAGGTCTATTGCAATGGATTCAAATGGTCTACTGTTGTTTTTCTATGGCACCAGGAGTAATTTGCATTATCTGAACTGTATTGCATGCAAGTTATGAAGATAGGCAATAGTACTATGCCCCACTCCACCTCCGTGTTTTGTCCAGTTTGTGTATCATGACTCTGTGTCTCCTGAGAGGAAAAGGAGAAACAGAGGCATGTCAGTAGCTCTGGGTGACCTTGGTTTCTGTTCTGACCAGAGTTTAATCTCTGCCACACTGCTGACACAGTCAGATAACAACCACCATTAATACAGACTCATTACCCCCCTCAGTGCTGCACAATGTGAAGGGAAGGGTTGTGGGTTGTGGGAGTCAGGAGACCTCAGGAGAAGGTCACAGTCAGCCAGATATATCAGAAAAATATTCTATTTGGACAATAGGGTTTGAATGCAGTAATATTTTTTAATAAATGTGATGATAATTCCACCTTTTCATTCTGTAAATGAAAATGTTGTACAGTTAATATGAAATTAAGTTCAGATAAATGTTTATAGGAGGTCAGAAGCTAACATCCTCTCTCACTCTCACACACACACACACACACACACACACACACACACACTGGTCTTTCTGTCCATTGTTGGTGCTGCTGACCTTGGACCTGCTCTGGCTTGTAATACTGGGAAGTGAAAGTGATTTTAATGTTGGTTGTGTAGGAAACATTATCACAGAAATAAAAAATATCACATGTTTCTTGGTGTCTGCAGCTCAGCAACAGATGATTGTGTACAAGTAGTACACTTTCAAATAGAAAGCAGATCAGAGGAGGAGGAAGAGGAAGAAGAAGAGGGGGTATGAACAGGAAGAGAAATTAAGCAGAACTCCTCAGGAGATCCCGTTGACCCTTAACCTTTCATTTCCTGTGTGAAACACACATACATCCAACCCCACTTTAGCCGCAGCCCATAGCCCCCAGCCGTGTGTGAGTGCAGCTGATCCACCACACTCCTGACACATGACTGCTGTTTCTCTCTCCCACACACACACACACACACACACACACACACACACACACACACACACACACACACACACACACACACACACAGAGTTGTGTCTGGTTGTGTCAGGCTTTGCAGCAGAAATGAAACACTATTGCTCTCTCTGTCTCTAAACTGTGCAGATTGACACCAGGCCAAACTTTTCCGATCGGTTCAAGCTATTGGCTGATATCACACTCTGTAATTCTCAATATGTGATATAATCTCAGTCTAAGAGTCAGTATTTCCCATGTGTGTGATAACATATATTTCCTGCTTCCTGGTGATCTTTAAACACAGTCAAAAGCTTCGCCATCACATAAGCTGTTGAATGAACAATCATTTTGTCATAAGTTTTATATTTCTTCATATTATTTACATGTAACTCAGAGCTGCTAACAAACTACAGCAGAGAAAGGAGGTATTTATCTTCAACATGGCTACATATGTTTGACTTGACACTGTTATTAGATGAGGCGTGTGTGACATGAGAGCAGCTGCTGAGCAGATTTTATTTTTCATTAATAAACTCATCTGGATCTCACAGAGCTGTTGTCACTTTCCAAGACATGACGCTGTTGTGCCTGAACATGATTAATAGAAACACATGTGCCTGAAAAACCTGGAGTGACATTACAGATATCCACAGCTTGTTTACAACTAGTCAAAACAGGATTAGAAGATACAGTACCTCTAGTGACTGTACGTTTAGATGAGTTTCAGTGCTAATTTAACAATCGCAAGACTGGTGTTACTAGCATCAATTGCATGGAGCCTTTTTCCTACTGTTTAATTTTTACTACTTGAAATCTGACCCCTAGATACCTCTATTTAAATAATGACTGATACTCATAATCAAGATATAAGCAGTTATAGTTATAGTTACAGTCAATGATTCCTCACAATTGAACCTCATGTATCTTTGAATAAAATTATTATTAAGACTTAAGTTTCTGCTGGTAATGTGGTTTTGATGAATGCCTGCTGGAGCTGGAGATAAGACTGTCAGCAGTTGTTGTAACCACTGGTTGAGGGTTTCACAGCCGAACTCGAGCAAAGATCAAGCTGATTTATAAAAAAAAAAAAAAAAAAAATTTAAAAAAGCATTGCTGCTGATTTATTGATTTATCAAAAGAGCGAACAGGGTGAAACATTAATAGGCTGCAGTAATGGGATTAATGATTGAACATTTTGGAGTTTATAAATTTAATGTTCCTGTCAGCTGATTTAACGTGACTGTAAATGTCAAACACCAAGTACACAGAGACCAGCGTCTGTTTGAGTAACAACAAAGCAACAAGTGGAGCAAGGCGGCGAAATGTGAAGGAGCCAGACGAGAAAACTTCACAAGTTTGTCTATTTACCTGCCAAACACCATGAAGAACTTTGTGGAGAGATCTGAACGTTTGGAAAACAAAACAAGGGAGCTTTAATGGAAGTGTAGTTAGAGGAGAAAGTGGTAAAATACACTACAGATACAGTCTGTTGTATTTTTACCATTTAGTCATAGATTTGAATCCAGAATACATCTAGTGAGTCTGTTTTTGTTTGACTTGTAGACTGTGGCAAAACAACAAAGAAGAAAGTTGTTTCTAACTGTATTAAATGTTTGATGAAATGTGAACTAACGCCAGACCAAATTGTAACTGCTACCAAAGGCTGATTATATCTTATTAAAATGTAAACTTTGTGTGCTTGCTTTCAGAAAACTATCCTGTCAGCGGCTCTGACGGGAAGACCGAGTCAGTGGCGAACCTTCAGCCGCAGCCGTCTCTCAGCTCGCTGCAGTCCAGCTCTCCTGGTCCCAAACGCTCCGGAAACACTCTGAGAAAATGGCTGACCAGTCCGGTCCGCCGCCTCAGCCACGGCAGCTCCATCAAGAAGCTCCCTAATAACAAACAGAAGAAAACCGGTAAGACAGGCAGAAATAAACGGGTCAACAACAAACAGAACCGCAGTAATAACACGTTACTGACAAGTTAGAGCAGTTCTGAGACCACAAGCCGAGCTCCATCCACGTAAATCTGAAGACAACTCATATTGGCAAAAGTGGAATAATGAGACTTTACAGAGCCAAAAGCCAACTCCACCACAAGCTGCCACATTTCAAATTCTATAAATTCTTCTTCTTTTTTTTTCCATGTAGCCACTAGTTTCAGTTCATTTTCATATGTTGTGGAAAAACAAGTTCATAACGCTGTTGCAAGGAGGGACCTTTAAAGGTTTCTGCTCAACAGCATTACACTCATGTTTCAAACATTTTCTGTCGATAAAGTATCAGAACAATTTGTTTTTGTTGCATTGAAAATGAGGCTTATTGGCTGTGAAATGTCAAATGTCAGAGGATTCTTGAAGACTATAGAAGCTCCTGCTGACAGCTGCATCAGCATGTGTAAATAACACAACTTTGATGCAAAAATACCCATTTCAAGTCTCTGCAGGACTTACTGTGTAATTTGTGGTTCATGAGCTAAATGTTAAAATTGATCAGTGTGATTCTTCTGTCATTCCAGCAACATAAGGAAACATAGGGGCATTTCTAACTCACCCATATCTCAGCACGTCCTCGAATCCAATAATGCCTGAAATTCCACAGTGTGTTTACATCTATGTGATTGATTGAGTAATGAACCGTTTGACCGACTGGTTGACTGACTGATTGACAGGCCCAGGAACCGGAAGAGAGGAAAACAGAAAGAGTATTGACCTGGGGCAGCCTGACATCGCCCTGCAGGATGACATCATCGATGAGGTAAACAGCTGTTACGTGGTCATGGCTTTTTGATGAATGGACAAAAGCATTTACATTAAATAAGTAAAACTCAGTCCAGGGTTGTGCCTAATTTTATCTGGTTGAGTTTTTTGATCATTTCTTGCAGGAGAATATTTTAGGAAATACGCCTTGCCATCTAACCCATATTGATTTTTTTTATCTTAGCAGAAAAACTGAGAGCTGCCAGCCTACCTCTTTCTAAAAGAAAAACAATTCACCTTCCAACTCTAAAGCTGTACGAGTTCCTCTGACAGGAAGTTGTTATTTTCCTCCTTTCTGTTTTATAGCACTTTAATAGATTCAATCTTTGCCAAATTTAAACAAACATCCCACCACTAAAGTTCAAAACACAGAATTAGAATTGGAACCTATATGACTTCCAAATTGATAGACAGGTCTTTAATTACTAACACAAAGGTTTGTTTATATCAGTAATGTTTGAAGGCACAACAGGGAAACAAACCTATATGGCCAATTGCTCACATGCTGATCTTATATCTGTTTTGTAGGTTTTAGTGTCACTCCCTGTTTTATGGTGCAGAGTGAAGTTTAAAGGTTATTGATCTGCTCAGCAGGATATAGTTGTAAATTAACACTATCTACATTCAAGTGACAAACAGTTGAAGTTCCTCTTTCCTTGAATAAAGGTTTCTGACTCCCTGACACACAAATGTGATGACACAAACACACTCACACACACAAACATTAAACCTTTGGTCACTGACTTCCAGGAATAGTTTTGGTACTACTCATTCCCATTGTCATGTCAAAACATTTGTGGATTTCCACATTATGTGTTTTATTCTGGAACGAGGAACTAACTCGTCAAAGCTTGACCAGAAACAAGATGAGTTATTTATCTCTGGTCTCTCACCACTTCACCAAACTATAGAAAATGAAGCATGACGACTCACTGTTGTTTATTTCACGTCAAGTTTCCGAGAGCAGTTGCCACATCTCTTTTTTGTTTTTTGTTTTTTTGAAAACTGGATGAGTTTGTATGAAGGGTGTAAAGATGAATGAATGAACTGGCTGCTAATTTATGATTAATGAGTGTGATCAATACAGTGGTACATGATATGGATAGTTTACTAAAAAGCTGCATTCTGTCTCTTCCCTCCACAGAGAGTCATCAGTAAGGACGGTAACCTCCTCTCTAAGACGTCCTCCGGGATGCAGAGCGGCGGGGAGGAGGAGCAGGACGAGGAGGCCCACACTCCTCTGCCCCCGCCCATGGAGATCATCAAGGACCCCTCAGCTCAGGATGACAAGGTGAGGGGGGGTCTGGCTGAAATTGATTCTCAGTGGAAGTCCTTAATAAACTTTGAGGCTCTACTGTATCTATAAATAGCTTTTATTTATTTCTTCAGCTTCTTTCTGTTTTCATTAACATCTGTCAAACCTTCTTCTTCACTGTGCTTCATAATGATAAACTGTAATTTCAAATTCCGGTATAAATCCTGCAGCACGTCCATCTGCTGATTTCCTCTGCAAACTCACAGCTTTTCTCTCTTTCACTGCCGTTTGTTCCTTCGATTTTCTTGCCATTACTCCTTTACCTTCTTCTTCAACTTCCTGTTTTCCATCCTTTACTTCCAATGCCTCTAACATGCTATGGCTTCCTCTCCTCCTCCTCCTCCCCTCTCAGTCTTCATCCTTGCTAACGTCTCTGCAGTCGTCCTCTGAGGTGCCCAGCGCTGCAGAGCTGGTTAGCGCCATAGAAAAACTGGTTAAAACCAAGATGGTGAGTGCGTATGATTGTGTGCATGTTTGGGACGTACGCATGTGCCGTATGACGAACTGATTTTCTTTTTCATAATGGACACAAACCAAAAACACTTGATGTGCAGACCAGTCGTCCAAGCTTACACATCATGTGTGAATCGTTTTGTGCTCATTCTACCAAATTAAAACAACAGTGAATATTAGTAGTGTCGGCAGTCGTGCATGTAGAGTGCATCAGTTTGTCTGTAGTGTCCATTTTTTCAGTAGTTTGCATAGTTAGCCTGATTGTGCTTTGTACTTAAATGTGTTTTGTGTTCATATTCATGCGTGTGCTGTAATGTAATGTGAGCAGTGTGAACAAAGGCGACGCAAGTGACATTCTCCATTAATTGCAGAGAAAAAAAAGGCAAAATAGATGCATTTTGCTCTACCTGCCCTATCTCACCTGCTTCTCCAGATGTGCTCACTTATTCTTCCAAAATGTCAGTGTCTCTCATTTTGAACGCAACTTGTTTGTAACGTACATATTTGTGCACAGGATACTGTTTACTGTCATCTGTTGTGGTGTGTAAATGTGTCATCTGTCTGTTTGTGTTTACACACGTTTAGCAAATGTTTACGATGTGTAGTAACTTCGTTCCAACTCGTTTGTGTGTTAAGCATTTGAGCGGATCTGCTGTCTACTGAAACGGTGCCATGATACTAACAGGACAAAACCTGCACGCTCCCTCAGTGTCCTGTGTTTGTTGCCGTGTCTTTGCTGTGGAGTTCAAACACACACTGGAATATTTTCACGTCAGCACATTTGTGTGAAGTTTGGTGGATAGATCACCGTCTGCTCTAGAATCAGTTGAATATGCAGTTTTCAATTTCCACTCTTCCACGATTTGCAGTTAGGCAACGCAGAGTTACTGTGCACAATCAACACAGGGCAGCAGGCATCAGCTTATTTATACCACGGCCAATTCCCACTTGTTCCTTATGGCTGAACACCAAGCTCCTGCTGCCCTCTGCTGTCAAAGTCTTCTCATTATTCTGATGGTAGTGGCTTTGTTTTACATGCAGGTTTTGCTTATTGAGCGTCTCAAGATACAGGGTACAGACTGTTGATCATATTGTAAAGTAGTCTTCGATAAATCTACGATTCTGCTTTATATGAATAAAATGGAGAATTTAAGTTATGTATAAAATAATTGTGAAAAAGGAAAAAGATTTAACCGACACTGATCCTCTCCTCAGACTCTGGAACCAGGAGCGTACCCCGGGTTCTCCTCTCTCTCTCCGCCAGAACAAACCACTCCGGTCCAGCCACGAAACCCTGAGCTGGAGCAGAGAGCCAAGGCTATGAGAGGACGGATGTGAGTGCTGCAGTGAATCATCTCCGCTGCTACAACTGCTACTAATTCAAATACTAGTTCTTCTACTGCTTTACTTTTACTGCCACAACCATCAGGTCATATTATATACATCCCTCCGTGCTGCAGCAGGAGAAGAGGCTGACAGTAATAACATTTCATCAGCTGATGTGAGGTGATGTGTTTGTTCTGCTCAGGTTCGTTCTGAACGAGCTGATTCAGACAGAGAAGGACTACGTCAAAGACCTGGGCATCGTGGTGGAGGTGAGACGCCCGCTGCTGAGGGAGTGCACCTCTCTGTGCTGCGTTATTATTCATTCTGCACTGTCAATACTGTCCCGGAAAGTAATCGTTCTTTATCAGCATCTTCAACTGTAACTGAGAAGTGAGCAGAACGTCCTCAAACCGCTGACCTTTTGTGACCCCGCAGGGTTTCATGAAGAGAATCGAGGAGAAGGGCGTCCCCGATGACATGAAAGGAAAAGACAAAATCGTCTTCGGGAACATCCACCAGATCTACGACTGGCACAGAGAGTAAGTTCAACGGTGGAGTCAGATGGAGCCTGAGAGCGGCCTTCAGTTTTTAGTGTTTGTGCTCCCTGGTAACATCCCTCCTCTGTGTCCGTCAGCTTCTTTGTAGGAGAGCTGGAGAAATGTCTGGAAGACCATGAACACCTTCCTGAGCTCTTCATCAAACACGTGAGTGCAGCACCGTGTGATCATTATAAAGACTTTTACAATATATTTGATGTGGAACAAACCTACTCTCCCTGTGATCTGCTGTCTGAAAACAACTGGTGTGTATATGTATGTTACAGGAGAGAAGACTTCACATGTATGTGGTTTATTGTCAGAATAAGCCTAAGTCAGAGTTCATCGTAGCAGAATATGACACATATTTTGATGTAAGTGATGTTTTGGTTCTTCACGATAATTTGTTCGTAGGTGTGTTCTGTGTTTTAATTTTCATCAGCTCCCAGCTCTTTAATTATATGAACTTATAGTCACTGTAGCATTATTGTTGCATTGATGGAGGATTTCAGAGTTTCTTTGTGTTATATTCTCAGCTGTGTTTGATATTTAACTGGCAGATATATAAGTAAAACAAATGGATGACACAGAAGCATCATGATGCTACTGGTGTTTGTCTTCCAGGGAATCCAGGCGGACATCCAGTCCAGGCTGACCATCAGTGACTTCCTCATCAAACCAATCCAGAGAATCACCAAATACCAGCTGCTACTGAAGGTAACACACAAATGACCTTATTGAATTACAAAAGAGACATGATGTCAGTATGAGTTTGCAGAAAGATTTTGAATTAAAGCAAAAGAAAACTCTTTCCACTCGACACATTATGTGCAAAAACGATAACCTTTACTCTCATTTACCATCCAATGAAACGTCTTGTTACTTAAAAATATTAAATTATGTGGATCTCATGCAACTTTAGCCTGATTTAAACTCGCTCAGATTTACCAGCACTGAACCAACTCAGACATTTCCAGCAAACTCTCAGTTAAAATGATACTGACGACTGATTTGAGGGAACTGACTGAACTCAAACTGAGATCTTAAGTCTCCATGTTGATTATTTGTAGGATCCACAAGAAGCTACGCTGTGAATATATCTTACAGAAATATTACTGTGTGTTAGTGGAGAGAAAGAGTGTGCATCTTAGATGTTAAAGTCGTGGTCATGATTTTCCTCAGGACTTCCTGAAGTACAGCTCCAAGGCAGGAATGGACTGTGAACAAATTGAGGTAAAAACACAACTTATTTATTTAAGTTTAGAGAGACAGCTGAAGTGAACACGTAACAGATGATTTAAATCTCTCGTTTACAGAAAGCGGTAGATTTGATGTCTCAGGTCCCCAAACTGTGTAATGACATGATGAATCTGGGTCGGCTGCAGGGATACGAGGTATGTTCACTTCCTGTGCTCCAATGAGCACTAAATGAATTTGAGTGGTAATCATTCTGCAGCCTAGGTTTAGCTCTAGACTTATCATGGCAGGCCTGAATGAGGTGTTGACCATCCGCACTCCTCCTCAGGGTAAACTGACCAGTCAGGGCAAACTGCTGCAGCAGGAAACCTTCTTTGTGACGGAGCAGGACGCCGGCGTCCTGTCGCGCTCCAAAGAACGACGGGTTTTCCTATTTGAGCAGATTGTCATCTTCAGTGAGCTGCTCAGGAAAGGATCGTCCACGCCCGGATACCAGTTCAAGAAGAGCATCAAGGTGAGCAGAGGATGATGGGGTTTATATTGTGCAGGACCAGAGACGCACATTTTTAATTATTCGATTGATCCATGATGAATAATTGATAGTTGCTCAGCTTAACTTCTTAAAACTGCCAGACAAAAAGCTTTTCCTGAAGCAAGTTGTCAAATCAAAACACAGACTAAAATACCTCTGAGAGAGAGAACAGAGAAATATGTGTTGATCCCTGTTCAATTGACAAGAAAAGGCTGAGAGAACGTATCATCCTCCTCCACCGTCCTGCTGGTTTTCAGAACCAAAACCTTCTAAAGACTCAGAGGATTCTCAAGAGTCTGTGTACATGAAGGCAACGATGGCAAATGTTTAGGAAAGTTATTTACTTCTTCTGTTTTATAACCTTGTGACCTTAAGATGTTTACTGACACCGTTTCAATAAAAGTGTGTGACTGGCTGCTGGAGATTTTAGTGTCAACACAGTTTTATAGTTTATCAATCTATAAACTACGATCACAAAGAAAAGCTGCTCCTGTCCTCCTCAGGTATCCTACTTGGGTCTGGAGGACAGTGTGGATAACGATCCCTGTAAGTTCGTCCTGTCGTCCCGCGGCTCGTCGGAGCGTTTCACCCTGCAGGCCGCCAACGTCGACATCAAGCAGATCTGGGTCCGACACATCCAGGAAGTTCTGGACGCTCAGAGCAACTTCCTGTCCGGTGAGAAAACACAAGCAGAATATTTTCCTCTGATAATGATATTCCCCTCAGCTCAGTCAAACACTGTCTCTGCTCTGCAGCGCCCCTCTATTCTCAATCTCCATATTTGGTGAAAAGAATCACCAGCAACACTTGGCTTCGCATTCTGCTATTTTAAGACGAGTGTGAGAGAATTAGATTTTAAACATGAAAGATGCTGTTGATCATTTCTACTGACATTATTCCACATATTTCACAGGATCGTACGTTTCAGCTGTTTAAACTTCAGAAACCAGATAAGAAGTGAGACCTAAGAAGTGGTTGCTAAAATGAGTTCACTTGTAGCTGCATTATCAAGACTGAATTGCATATAATCATAATGTAACTTCATATACGGTAAAAAAAAAAAAAAAAAAAGTAGTTCACTGTGACCTATTTTGAGCAACTGGATTTTCATAGTGCTGAACTAAATAATGGCTGCTATGAAGACGGCACCAGCAGGAAACAGGTCAGCAGTAATATAAGGTGTGTGTATAATGGCCTAAAACGCTGCTGTTTCTAATGTACTTTAACTACAAGACAACAAACAGGATCCAAAACATGTCCAGAGAAGGAAAAACAACAAAACATGTGGAGAGTCAGCAAACCTGAAATGACACCACAAAAGAGGAATATGAATTTTCCATGTGTGTGTGGTTGCAGCTCTCCAGTCTCCTATCGAGTACCAGAAGGAGAAGGGCGGAGGAGGCAGCAGCTCGTCACTGACCAGAAACCGCTCGTCCTCTGGGAACCGGCCCGCCGCGTCTTCCCACAGCCGGCCGTCCTCTGCGGTCGGGCTCGGTGACAAGGAGGCGGACAGAGGGAGGAGCCAGATGAAAGTGTCTACCTCCAACGGTGGTTCGTCATGTTTCGACTCCAGGGTGAGTTCCTGCAAACGGTCCTGCACACGTGATAGGTGGAGAACTGGCTTGTTGGCTCATACTTCATACACTTTCATTTGTTCAAGTTGCTGGTTTTGAGTCGTACAGCTCCTTGTCATTGTTGCTCTAGTGTTGTCTCGTCCTCTCACTGTAGACTGCAGCAGACAGTCAGTGAAGCACACTTTTCCTCTTTGTTCTGTCTGGGAGTTTGTTGCCCGTCCCTAAAAGCCAAGGTTAAAATCTGGGCTACTGCAGGTGTAGCATCACTGTTTGGGTTTTTATATATATATATATGTACATACCAAACTGCTCTCTCTCTCTCTCTCTGCCCTACTTTGACTGAACACCTCGTGCTGTCTGCAGGAGACTGGACAGCTCGGCTCTCTTTGTAATTTACAGCCTGCCGTCAGACTTGACCTTGACCCTCACTGTTGGAGAAATGTTCCTAAGAACAAGACTGACTTTCTCTACTCCTCATGCTTTAAGGCTGTGCAGTATAAAAACCTCAAGACGGCCCACTGTCTCACTTACTCCTGGTGGGTTTTCTACCCCTAAAAAACTAGACACTTTTGTTTTTATTTGCCGTGGATGAGGTGATGTGGCAGGAAAGCGATGTTACTGATGAGTGTTTCAAATGACATTTTCAAATCCCACCGTCTTGAGGTTTGTCTGCTTGTTACCGACCTGCCTGTCGGAGTGAAGTCGCACCACTCAATGACTGTGTGACAGTCGTGCACATGCTGTTTTCTGTTTGGGAGGGGGTTATTTTGTAGTGAGACACATGTCTGTCACATGGACATGTTTATTTTAAGTTACTCATTAAGGTTTGGCATGTTGATCAAAGAAATATACAGATGGAAGTTCTTTAATTTACTACAACTTGTGCAGCTGCAACTATTTAATTGTTTTACTATTAAAACTTGTCAACTTTTTGCGGATGACGGATCACGTCCTGATTCTTACTCCTGACTGCAAAGCTCTGTTTAGTTCAGATGTTTATCCAAACAGATAAACAGCTGTCGATGAACACCACTCTTAATTGAGTAACTCAAAATAAAACATGGCTGTGATCTGGAAGCAGTCTACCTCGCTCATTGTGTCCAGTGGAAACTGGATCTTGAAGATGTTGTTTTTCTTTAGTTCAGTGCTGAACTGTTTCCCTGGAGGAGGCAGAAATCTCAGCAGCAGATTTCAGACCTTTGTGCTGTCTGTTCCCGTTGCTTTGGAAAGAAACTGTGAACAGATTGCTGACGCTCTGCTGTCGTTCTCCCTCCTCCTGCTCCTCGGCCCCGACCTCCCTCTGCTCCTCCTCAGGTTGGGGTCAGCTGTAACAGCATCACAGCCAGCAGGACTGTTGTCCAGCCCACGTAGTCACACCTTAACCTTGTCCTCAAATGTCCTCACACACCCCTCCCCCCACCCCACCCCCCACCCTTGTGTCTTCTCCTTTTGTCTTCTCCTCTGTCCTCTTTTCTTTATCCGTTCCTCTCCTCCTCAGGACAGTGACGGCGGCTGTAACGGCGTCTCCTCCACCATGTTGGTCACTCAGGACTACTCGGCGCTCAAGGAGAACGAGATCTGCGTCAGTCAGGGAGAGACCGTCCAAATCCTGGCCACCAACCAGCAGAACATGTACCTTGTTTACCGGCCAGCCAACAGCCAGTCGCCTGCCGCTGAGGGCTGGGTGCCGGGACACGTTTTGGGCCCAGCCACAAAGTCCATAAAAGACTCTTCCTCTACTTCCTCCTTCTCAGTGGCGGTGGCCGATGCCAACAACATCAAGTAAGTCCCCCCCACCCCCAACCCCCCACCCAACTCCCTCCACCCACCCAGCACTTCTTTCCCCGCAGACAGACGCACTTCTGGCTGGACTCGAAGAGAACTGAGGTGACAAACCTCTGTCTACCCGTTTTTGTTTGTTTTTGTTTTTTGAATCGACACCCATCCCCAGTTACTAACTGCTCACTGCCTCCTTCCTTCACCTCCTAACTCCTTGTTCCCTCATATCCTTTCCCTCCTCCTCCCTTGTAAACAAACTCTTGGACCTCACAGGAGACTTTTCTGGGGTATTTGTTGCTCCTCGGAGGTAAAAGGTACAGAACTGGTCTCTTACTGTCCGTCAAGCTGCTGCAGTGACAGTTTTATTTCTGAGCCATTGTCACTTGACGGCTCTGTGGCAACTACATGAAAATGGATTTCAGGCTTGCAGATGAACTAAAACACACACACACACACACTGATAAATTCCCATGTAAAAAGAGTACTGAGGAGTTATCCTGCAGAAATAGACTGGATAGAAAATCTTGTAACTTGTAGCTGACTCTGGAAACCAGAGGGAGAAAACCGTTGACACTCATGTGGAGCTAAAACCGGACTTTATTATTTCAGTTCCTAACACCCTGCTTTTTTTTTTTTTCTTGTTTTGTAATTTTTTTTTCTTTTTACTGTTTTTGGAAAAAAAAAATCTCACCTGGGGCATTCAGGTGGACTCAGCCCCGTTCTCCGCATGGAGAAGATTTATTTTGTTGTCTGTGGCAATCTATACAGAAATTTGTGTTTATTCCTCTTGTTGTTGTTGTTGTTATTTTTCTGCCTTGTAATTATTATTTTATTTTACGGACAAAGTTGGATTTATTTCCTCCTCCATGTTGATTTTGTTTATTGTGTCGGCAGTTCACTGTACAAAGTTAATTTTGGTTTTTTCGACTGAGGCTCTCGAACATTCCTGTTAAAAAAAATCCCTTTTGCACTATTTAAAGATGAGAAAAAATATGAATGAAGTCAGGCTGTGCAATATGTTTCATTTAATGGCAACGGTCAGCATTGTACTGTTGGTAGTCTAATGATAATGATTTTAAATGTATTTTAAATATGTAAAATAAACCTTTTGGACTTGAGCATGAGTTAGAAAAGCGACGTGAAGGTGAAGTTGTTTTGTTCTGCGTTAGGCTGGAGATGGTTGACAGTTTGTAGTTTTTAATATTTGTAAATAAACTACAACAGCAAACGTGAAACTGAGCGTTCTGCCTACTTCTGTGTGCACTGTGACACTAGACGAGACGTAGATCAAAGGGACCAACATGACAAACTGAGTGAGGTTATATTTATAAACTTACAGATGAGCCTCTTCAGGAGATGAAGACAGTTCAGTTCAGTGTAGAAAGTATCAAACACTGAGTTTCTTCACCAAAACACTAGAGCAACAGGTTTTATACCGACATTGTCTGCACCTTTTCCCTGTATGGTTGATTTCAGCTTTTTATATTTGTTCTTACTGTAATGACATTTATTTTGACACTTTTGTTTGAGTTTGAGTTTTTACTAACCTCCACGGTTTGACACTCCACAGAACATACAAAAATTAAAATTGAATTTAATTAGAATGAAAAAATAGAAACTGCTGCTTTTGCTTTTTGACTTAGTATTTAAAAGACTTTCCTTTAACAAACTGTTTTGTGAAAGTGTGAGTGATAACAACAAGGTAGTTGTTAATTAGTGCTGATTACTGTCTGATAATGGCTACTGACCAGACGAGAGTCCTTCCACTCATTGACTTTCATTAGTATTTGAAATACCTGAAATTCGTCACTTGACACTTAAAAAGTCGCACCACTCAGTTATAAATGTGTTCAGACAATAACTAAAAGGTTTAGTTTAATAAAGGCAGATGTTTAAATCGCATCTGCACCAAATTATTGGTAGAACAAATGTGTTAACAGTGTTGTGTTGGAAGAAGATGTGACACTTTGTTTTTTTCTCTCTCTCTCTCTCTCTCTCTCTCTCTCTCTCTCAATAAAGTCAGACCAGTGTCGTTCTGTCACTCTGTCCTTCCTCTCCTATATAAACCTAATGGACCAGAAGAGTCTGGCTGCAGCTTCAGGCAACAACGACCCCGTCAGGACCCTCAGCCACAACACAGCACACAAACATTTAGACAGACACACAAGCAGGGTGACGCAGATCATTGCTATAATAAGTATGTATGTAAATACAGCTTATCAATGCTAAATAGCGGGGACTTACAGTAACGTGTCGTCAGCTTTCCTTGTGCATTAGACAGTTAAGCCTTGTATCCATAGCTACAGAAACATCACACTAAATCACTTACAAACTTCCCAGTCACTAGATGGCGATAGTAAGCTAACAGAGGCTCCTGAGAAAGTTATGGTCTGTCGGCCATGTTGCCTCTGCAGCCAGACTAAGCTGGACGCCGCTGAGCTTCTCTCTGATTGGCTGGTTGATGTTTCTCGTTCCTGTACCGTACAGGAAGTCTCTGTCGTGGAACACGCTGCGTGCCAGGAAGCGCGCTGAAGCCAAGGACGTCACCTTGGTGGGGGTCAGAGGTCACGAGAACGGCCTCCTCCGTAAGCCCAAAGAAACCACACCCCCTCCCCCGCTCACCTCCCCCGCCCCCGGGGCTAAGGGCAAAGTGAGTAAAGCAGGCCGACGGCGCACGCTGGTGATGTCATATTTGTGTGCCAAAACCCCCTCACCTGCCCCTGCCCCACTTGGTTTTTATTTTTTCTTCTTAACCCGTGTGTGTGCGCGCATGTGTTTGTTCAAACCTACAAACACACACAGTAGTTTTTGTGTCTCAGTTTGACTCCAGCAGTGATTCTCAACCTGCATGACTTCACACGTACATTCACTTATTTCCAATCAATATTTTTATCTTATTTATTTGTCCCAACATGGCTGCCGGAGTCTGTGACCGTGATTGGTTTGGTACCTCATGCATTTATGGATCCCTGCGAGTTATGAGCAAAAGAGCAGCCGAACCAGAACCAAAGATTTAGTCAGGAAGTGGAACAACGAAATCCATTCGCACATTCTCACAGAACAGAATCGGCTGGAAGCCGGTGACAACCTGCAAAATTCAATGACATCAAAGTTTAACTTACCTTTTGTGAGTGACGCCACCAGTTGCATCAATTTCCATCCATGAAAGTGTTAAAATGCTGGTGCGACCTGATGAGGTGCAGGTTAGGTGGTGATTAAGGTAATAGAAACGTACATGACACTTTAACACGTGTAAATATTAAATGGTTGAGAACACTGCAAGTGTTTTTTCATTTTTCTTTTTATCTTTATGTTTTTACCCCAAAACCTCGACTGCACTGGTTGAAGAATAAACTCAGATTTCTTTTCGTGTTGTTTGATTGATTTCCCCTCCCTGTGCATGGGTAGAAGTAGAATCCAGTGATTTATTGTTTGACTGATCCAAGTTTCCGTTGCTGAGCCTCTGTTAACTAGTGTTTTCTGTGGTGCACTAACATGTAAATCATTTGTTTATATATAACATCATCCGGTGAGTGAGTAGAGAGATGGGAAATGGAAATAATCATCAGTCATAATGTTACCAACATGATACGACAGATATTTCAAAGTAAAAGTCCCGCATGAGAAAAGAAACATGAAACAAGATTCTTCTTCTGCAGCTACAGATGTGGGTGACACACCAAGTTTCATTCTTAAGCTCATCATGTGAAACAAACAAAGCATCTGTTTGTTTTATCTCTTCCTGCCTCTTTATATCGTAACTACTTTCTGTTTGCATCATGTTTAATGAGCATGAAATCCCTCTGCCCAGCAACTGTCCAGTCTGTGTAGGGTAGGGTGTGTAGACACCGTTTCTACATGACTGACAGATGTTGGCATTTACTGTGACTGTTGAAAACATACTGATGAAAAGTCAAACTGTTGCTCACCATAGTTCTGTACTATGAAGCACCCGAGGATCTTTTTTTTTATGTGGATCTTTAAAATCAAAAGTATTTGAACTCGGTCATTCAGCAACAGAATAAAGTTGGAATAATTATTTCCGTTGAAATCAGTGTGAAGCAGCAGCAGAGTCTGTTACCTTTTAATAAAGCGAGAACATGGATTGTGCCTGCTGTCGAGAGCAACAGGAGCTGTAGGAGAGGAGGTGGAGGGGATCCTACGTTCTGCAGCATCACTCGTATTCAGAAAGAAGATGAGTTATTGGAAAAACTCCACTAATGCTAAAGAGGCACTGATGCTGATATTGTAATGATTCGACACTCAGCTGTGGTTGGTTGCTGCTTCATGGACTGTGGGAGGAGCTGACCTGAGAGTGGAGTGAACAGAGTCACAGAATGAGGCTGTTATTTTATATTTAATCTCATGAAAAGACCGAAAACCGCAGCAGCTCTCAGGTGAGTATCAGGGTTCTGTGAAGGACGGAGAACGTCAGAGATGTTCCTCAGCAGAACCCTCCTGAAGCCATTTGTCAATAACATTCACATTCTTAATATTCTCTCAATCCTCCTCATTTTACTCCCTCTCTCTCCCTCTCTCTCTCTCTCTTCAATCATGTCTGTATTTGTTTTATCTGCTTCCTTTTCTCTTCATTTCCTTCCTTCCTCCTTTCTTTCCTCGTTCTCCTCATCATATCTTTTCTCCACTGCCTCCACCTCATCACATCCGACACTTCCCTATCTTTTTTTTTCTTCTTTTTCTTCTTTCTTGTCCTCCTCCCTCGTTCTCCACCAGGACGTTCACACTTCAGATGAGTCAGACTGCGATGACGACCTCGACCCAAAGACAGGCATGGAGGTACTGATGCACACGTTATATCTGAGGACCACAATGTGGAAACATGTTCCATGGAGTTCATGTGTTTGTCTTCAAAAAGATGAGAAATGGCAGAGAATAAAAGAAAAACTTGGTGCAGATGGAAAACTGTTCTGCAGTCGCTGTTTTTATTTGTATCGTGTAGAGAACTAAACCTCACCTCAACTTTAACTTTGACTTCATCTGTTTTCCAGCTTCTCAACCCAAACTTCATCCAGGAAGGTAAGAAATGAGAAAAACCAGCGTAGCGACGTACTCATCAGCATTAGCTTCAGCTGTTGCACTTTGTTTCCAAAATTTCCGACACACTTGATGAAGAGGTGTTAGAGTCATAATGGATGAAGCTAAATGTAAAGTTCACAAAGATTGAGTTACAACCTGCAGATGGTTCTGGATGACCCAAATGTTTTTATCTACTATATTTATATAATGATGAATAACACCAGAATCAGCCGGTTCCCACTGGAGGGCTGCTCACTGGGCCAAAGTCCACATCTCCAATGACTAGTGAAATCTGGCAGCCATATAAACCAGACTAACATTTAATCATCACTTGGCTCATTATCTGTCCGGCTTAAATACCACTGCAAAGTAAAAGTTAAGGAAAACCTGTGTTTATAAGGACGAAGGGACTGAAATCATGTTCTCAAGCTGCACAATGTGCAGTCCAGTCCGTTGAGTGTTTGGACAGTTACACATTTGTTCTTCAGGCTCTGAGCTTCACCACATTCAATTTGAAACAAAATAATAGATACGACATTTAAGTGCCAAATGTCAGCTTTAATTTGAGCAGGTTTATGTCAATATTGAAAGAAGCCCTTTAAATACACCATGACCAAGGCACAAGCCACCACCTCATCTGTCAGACACAGTGCTGGTTCTGTTCATTCAGGAGGACCGTGATCCTAAAGGCAGAGCCAGAACAACCAAAGGGGTTTTCAGGACGAGCTTCTTTCCTGCAGCTGTAGCGCAGACTAAAGAGAGAGAGACTCCTCTACAAGGCCTGAGAGCGTCACCGGGGGGAGACACAGACTGTCTTTTCAGGCGTCATTGACTGCAAATGATTTTCCACCAAATATTAAATATGATGATTTCATGTTTATCTGTTCAATTACTTTTGAATTCCTCAACTATGATTGAATATTGATGTAAACCTGCTTAAAGCTGAGACTCGTCAGAGCCTGAAGACTAAAATCTGTCTGAACTGTGCTGTATTGATCAATATACTAAAGTGCATAAATAATAATAAAGTTGATTAAAAACTATAACTAGAAATTGGATAAGAGCTGAGTGGACAGTAGCTTGTGTGTTTGTGTGCAGTGGCTCCAGAGTTCCTCGTCCCTCTGTCAGACGTGGCGTGTGCGTTCGGAGAGACTGTCGTCCTCTGCTGTAAAGTCTGTGGACGCCCCAAACCCTCCGTCACCCTGAAGGGCCCCGACCAGAACCCAGTGACCAGCAACAGCCGCTTCACCATCGACATCAGGTAACGCCAACTGAATACGTTTGTAGACGTCTTGGTTTTATACAGACTGTGCTCGCTCTAATTCCTACACTGGGTTAAATTTTTATATTTCCTTCCTCTTCATCATCTTCTTCCTACTCTCCCTCCTCCCTTTTCTTCTTCTTCATCTCTTCTTTTCTTCTCTCCCTTCCTCATCCTCCTCCTCATCCTCCTCCTCCTCACCAGGGATACAGGTGACATCTTGTTGAAGATCTGCAATCTGATGCCTCAGGATACGGGGATCTACACCTGTGTTGCCGTTAACGACCACGGCTCTGCCTCCTCCTCCGCCTCCATTAAAGTGCAAGGTAACGCAGTAACCCTGGTCGGCATCAGGCAGTTAATCAGCTGTGATGGTACTGTGAGATTTTAGTTTTAAATTAGCCTCCATGTTTTCTAGACTGTTGATTTTGTGCCCTCTTGCAGGTATCCCAGCAGCCCCAGGGCGGCCAGTGGCTCAGGAGGCCAGCAGCACGGCGGTGATGGTCCACTGGCCGCCTCCGGCTTCATCCGCTCACAGTGCCGTCAGCAGCTACACTGTGGAGTACAGACAGGAAGGTAAGTGTGTGAAAACCGGTAATGGAACCAGAAGAGACAACCAGACTAAGCATTCTCACTTCTCCATCTACAGACTCGTTGCTATGGCAGCAGGTGGCCAGCAGCAGGGAGGAGTGTGTTCAGATCGACACTCTGATCCCCGGTGGTCACTATCAGTTCAGAGTACGAGCCTCCAACCGCTGGGGGGTCGGCCCGCCATCAGAGCCCTCCAACATGGTCACACTGCCCAGCAGCAGTAAGTCACTGCACAGGCAGTTTCATAATGAAGGAACAAAAACCTCTTTTACCACAGAAAACATCTGCACCTTTCGCTTTCTTTCCAAGACTGAGATACAGATATTTGATAGAAGATGCAGATAATAATCACATGGAGGGTTGAACATGAAAAGGAGTTAATAATCCTTCCATCCTGTTTCTCTGTCCAGACTCCGGCTATGACGGAACAGGAATCCAGTGGAAAGAAAACTTTGACTCCACCTTCTCTGAGATCTGTGAGATTGGGAGGTAAACTGTCGCCTGGCAAAACAGCAACTTTTCAAACTGATGCTGCTTTTCACAACCCAAACTTGAATTTCAGCCCAGATGTTGATCATTGTTCTAGATTGTGCAGCCTCTGTTTTTTTAAATTCAATATCTCTCAAGTTTTGTCGCTTCTTCTTTTTTACCAGGGGACGATTTTCAGTGGTGAGGAAGTGTCTCAACAAGTCAACAAAGAAAGAGGTAGGAGCTTGCTGACTAAGATGATGCTATAAAGTTTGTTTTGTTTTCCACTGTTCTGCTTGTAATGTGTTGCAAGTTTTTTCTTTGCATTAATCTTTTTATTTAATTTAGCAAAGTTCTCATTCGCTAAATAAGATTATTTTTATATTTTTACTGAATGTTTAGGCTAATAGTTATTTTAACTTGAAATATGTAATAAAATTTCAAATTTAGGCTGAAGTGAAGTTTGTTTTTATGCATTTTAAATTTAACAGGTTTAACTTTGTTATTTTGGGTGTTTTCTTTTGCAGTGACATTTATATTTATTGAATTCAGGTTTCAGAGAAGTTTTGTTGATGACAGGTTTTTAATCTTCTTAATGTAGTATATTGCAGTATATCTGCATTTTCAAGTCAAGAGTTTATTTCCTTTACATATTTTTATTGACCTTTTATCTTCTGTGTCAGTGTGCTGAAGTGTGTTTCACTTTTCTTTCAAGGTTGCAGTGAAGTTTGTGAGTAAGAAGATGCAGAAGAAGGAGCAGGTGGCTCACGAGGCGGACATCCTCCGACATGTGCAGAATCACCAGCTGGTGGCGCTGTTGGACACGTACGAGTCTCCCACCTCTCTGATGCTGATCCTGGAGCTGTAAGTCTGACCTAATTCAAGAAACACCCACCTTTAAACTTGAATTAAGTTACTGTAACACAGTTAACGGTTTTGTCTTTAACAAATAGTCTCTTAAAACTTTACATGTGATGAAGTTTAATTATTATATATCAGCAACTAGCTAGCTAGCTTAAAAAAAGTTGCAGAAATTTGAAGCAAAATTTATGTCCCTAAAGTGTTTTACGTCTTTTTAGGTTCATTACAAAGCAGCTATTGAGTTTTTAAATCATTCACAAAGTTTCTGTTTTTACTTTTCTGTAACTTAACTGTTAGCAAACTAGCTAGCTGGCTACATAATGCTATCAGTTATATTAGCTAGCATGATACCTAGCTACAAAGCTAACATTATCTCAACTTTGTCTAAACGTGACTTCATCAGGCTGGAGGATGGTCGTCTGCTCGACTACCTCGTCGCCCACGATGAGCTGATGGAGGAGAAGGTGGCGTTCTTCATCAGAGAAACTCTGGAGGCCCTGCAGCACCTTCATACCTGCAGAGTAGCACACCTGGATCTGAAGGTTCCTTTATTTACGTATCTACAGAAATGCTCTTCATGAAAATTATTATCTTCCATCTGTTTCTGAATCCTGTGTCTCTCTTCTCCAGCCTGAGAACATCATGGTCGACCTCCACTCTCCCACCCCGTGCATTAAGCTCATTGACCTTGGCGATGCAGTCCAGCTGTCCGCCCACCGTCGTTACGTTCACCTCCTTCTTGGAAACCCAGAGTTTGCTGCACCTGAGCTAATCCGTGGGACGCCGGTCTCCGTTGCGACGGACGTGTGGAGCCTTGGCGTGATGGCCTACGTGATGCTCAGCGGCGTTTCCCCATTTTTGGACGAATCCCCGGAGGAAACTTGCGTCAATATCTGCCGCCTGGACTTCTGCTTCCCGGACGAATACTTCCGCGACGTGAGCCAGGCGGCGAGGGATTTTGTGTCTTCGGTGCTGCAGCAGGATCAGAGGAAGAGGCCAAGTGCCACTTCCTGTCTGCAGCACCCGTGGGTAGGTCGTGGGGGTCCACATGGCGGGGAGTACTCCAAGACGCCTCTGGACACGACGCGATTGGCCACGTTCATTGACCGAAGAAGACAGCTGCATGACGTCAGGCCCATCACCAATATCAAAGGGCTGGTGAGCAGCAGCATGGGAAACACACTGTGACGGAGAGAAGACCTGAGTGTCCGAACACTCAGTAACAATCCACCTGTGAGGATACCAATAATAACAGTACAATACATTTTAAGCATTTAATTATCTTTAGTATTTATTAATGTGAGAGTGGGAAAAGCAAACGGATAAGGATCTTCTTGTTAGAACCACTAGGTCACTCTGTCGCCTCTAGACCAAACCTTAGAAACAGAAAGAAATCATTGAAATTCATGGCTGTAAAATATTTAATTGTTGACCAACATTTCATCTGGTCTTTGTTCACCTACTATCAAACATTACCTACTGCCTAGATGCCCCATAAGAACCCAAAGAACCCGCTCAACTGACCACTGTGAGCAAGCACGATGGCAACATCTTCGGTTCTCTTTACATTAAAATGTTTATTTTTACAGGGAAAAATATATTTATCAAAGGCAACTGATTTGTTAATCCCAGCGTGGAGCTAATCTTAGTCTTTGTCCTTAACTTGGATCTGCAGAAGGTTGTTTCGTCTTCACCTGAGTCACGGTGCTCTCGCTCAGGGACACTTGGGCAGTACCAGGACTGGCCTGTTGGTGGCCTCACTAGCCAACTGGCCGACAGAGTCTGCGCCAACGTGGAGCATATTACCAGCCATGCTCAGTGAATTAGGCTAATATAAGTGAACATATGAAAGAGTTATGAAAGGTTTTTGACCACTAGAGGGCACTACGCCATCCGAAACCAGAATCAAACCCTGATAATAACTGTTATACACTGTGACAAATGTGCTAGTTATGTGTTTGTTGTCATTTAATTTGAGCTAAATTAAGATCATGAGAAACTCTGGAAGATGAATAAAAAGTCTGATCAATTTAATCAGATTGATCACCATGAAGATGTTTTAGAGTAGTTAGAAAAACTTGCATCGGTTAATGTTGGTACTTAGTGAGTTGAGGTCAGGGTTCAGCAGCACTGACAGGATTTTCAGTCTTTGCAGACTGAACCTTGGACTGTCGGTAGACTGTAGCTTCAGTGACAAAAAATTAATTAGGGATAGTGGGTTTGAGGAACAGTGCGATGTTTAATTTAAACAACACCATCAAGAATGTCGTAGAAAACGTCCTCAAGAATGTTTCATTCTTGAGGACTCAGATGTCTGATGTGATGAGAGATGGTCAGTTCAGGGTTGCCGTCAAAAGTAGACGTTTTCTTCATTAGCAAGAATGTTTAGCTAATTGTGGTGATTGATGAGCATGTGTCCGTTTGGTCAGTTGTGGGAATTTTATTCACAGTGAAAAATCAAGCAAAACCGAAAAGTTAGATGCTGAAGTTTCTCCTAAACTGCAGCAAGCAAGAAACCTGGACTTGTGTCTTGTGGATCTTTAAGTTTCCTGGATGATTCCAGGTAACAGGTCCGACTGTCACCTGTAGCTGCGATCTAACCCAACAACATCAAGTTTTTTTGGACTGGATGCAACAGGATTGAGCGTTGCTGTGATACCTTTAAATTATTGAATGTTAATTTATTTCAGGATGGCGGTTGACATCATATTTGCAATGGTGACCTGGACCAGTCTGGTCTGTGCTGAGTGCAGCTGATGTAAGATGACTGAATCAAACCCAAATACACTGAGCTGAACTGAAGTCACTGAGCAGCTGCAGAACTGTGCAGCAGCAGAGTTTGCTTTCTGGATATTGTTGTGGTGAACTGCTGGAGTTTACATCAAATCACCGACTGAGCTGTACTGAACAGAGCTGGACTGAACCGTCATGAAATACAATCACCTGGCTTGAATGGGCCAGAAGCATCACATCAGAAAAAACTGAGGACTACTGGACTTAACGCAGGATTCCTGACCACAGAAAAGGCACCGTGGAGAATGACATCTGTTCTAAAGGACACACTCTTTGTTCGTATCACTGTTTACAAAAACTTGCTTAGGTAGTTTACAAAACAGTAGAATAATCAGGGAAAACCTGCATGTAAAAATCACCAGGGATGGTTTAGAAACCAGGTTAGAAATCTGTTTCTAGAAACAAAAACCTGTGACATTTGGTGTGAAGGTGGGAGATGAACTCCACCCTGAGACTTCTTTGTTTGTACATTCGTCTACCAGCCGCTGTGGCGAATCACCAACCGTGGTGTTTGGGTCTCATTCGTTTGGCTTGTAAATTAGCTCGAGTGGCGGACGAACTGGTCTTGGATTTAGCGGCTGCTGTGGCTGGCAGACAGAAGAGTCCGTTTACTGTCCTGTTTCTATTGATGAATGTAATTTCTTGTAGAATGTGTTCTGCCATTACAAGTGCTGTCCTCTGCTTTCACCAAATGCTTTCAAAGCCCCCCCCCCCCCGGCTATTTTGCTTCCCTCCCAATTCCCCCAATAAGCATTTATTGTACTACAATAGTAAGCATTTATTTTAATGCAAGCGGGGATGCAGAATGGTGCAAATGTAAGCAACCCACTGTTCGGTAGAAGCAACTATCACCTTTGATGTGTAGTACAACAACATCCATACAAATCTGCAAGTAATGTGATGTAATAGCCTGTGTTTATCTGTGCAGCTGTAATGAGAACTATTCAGGTACCACCGGGTGCTGTTCATCTTCTCAGTAGGGACTTTGGATCAGTACTAAGAAATGTGGGACATGTTGTTTCTGCTTCATCTTTTGAACTAAGAAAAGTAGAAAAAAAGAAGCAGTTTGAAATGTCAGCCTCCTAAAGGCAAAGACCAAACGGAGCAATCCTTCAAGATGAGGTTTTAGGTAAGAAACACAAGATTTCTCTACCCAGACATTTCTGAGATACAGTTATCTGATCAATATATTAAGGTGTGGGTAAAAGTCTGCTCTTTGAGGGACTTCTCAAAAATCAAAAAAGATTTGCAGGAAGAATGAAATGAATGAATGAAATGAATTCCTCCTTAACACACACACATAAACATTAAATCTGAACGAAATCAACAAGCTACAAGGAGGAGGCAGGGCTGGTGAAAGGAGCCGCCGCAGGACATGACGTTGGTGTTGGCACTTCAGCAGAGAAACAGTGAAAAGTGTCAGACTGTGTGTAGTATGAATGTGATTGGCTGTTACCTGTCAGCTGAAAAGCCGAGCCGCCGATTGTGAAGCATGAATGAAGCAGCTGATTCCAGTCAAGTGTGACCTGAACGCTGAACCAACGCTGTGCTCCACATCCCCTGAACATACACATCGTTACACCTCACATGTTTTTAATCCTCACAAGTCACACAACAGCTCGGTGTTAAATGGTTATAACAAAATATAAATATGAAAAGTACTTAAAGTTACTTTCAACCTGGTCTTTTGTATGGAGACCCAAAGTGCTCAATATTATAAATGAAAGTTAATTGAATTAAATTAAAATGAAGTCAATCAATAAGAGATAGAGACAAATGATGTAATTTAATGATGAATTTGTGAAATGATTGTTATCATTGGGGAAAATGGCAATGATAAAAAAGATTAAAAACTGTTAGTGTTAAATAGAAATAATGTGTGATTAAAAACTGGTTGAAATAACATTTCATCATATTGAGCTGAGCTTTAAAACTTTACAAGGTAACAACAATTTTCATGTAAAAAACACAAAGTTGTAGTAGTACGCAAAAGTAGTATGTAGTTAAGTAAAGCGCAATGAATGAACAGTGCTGTCACATGTAAAGATCTGCCTTGTTTCAGTTAAAAAAAATAGTTGTAACAAGTAACAAATGTACATTAAACAAATAGAAATAATAATACCTGTTATAATAAAAATAGAAGACAAAAATGGCAGCAGAAATAGCAGCATTAGCAGCATAGTATTGCTATTATTTATTGAATTATTGCATAATTTCGTGGTTATATTACATTTTGTCTGTACTAATTTATATGATAATGTGTCATTCCTTTATTTAATATTTATCACTTTGGGTTTCCATACTTTACTTGGTGCAGAACTGTGGAGCCAACATGGCTGCCACAGAAAACCTTCTATCACTAAACTCTTACTGCCTTCAGTTTATGCTAGAAAAACTGTTTTCACCATGACGATACATCTTTACAATCCTCATCAACACAAAAGTATATACTTTTTTTTTTTATGAGGAAAAACAACACCGAGGATGAAGACCAGACTGTGAGACCCACAACTGAGCCTATCCTTCAAAAACCAATGAATCACGTACTCAGACTTCACGTCATTGGTCCCACATTATCTTTCAAAGAGCCTGAAACCTTCATTTTCTCTTTGTTTACATTTAAACCGAAGAAGTTAAACCTGTGCTATGTGTTATGGTATTTCAGCGAAGCACTCAGGGTCTTTATGAGGTCTAAGGTTTAACCCCGCCTTAAAATACTTCACATATTCAACAATTCACTGGAATATTTAAGCTCTCCTGAGCTCTGTATTTCTGTCTCCGTGTGCAACCTCTGGAGTTATTTTATGATCCAAATCTTTGACTCTCCAATTGTTTTCCAGTCTGCCCCTCTGGATTTAAGCCGGTGCCCAGTTGACAGCTTGTAAATGGAGAATGGACAAATTAAAGTTTGAAAATGCAGTAGCAGTGTACAGAATGTAAATTACTAGCTTTGTCTTAGAGTTTTGGTTTCTCTCAGTTCTTATAACCCGGGTCTGAGGCTGAGTTTTAACTCTCTGAAGAACGGCACTCATCTGTTGTTTGTCTAAACCACATAAGAAAGGATGTTCTAGTCAGTCGGGTACTGAAACAAAACACCAGTAAGTGAGTGAAAAACATGTCTCAAATGATATTGTCATTGTCCAGTCCTCTGGAGGCCCTCTGGTATTCACGTGTGCTCTGTGTTTGTGTTACAGTTGAGTCGGCTAACACGCCTCTTATCCAGGTGTACAACTGCAACCTACACTTACCTTTGAGCTTGGCTCTTGACCGTGGTAAAGTTAGGCGGAAATTCAATCATTTCTTCTGAGTTGAAGGCTCTACAGTCAACTTTAACCAGGTTCAGTAAAACAGGAGGCTCTTTTACTCAGCATTTGCATGTTTTGTGGGGTTTGACTGGACTGGGACAACTAGCCATGACTACTTTGTTGGAAGTGAATCAGTACAACACCAGGGCTAAAGAGATACTCAGAAGTCAAAACATCATCATCTCAGGATGAGCCATCAACATCTGTCTTTATCTGTTTGAATATGTGGATCAAATCCAAAAAAATTGTAGATATTAATGTAAAAATGTAGATGTGAATGCACCCAAGACCCATTACAGTGACAACCAAACCTCCCCCCAGGACACTGTGCACTGAGAGGAGGTTTGGTTGTCAGAATCATCCAGAAACCAGAGAACATTTAACAAGGACAAGAGTTATGAACCTGCATGTCTGGGCAGCTGCAACCAGAGGTCGCCGCTTTATTAAACCTTCTAACAGACGTCTCCCGCTGCAGACAGACCTCCAGTTCTTCTTCTGCAAAGAGTTCAACTTCAGGCGGCGACTGTCCCAGCGTCGATTCAGTCCCAGTCCCACAATGCATCTGTCATGGCTTGGTGAGCCGCGTAGCACCGTGGTGGCTCCACCCTGTTGAATGCTAGTCCGCGCTGTTTCCTGATCGTGTCCATGCTGAGCTTTGTCCATAGAGAAACGTTATGCTGATGGCTTCATGTCGCTGTGTGAAGCAGCACACTTGTGTATAGGCTGCCTCTTCTTACCCCATACAACCTGCTGGTTTGTTACTTTACTAATAAAGAACCTGCTTGTTTGTATTTCTGCCTTTTACTGTCTCATTCTCTGAAACCTTTGAAACCACTGTGTAAGGTTTTCTCTTGTTTTGTGGTGCCATAACATTTTAGATTCTTTGGCTGAATGTTGACATAGAAAGAAAGTTTAACTAGGTCACTTCAATTAATGATTCATTAATTTATTTATTCAATTATCCATTCAACATCTTTTGAAATGAGGAATGTGAGACTTACCACAAACTTTACATTACTTCTTCAGTTAATCCTTATGTATGTTTCAGGGTATTTTCTGAGTTCAGTGAGATTATCAAAATGCTCTGAACATTTTTAAGCTGGAATTAAACTTCAAGCTCAAAGTTGTTTCGGACTGAACAGCTTTGTAGATTTTGTAGACAGTTAAACTAAGAATGAATGTGCTTTCTTTAAATGGCCCAAAGATACAAATGTGACACATGAAGCAGTAGCTGAGAGTCCAGACAGTCGTGGCTATAATAGTCTTTAAAAATATTTAACTGGTAATAATAATGAATATTTAATACCCTATCCCTAATACCCTAGTGAACATAGTGGAGCATTTAGCAGATAGATATTTCCCTCAGGAGTTGGTGCAGACCAAAACCAGAGCTAAAAGCAAATGAATCTTCATCCAATGGACAGAAGCACGACTCCATATCACGATAACATTGCTGTGTATCTGCTAACAAGCTGTATTTGCTAACAAGTTCAACAAATCCGCTTAAAAGTGATAATTTGTTAATGTTGTATTGACCACTGGTTTCTGCCGCCCCCAAGTGACCACAGAGAAAAAAAACTGTCATTGCAGGTTTAAAAAAAAAAAAAAAAAAAGCTGGAAAGTGTCTCCTGGAAATGAATAAAGAATGTGTTTGAGCCAAAATGAATTGGTTTAAAAAGTCAAAACTCATTTTCATGTGTGTGAACTGTAATGATAAAACAAAAGTGATTGTGTCTTCCTTTATGCAGTTTTAACTAATTTTAAACTTATTATAAATTAAATAAATACAAGCAATTCAACTTACTAAGCTGTATGCTAAGCCATAAAAAGGCAGTTTGTAGAATATCAGAGAAATATTATTTCACATATTCATTTTATATTTAAGCCTTAGTTTAGTTTTTCAATCATTTAGTTTACAACTGTTCTCTTACCACATTGTGTTCATCATAGTTTTATTTTATTTTGTTTGTTGTAATGACCCTGTCACACACAGAAACACGCTCTCTCTCTTTTACTCACACACACTGCCCTGCTCCCAGGTCAAAGCAAAATGCTGACCACGGCTACTTTAAACTCAAAGCTCAAAACACAACAGAAATGTGTGTGTGCGTGTATGTGTGTGTGTGTGTATAGTCACTCTGACTGCTTTTGTAAACCATCACAGCAGGTTAAACTCTCAGGCACTAATACAGCCTCAGTTAATGAAATATTTGCCTGTAATCTTGTAATAACCAGGGTCAGTGTGTGGTTTGTGCTGTGGTTGTTCTGCTGCTGAAGAAATGAGTTTTACACCACAGTAAACTGGACATGAATCAGATGGAAGACGTCGGAGTACAGAGTGGACGAGGAGGAAAAGGAGAAGTTGTAAATGTGGAGGTAAGTTATTGATTCCTGGGATTTTCTCACAAACTTTACATTTCAGATGCACAATAATAACTTAGATTCACTTTTTTCACAGTGAACTTTGTATGTTTGAACACAAAAAATACAACATCTCTGTGTCGCTAAAGCCTCTGTGAGTTGACAGGAAAAAACAGTCCTCTCATATGTGCCTTTGATTGGGTTAAATTGTCAGAAGATCACGTTTCATACAGTTTGTAAGTGTTGAATAGAAAATCCACTAATTTTACACAGTAAAGTGTGTTTACACATCTGCGGGTGTACTCCTACTGTTAAAAACATTATGGAAGCATCAGTGTGCTGCTCTTTGTCGGAGCTGGGAAAGTTAGCCGGACATACATTTGCCGAACCAAACCTACAAGTTCTCATTCTTGGCTTCTCTTTTGTAAACATGACATAAAACAACACTTTAGATATAGCAAAAAATGTCACTTTTGTGCGGCTTGTCCAAGGTTTGTTTTCAAGTGTGGAATGGGCTCATAGTTGCCTCTTGTGGCTAATGGGGAAAACCACTACTTCAACAAGTGTGTCCCCCCCAAGAAGAACCAAAGCATCTGTTGTTGCAGCAAATGCCCAAAAACAGCATATTGAAGAGACAAAGCCTTCAAGGCCTTCTCTGCAGGCCGTACCATTTTTGGGAGGTGTAATTTTTAGTTAATAAAATATTACAAATTAGTAATTATAATGTTATTCAAATAATTTATAAGTTATTAAAATTATTTATTTAAAGAAATTTGGTTCGATTTCAGTCACTTTCATAACCATTAACTCAGTGTCCACTCTTGGAAGTGGAACTGCCTGTTTCTTCACGTTAAACAACAAAATTGGATTTTGTGGTGGACGCCCCAGTGTGACGTCATCATAATCGACCAATACGTATTTCTTCGTGCCGTGGGGCACGTGATGCTATCTAGTTGGCATGCCACGAATGGGAACCGAGAAAAATGGCGGTTAATTTTGAAATTGACATTGTGGCTCGGAATCCATTTTCCAGGCGGAGTTTTCAAGATAGAAAATTAATATCTCAAAGGGAGAGACCAAGACATGAGCTTGAAGGGCTCACGCAGGAAGGCAACGGCTTCGCGAGGCGTTTTACCGAAGCTAACTGTGTACGCTAACGGCTGGCTAACGGCAAGTGCCGAGAGTATGAACGGCCTAACAAACACTGACTGCTCGACTAAAATGTTGGTATTTCATACGACAAGATGGCGTTAGCATGATACATGAGGAAAACGTTGGATTTTGGTTACGGAACAAAAGAATTTAAAACCAACAAAATATCAACGTTAGCTGTTGTCAGCCCTATGGCTAACTGACGTTGGCATGACTGACACCTGCGTGCATGCAGGAGTGACAGATGGATTTTGTTTTCAAGTGACCGGTGAGTCCTGCTGTGTAAATTATATACAGGGTTGATTAAGGTTGTTTTTTGCAATACTTGAATTTGCTGTTGTGGTATATGTTTCCTTTCCTTTGTTGTTTGTTGACTAGTTGTTGAGTTATAACGTGGTTTGCATAGCGTCAGCGTGTTGTTGGCGTCAGCTGCCGCGGCGCGTCAGCTGACGCACGTCAAGTGTAGCAATGAGTTGCCATTGATCACTGAAGGAACAGTGGAAGACCCCACGGTCCACTACTATTAAAAGTAATTCAAGTCCAATACAGATTTACACCCAGGGCACACAACATGAAAATACACATAAACAATATAGATGACGATGAAAATAAAAAAAAAACCTGTGAAGTCACCACATATTCATGGGGATAGCACATGCATCCCTTAATGTAACTGTTGTTGAAGTCCAATCAGTGGGATCAGAATTATTTGTGTGAGAGGGTGACGGCAATTATCAGTGCAGTCTTCCTCTTACTTCCTCTCTCTCCATCCTCAGATCCAGCACTCCTCCTCTCCCTCCCCCTCTTCTTTCCCGTCTGCCTGGCGAGGCTTTGGGAGGAAGGTGACATTGCTGCTGCCATACGTCTGGCCCAAAGGCACTACAGCGCTGCAGGGAGTCGTGCTGCTGTGTGTGGGCCTGCTGACAGCAGAGCGGCTGGTCAATGTGCTGGTGCCTGTTTACTCCAAGAACATCGGTAAGCATTAGAAACAGAGGGTACTGCTGTAAATGAAGAGAACCTGATATTTACTGGTTCACATGAATATAGATAGGGAAATTCAGGTATGTGTTGAATTGTTCAAAATCAAAAAATTGGTGATACATAGAAAAACTGAAAACTGAAAAAGATGGAGGCCCATTCCAGAAGAAAAACGTGAGACGGGTGTAAACTAAAATTTGCAATAACTTACTGAATATTAAGGTAAATGCTATTTCGTATGCATCAATATAACTTCTAAGATGTCTGAAACCCATAGATATTTGTCTGTGCAATATTTTATTATCTAAAGAAATCAATAGATAAAGCAACAAAACAGCAACTAAAACAAAGCTGTTACTGTCAGACTCCTGCTGCATTATGCTCGTAAAACTCTAGATGGTAGTGTGCTCAAATTTTTAAAAGTGTGGTCAAACTTGTCTCCATGTGGTTTTCCTTGTTTTCTTCCTTCATTTGCATCCTAATTAACAGTGTAAGTTCTGCCAGAGCTTGATGAAAGTTTGTCTACATCCAGAATTTGTTGTGTTTTAATTGAATACATTTTCACAATTTAATGCAAACCCCACTGCTTTGGTTGTGATTAATTGGAAAGTTTTTCTTGTTTTTGACCCCTCATCCATCAGTTTATTTGTGTTTGTGTGGCCAACACACTTAAAAATAATGGGGAGACTGTCATAAAAATGTTGTGCACACTAACACTCCCACAATGAAGAAATCTGTCTGTCATGGTGTCTTTAACCGTAACTGCTCTTTTGCAGCTTCTGTGTCTTGATTGAAACCTGATTTGACCTCAGCTGAAAAGTTTCAAATTGAAGATTATTGTCACAAACATAAAGCAGGGTAAATGCAATATAAGGCTTGTGGCTTGACAACCTCCATAAATATAAATTTATGATAAAAATGAGCTTATAAAATATATAGGGCAAACAAAAATAAAATAGCAACTGGAGTATTAATTAAGAGGATGCTTTTCAACAATTATGGTCTGTCTATGAAAAACATGCCTGTGGTGGAGACGTGGGAACAGCCACTGTAAAGCTCTACTTGAAAGCAACACATTAGCCTCAGACAGCTAGAATAAGTACAAATGCGGAAAAAGTCTAATGTACAAAAAGGAAATGTATGGAGCAGATAAAAGATATAAAGAAATATTTTCTTGGCCACAGATCTGACAAAAGGGTTATTTCAAGGATGTCAGTCAAACTGAGGTACTGAATAGATGCCAGAAATGCATCGTACATCAGCATAAAGTGCAGGCTGGTTTTCTCATTTGTTATAACACATGTTAGCTATGTGGGCTGGTATCTAAGGTCTGGTTTGAAGGAGCAACCAACCTTCATTTTCGTATACGAAGGATGAGTTTTGGCACACAACAGGAGGGTGTGTCATCATTTGCCAAGGTCTTTTGTCCGCTATTTTGTACGCAGGACTGCATCCACCACAAGGCAACGACCCAGAAGCCTCCACTTCAGAGGAAGTCAGCGTTCAGTTTGTCTTCAGCTACTTTTCCTTTGAGAAAACTGCCCGTTTGGCTTTTGGAGCTACATGAAAGTATAAGCCAATGCTGCGAGAATGAGGCCGAGTGCTGCTTTGTGTGATGAGGAAGGCGTGGAAGAGGTTTCAGGGGGGGGGCGGGTTGCTGTTGATGTGTATGTGTGTGTGTGAGTATGTGTGTACGTGTGTGTATGTGTGTGCAGAGGGTTTTCTGGGAGGTCACCCCTCCTGCCAGTCATGCTTAGCCAGCATTAGCGGCCTTTTTCGTGGAGTTAACACACCGGTACAACAGACGTTTTGTCTCCGGGTCCGACCCCGCCTCCCACCCTCCGACTCCAGGACCCAATGCCAAAGAGTTGAAAATACCCCCTGCTGAAAACACACACTGGAAAGTTAAAGAGTGTAGAATACACACATTTCTTCATTCATTTCTCTCAATCTTTTTATCTCATTTTCTCCCTTCTATTCTCCATGAGTCTCTCTCTCTGTCTGGATCTTCTGTTTTTCATCTTCCTCCCCTCCTCCCTTTATCTCTGTCTGTTTTTTTTTTTGCATTTCAACCTGATTCCCAGCACTTGTACAAAATGGTAATGAATGTGAATGAGAATGTGTCTGTGTGGCAGAAAGGGGAGTGTGTGTGAATGTTTTCACGACTGTGTCTGGATGTTTGGTTGGTTTCCACTGCGAGGACAAGATCATAGACCTTGATTAATAAAATGTTGTGGATTTAAAGTATAATAGATATTTATATAATAACAGTGAATCAAATGACCATGTGATAAAGGTGTTGCTCGTAGAGATGAACCTATGGAGAGTGATCGCCTGAATCTGCAGCTCCCCTCGGCTTTACAGAGCTTTGTAGAGAGTTTCAGCTCATTGTTTAGCTGTTTGCCTGCAACTTTACTGTTCTAAAAAGCCACTGCACACTAGCTGCTCAGCACATAACAGCAGACAGACACAGTTATAGACTAGCTGCTGAACACAGTGGAGCTTTTAGCAGCTAAAGGGCCAAACATTTCCCTCCAGTAGAGACCAAAATAAGAGCTAAAAGAGTGAATTTTGGACTTTCAATCATCAAGTGTAACAAACAGGACTTCAAATCAATGATAATGTTGTTCTGTGTGTTTGTGTGTGTGTACAGTGAATGAGCTTTCTACAGGAGGTGGCTGGACTTCGCTGATTGCCACAGTCTGCGTCTACACACTGCTGAAGTTCCTTCAAGGAGGAGGGGCAGGTGCACAAGTGTGTGTTCATATATAGAGACAGATGTGTATGTGTGTGTGTGTGTGTGTGTACAAAATAAAAGGTGTTTAATATCACCAAACAGAAGCTCCTGTCTGTGTGGTTTAGAGTGAATATGAGCATGAAGTTCTTTGGCGTCTCTCTTCTTGTAGGTACATCTGGTTTCATCAGCAACCTTCGTCAGTTTCTGTGGATCAGAGTTCAGCAGTTCACCAGCAGAGGCGTTCAGGTACCGCTCAGACCTCCTCCTCTTTTATTTCTTCTTCTGTACGTTTCCTGTGTTGTTGCTGTCATTTCACTTTTAATGTCTAAATTTAATGTCTATTTCCCGCTGTTTGGGCTCAATTACATTAGATTATTCTGGTTTATTACAATCTTGGTCTTATGTTAATAGTTTTGGACATAATAACAACACTCACCAAAGTAATTGCTGAGAACTGGGAAGACAGAAACCTCACCTATAATAAAGTCTCACGGGGTGAGAAAGCAGATCGTAGATGTTAATCCATCCAAATGTTTACTAGTTTTCTCTTCTATAATCAGAGTGACAGAATTATAATTGGATTGTTAATGCACTCACTGTGAAGACTATGGATCCGGGAGATAATAAAATCCTCTCAGATCCAGCTGTCTTACATTGGACATGGTCTAAGTGAGATATGCTTGTATTCAATGTACATAGTTGCATAACTGGAAGTTTCTCTCTGTCCCTTTCCCTCCACACTTTAGGTGCGTTTGTTTTCCCACCTGCATGGTTTGTCTCTGCGCTGGCACCTGGAGAGACGCACCGGAGACGTGCTGAGGAGCGTCGACCGAGGCACCTCCTCCATCAACAACCTGCTGAGGTAGGACAGGAGGAGGCTGACAGATGGAGACATTTGGCCTCCACACAAATGACCAGGGTTCAATAACCAGAACAGGACATGATTTAGCGGGCATGTACATGTAGCGGGTGAGTAATGACCTGTGTTTTTGTTTTTAGCTACATCCTGTTCAGTATCCTCCCTACCATCTGTGACATCATCATTGCCATCATCTACTTCGTCTCCTACTTCAGTGTCTGGTTTGGACTCATAGTCTTCACCTGCATGGTGCTCTACCTCAGTGAGTGAGTGTGTGTGTGTGTGTGTGTGTGTGTGTGTGTGTGTGTGCGTGTGTGTGTTTTCTTCAATTTTACTTACTTCTTTTATCCCTTTGTGGTAATCAGGACACATTATCTTGAGATAACAAGCTTCTGTGTTCATCATCTATCCAAGTTGTTTTCATCATAACAGCAACAGAGGAAAAAAAGACAGGAGAATGGCAGCAGGCTTTACCAGGACAATAACTGTTTTCTATATTAGAAAATGCAAAAAAAAGATAAATACCAAACCTTTATCTCTATGAATATGAACACAACAAAAAACAGTGTATTAAAAGCAAACTAAATATTTTTATTAAGTCATGGCCTCAGGCACCCACAGCTGCTCCCAGCTTCTGTAGGACATTAGATTTACAATAAACAGGTGTTGAATAGAGACGTTACAATCAAATCCAGGAGCTATTTGATTTGATTATTTCAGCAAAGCTTCATGAATCCTCACTTTCCTAACTGACAACCCAAGAATCAACTACATTTGGTTAATTGTCTTTTATAAAAAATGAGTGATACATCAGTTTTCGCTTCTATTGATTAAGCTTGAAAATCAGACTGTGCTCTGTCTCTGCAGCCTGCACCATCCTGATCACAGAGTGGAGAACCAAATACAGGAGAGAGATGAACAATCAGGACAACAACGCCAAGTCCAGGGCTGTAGACTCGCTGCTCAACTTTGAGACGGTAGATAACATCACTGCACTCCTTGTTTATTTTATTTAGCTGGACACTAGAAAACCCGCTGCTGCTCTGGGCAGGTGTGTCCAGGTGAGATCGGTTGTACTATTGGAAACACCCAGCTGTGATGTAGCACCGGTGGAGATGCCAGATGTTTATCCACACTTACATGATAGTCTGAAATGTTTGTAGATATCTCAGTTTCACATCATTTCAGGAAGTTCACGTGATTTCACAGCATGTTCACCCACTGGATTTGATTTATTTTCACAGGTAAAATATTACAATGCTGAGGATTATGAGGTCCGCTGCTTTGAGGAAGCCATTCTGAAATATCAAGTAAGACCAGCCGACAGTAGACAGACAACTAATACTTGTTTGTCATAAGAAACCCAACATTTTTTGCTTAAGAAAAATCAAATCAATTATCAATTTTTCTAACACACTTTTTATTCATGTTTCCTATTTTTAATAAAACATGCTGGTCGTGTTTTTTTATAGCAGTGTGAGTGGAAGAGCTCAGCATCACTCGCTCTGCTGAATCAAACCCAGAACATCATCATAGGATCAGGACTGCTGGTTGGATCTCTGCTCTGTGCCTACCTGGTCTCTGTAGGACAATTCCAGGTAAGTGTATAAAAACTGTAGAATCCAATATTGAAATCATAAGACGTTGCAGTTTAATGACTGTTGCCTCCACATATGGCAGGAACACAAAAATAAGACTGATACTTGGATGTGCACACTGCAGATTTCAACTCAGATGTTGGCACCATTTCTGTTTTTGGTGTTTCCTAAAGTTTGCACCGGGTTATTTTGTTGGTTAAAAGTATCAGGATGGAATGGATTACAGAGGATTTTAAAACTTGACTGTGCTATGCCACAACCCATTTTAAACTAAATCTATGTAATGATGTCAGTGATTGTCTCTGTGTGCTCTTTTGTTATGTCTAACCATGGTTGTTTTTCTTTCTCTCTACTGTACTCAACAATCTCACAAAAGATCTTCACCCCAATGTGATAATCTGATTAAATGAAGGTTACACATCAGATGACACAAAACAGTGATGTAATGGATCAGTGAACCATTGTACCAGAGGAAGATGTTACAGCTTAGATAGTGAACTTCACTTATATGGATTTCACTTGGACATGACTTTAGTAACTCAGATAACCACAATGACTCAGACGTGACGTCTGTGACTCGACTCGACTGTGACGACTTTGATGTAACCCGAATGGCTCCTGTACAACCTTCGTCACTTGAACATGACCTCTGTGATGCTGCTGTTTGCATGACCACAATAACGCAGTCTTGACAGTGATGTGGAGAGGCAACTCAACCATGATCTCTACAGCAGACATTGTGTTGGGAACAAGGCTAAGACTTGACCTCTGTGACTCAGATATGGTGGCATGGGTGACTTTAGTTATGACCTCAGAAACGCAGACCTCAGTGATCATGATGACTCGACTTGTAGTGGCTTGGACATGACTTACTTCACTGATTTGTTCGAATTGACTGTCTTTTAGCTTGTTTGCTAACACTTTCTCCACAAAAAATTTTATAAAACGATAATATAGTGAGTCAGTTTTATGTTGTCTGCTGGTTCAGCTGCCCCCGAAATGGTCAAAACAGTGTATGAGAGTCTTCCCTCTGAGAGACTAATTAATATAGCTGACTTACAGTAACCTTTGCTTATTAGAGGATCAGTAATATTCTGTGGATAAATCTGCAGGTTGCTTCATGTTTAGTAGCTGTACGCGTTTCCCTCTCCCTCAGGTTGGAGATTATGTTCTGTTTGGAACCTACATCATCCAGCTGTACACCCCTCTGAACTGGTTTGGTACCTACTACAGGTGAGATGAGCACAAAGGACAGGAGGCAAATCACCCACTCTGTTATACAATGCAAACAAAGATCTGTTGTATGTTTATGTGTCTGATCTGACATGGCATTTGCTTGTTTATAACTAGACCTTAACCTTCAACACAGGGAGAAAACACTCTGAAATAGTTAATCAGTGTGTTGATGTGACTGTTATTACTGATGGCAGTAAAGTTTATATATAATTGCAGTATATTAATCTGAAATAAAGATGAGTTAATACTACTGCTCCTAATACCACTTCTCTTCTACTTCTTATTGTACTGTTGCTGCATCTAATGACACGGATGGGGCATCGTGTGTGTCTGCAGGCTGATTCAAAGTGCATTTGTTGACATGGAGAACATGTTGGCACTGTTGACGGAGCAGCAAGAGGTGAGTCACAGAAAAGAGTCAGCCTCTGTGTAGAGTGTATCAGGTGTATAGTTTTTAATGTAGTTTAATTCATATTGGTCCAAGTTAATGCTAACATGGTCCGCGGTCAGTGTTAACGAAATCAATAACTTATTCCCTGGAGCGTAACTGGTGTACTTGACTTTGATATTGATATCTATAATTGATATTTTTATAACGACGATGTATTTACGACAATGTGAAAACACTGTGAGAGGGGTGTCTTGAAGTGATGAATCTACGGATCTGTCCACTACCTGCTCAGCAGCAAACAGCAGACAGACTCGGTGAGAGAGCAGCTGGTGAACATAGTGAAGCATTTAGCAGCTAAAGAGCCAATTATTTCCCTCAGGTTGGTAGAAACCAAAGACAGAGCCAAAAGAGAGGGAATATTGTGGCCAGAAACACGACTCCAGATGAACACAAATGCTGGCTGGATGTGTAAATTCACAACTGTTTGGCTTATTTACACAGCTCCTAACTTGTTTACACTGCCCACAAGTGGCAGGTTTAACTTTGTTAAAAACTTTGTTACCGTTGGATCATATGACTGTGTAATGACAAAAAGGTGTCACCTGAAGTGATGAACCGACAGTAAAAAGGCTCTGATAAGTTTCATGTGTCTATAACTTGTTTCTCATGTTGTTGATTGTGATTGGATTTGCTCAGGTGAGCTACAGTGTGTGTTTAATGCCTGACTACAGACCATACTTCCTTTGGAATAGTAACGATAAAGTAAGAATCAGATAATGCTGATAATGTAATAAAAGGTTTTTAATTTCTTTTAGATTTAGTAAATATTTATTATATAGCTTGGTTAATCATTATATTATATATATAGATATATATATATATATATATATATATATATATATTATTTAATATATATTCTTAGCATGAAGTGTAACAAATTGCAGGCTCAGGTAGAGTCAGGTATTTAGGTCTGTCTTTTCTAACTTTGAGCAAAAGTTTATGATTAATACAAAATAAGTATAAATTGAAAAATGAATTATAATTACATAAGTGGATAGAGAAGCTAAAATCAGTGAACAGTGTTCAGAGTCACTGTCAGTCTGCTTGGAAACAGAAACTCACAGTCAGAGGTCAGCGGATTAGGAGGTCAACAAGTGTTTGTGTGTGACTGTGTATCTGTGCGCATGCACATACTAAAACACAGAGTCTGTCTGTATGTCTGTGTGTGTATGTCCGTTTTTGTGTGTGTGTATATGTGTGTGTTTCGGTGGGAAAAGGCGTCCTCCGGCTGCCTCACTAAAGGCTCCTACATTCACAGGCCCTTGATATGGTAAACAGCCACATGAATGTAGACAAAAGCATTAGAGCACCTTAAAAACACAGCGGCCCTTTTCTTTGGCTTGGGAAGCTGCAGGCGAGGGGAGTCAGGGAGGAGGAGGGAGGTCAGGAAGGAGAGGGGGACTGCAAAAGCTGATGGTGATAAATCAACAAACTGCAATCAAACTTTAAGTCCCCCTGTTTGGCATTTATAAGCACAATGTAAATAAATGTAATAATATAGGGCTGAGCAGATATTGTGTGTTTATTAATGTATTTGTCAACAACTATAACTCCGCCTCTGAAAAACCCATCTGTCTAAACAGATAATGAATAACAATATAGTTATAATTGACCACTTTCCCATTCAAGTGAATGAAAATGTGGTTTTAATTGTTGACAAATACTGTACATTAATAAAATGTCTTATATCTGCATTATAGTGTTTTATAAACCATTTATTTGTGTATCTTTGTGTATCCCTTTTATTTTTTCTCCATTACCACCACCTCCTCTCTCCCTGTCTCTCCTTTGATACACTCCTCTCTCTGACTCATCCCCTCTTTTCTAACATCTTGTTCTCACCCTGCTCAGTTCTTTTCTTTCAGTCCAATCAAATAAACAAATAGCCTTTTTAATTCTTTCAATATCAGGAATACAAATTCCGAAGAATATTTTTTCTGTTGAACCTGACAGTTAATTCTTCCCTGAATTGGCAGTTGAAGTTTTTCGACCCTATCACGTGGTCTTCATCAGCAGATGGGCTTTGCTCAGTTGTCATGGAACTGTAGCTCTTAAAACTTTCCATCAGTCAGTCTGAGCTCTTTCGCTGTTTCCAGCTTTGACTCCAACACGAAGGAGAAGTTACAAAAGTGAACGGAATAATTGAAGTAGAAACATTTATAATTCTGTGGCAACTGAGGAAATGTCATCTGCTGATTAATAACTGTGTGATATGATTGAAATAAGCAAGTAGGTGAATCTTGAGTTGAGTTTTCTTAGTATCTCTGTTTTGGGCAACAAATTAAGAAATGTATAATAATTAACCTTCTCCTCATCACAGGTTCAGGATGCTGAGGATGCACAGGACTTGCAGCTCACAGCAGGTCAGGTGGAGTTTGACAGAGTCTGTTTCAGCTACGTACCTGGGTGTGTAGCCAACAACTAATCTGTTTATAGCTGAAATCCATCTTTCTATAATTTGATCAGATTTGAATCAATTGTATATATAAACTGTATAAAAACAGAGACTGTTGTTGTTAAATAATGTGTCTCTAAGAATCAAATGCAGCCTGAAGCTGGTATAGCTGGTGCAGCATACAAAAAGTATCTGACTATGACTCTGCAGACTACTGTTTACATCCCGTTGCCTACCAACAGTCTGTTTGTTTTAACCATAAACACAACTTTCCCTAAACTAAACCAAATGATTTTATTTGGGTAAACCTAACTTCATGTTAACCACAGAGGTGGTAGATCATTAAATTAGTCATTTTATAGTGGTTATATGCATTATGGAAGCCAATGGCAAACAATCTGTTTGGTCTTACAGGTTGGAGGACTTGCTGAAAATATAAGAATAACATGAGAATGTTTACAGAAAGGAGAAGCCAAGACATTTACAATGAACCTTTCCTAAAATATTAAATACAATATGAAGAAACGTATGATACGTGATGTTCAGTTAGCTGTGTGAAAGTAAAAATAATTGGGAAACATGTTCAGTAACAATGATATCATTTAAAATTCTAATGGGTATTCTAGGGGCTTTTATTTTTACATACAAGAAGCAGCACAGCTGGTGACCATCACCTGCTGTCTGTAGGACGACAGACACTCTAAAAAACATGTTGACTTTTATTAATTGGAAGTCTTGGCTGACCTCCTGTGTGCGCTGGCATTTATCTTAAAGTCTGAGCCAGAAGGACTGGCCAGGGAAGAGTAGTGTTGGTCCATTGCACTAGAATGAACCTAACGTTTATTTCTCAATTGTTCTTGGTCTCTTTTGATTTTTCTCAAATCCACAAACTTTCAGGAATCGCAGTCAGAAGAATCTCTGGCACCAATAGGGTTGGAATGAAGTTTGTTTTGATCCTGACTGTTGTTGTTTTCTACATGTGTGTGTGTTTGTGTGTGCAGCACTGAGGTTCTCAGAGATGTGACTTTCACAGTGGAGGCAGGACAAACAGTCGCCCTGGTACGTTGTCTTCTGTTTGCACCCACATTCATATTGTTCTTTCAAGTGGTATTTAATGGACCACTTCTACCAAATAAAAACAAATTACAGTATTTTGTTTCTGTATCTTTTTTTTTTTTTTTTTTTGCTTTATTTGAGATATCTGTCTCTGAATTTTTTTCAGTTTCATTGCAAATACTTTTTATTAAAGGAACAGTCTGTGGTGGATGAAGCATTCAGATTGTTTACTTAATAAAAGTACCAAGTACCACCATGTGTTTAATGATAAATCTTAATCTGGAATGTAAATATAGCTTTAAAAGAAAGGTTATATATTATTTGTATGCTTTTGAAAGATAGTAGTGTAAAGTAGCAGAAAATGGAAATACTCAAGTAAAGTTGTGTGTGCAGGTTGGTCCATCTGGATCAGGGAAAAGCTCCATCCTGCGTCTCTTGTTCAGATTCTACGACCCTCAGTGTGGCTGCATCCGCATAGACGGGCAGGACATCTCCCAGGTACACACACACCCACGCATTCACACGCACGCATGCATGCGCGCACACACACACACACACACACACACACACACACACATTATATATACAGTATATATTTCCATCCACATTCAGTTCAGTTCACTTCAAATCAAGCAGTTTTGAGGACCATACTTTGGCTTGTTTAAGCTCACTAACTACAAGTTTTCACAAGTTTTTAGATTTATTTGTGTCCTTCCAAACAACCAATACAATACAGAACATTTGTGAAAATATGAACATGTACACAACATTTGCATGGACATCTCAAGAGTCAGCAGGTGACCAGCATACTGTAGACACAAAGTACTTAAAGTGACTGGCAGCTGTTGACAGGAGCTTTTCAAAATAGTTCTCAATCGCATGTTTGGTTTGCTACTGCAGCAGGATGTAGGGCAGAGGTGTTTCTCTAGAGGTGAAACATCCGACAATATAAAGCGACTCTGCTCAAAATCTTCTTCCAAGTCCTCCGTCTTCAAGTACAACCTATATTATTGACAACCTTCATGGCATCTGGGACAAATCTTGATGGGTTGATTGTCTGGGACGGGCAAAACTGTGGTAAAAAATTCGTAATCTATGCTATATACTTAAAGGAATAGTTCACCACTTTGGGAATTATATTAACCCTTTGTTACAGAACGTTAGATGGATTACACAGATGAGAGGCTGTGTTCAAAATCACTTCTTGTTCACTCATTTACTTTACTTACTCCTCATATGAGATAGTTTACTCAGTAGTGAGCAGTAAATTGAGAGCACTATAAGGTGGATAAATTTACACACTCAGAACAGTGAATAAGAATATTTCGCTCTTCTCAATATCTCTGTCTTGCTTTTTATTTCTATCTCTCACTCTTTCATTGCTGTTTCAAGCCTCTGCTTCATGCACTTTGACTTCCACTTTCCCTCTCACTCCACTTTCTCTCACATGCACACACACATACGTGCACACAGCTGGGCTGAGTGTGTGAGCTCCAGTCACACTGTGAATAAATCATAGTAAAAGGTTCCTGAATAATGCAGCAACGGGTCCAGACACCAGATGTGTGTGTGTGTGCGTGTGTGCGCGTGTGTGTGTGTGTGTGTGTGTGTAAAGATAGCTCATTTATTGTACTTGAAGTAACTCTGTTTATGATTTGCCAAAAGTCTCAATAAAAACCAAACAGCACTAACACTCTCTCACACACACACACGTACACATGTTTTCGCACAGCAAACATACTTGTTCAAATGAAGAGGCTGGTGATGATTATGAGGTTGCTTATTTGTAATTACACAGCAGGAGGGACGTTTAATCAAGACACACATACACATGTGGTATTCTTTTAAAGTCGATTCGGACTGTTGATCAATCTGAGGAGGAGGTAAGGAAAGAAGTGGTAAAACTCTTCATTCAGTCTGTTGTTGTGCTAGGCAGCATCAGGGACGGCCCTTTTCTGGAAGCCACAATGAAACGCACAAAACTTTGTTCATTTACCAGCTCTCATAGTTGTATTTTTTTGCCATTAAATTGTATTGTACTGTAATTGAGTATCATATTAACTTACTAAACTTTGAAAAAATTGCTTGTCATGCTTCAACATACTGATCTTGTCAATGGTAAATAGTAAATGCCCTCTCAGTAAAGGTCATATGAAGGCAAACCTGCCTGATGATGATAGAAAAAACCTCTTCATGGCATTTACAGCACAGTACATAGGCGTAGCCCTGCTAATAACAAATAGATCCATGAAGTGTGTGGCACCGACTTTTAATAGCCTCATGATATATTACATGAGCTGTGAGTGAGAAGTGAAAATGAGAAGCTGAAATGTAAGTAAACTCTTAAATTGGGTGGCAAATCTCTGAAATGCCTCAATCACATTTGAAAATGATGAGTCAATAAAGAATTTTGATTAGTAGCTGGCCATAAACTCTCACCTTTATTTACAGAGTTAGAGTGAGGAGGAAGAGGAGGATATTGAGCTTTGGGTTTTGATGCCAGCAGTTTTTACACACCATCTGTTTCACATGTTGCCTGTTGTCACTCCATTAAAATCCACCAAACCTTTCATGTTGCACTATATAAATACTTTTTCAGTGTGTCACTATCAAAGGACTCATTGGCCTTTTTTACCTTGTTAAACAATGTCCATCTTAACAAGTCGTTCAGTCTTACACCCAGCATTAATTTATGCTCGCATGGTAAACTAGAATTGGATTCAGTAGAGTGCATACCTCTGTGAAGGCCAAACAATCCTACTCATGGCTGTGAGATTGCACCATTTTGCCAAAGTCACAGAACTCAACACCATTAATGTGTCCTGATTTTTTTAATATCAAGATTTAATTATTATTTCCTGAGAAATTGACGAAAGTGATTTTTGCAAATCTCGCAATGTCAAGGAAAGTGATAGAAAAACTCCTGGATCCGCTTGTTTTTAAAGGAGCTATTAGTAAGTTTTCCTAGTGCTACATAGCTAATGTTAGCGTTAACCACTGTTTACTTATCAGTCTAGAAGAAACATTTTGAGTTCAGCACAAAACTTCAATTCTTTACTCGCCAAGAACTTTCTCCAAGCAACCTTTTTTTTTATTTTGTTTCTATTTCCATAATTTTTTCTCTTCTACTGAAGTTAGCATGCTAACCAGCTAGCCCCCTCCCGGTTGGGCCATCTCATCACTTTCCAATACCGAGTCACTGTAGTGTCCAGCTCTGCCCTGAAGGAGTAGAGCTACTCAGAGGACATATCATTACCTCTTGTCTCGTAAATGCAATGATGACTGAAACTGTTAATGCTAACATTGGCTGTGCAGCAATAGCAAAACTTACAAATAGCTCTTTTAATTGAATCTGACTGAAAAAAGACTTTAATGGTTTCCTCACATTCTTCACAGAATGCAAAAAAGGAACAAACATTTCAGCATGAGAAGATCGATACCACTCCTGTCTTTATATGCTACTGTAGTGATTAGCCTAATTTAGCATGATACTGCAAACAGCCTGACTCTGTCCAAGAAACAATCACATTGGCATTTCTGATTGTGTTGTGACACATATTATTTTAATGAGTCAAATTTAAAGTAATTTTTAAACCTTTGAACAGAGCCAGGTTAGCTGTTTCCCTCTGTCTCCAGTTCTTTTTGCAAAGCTATGCTAATCACCTGGCAGTAGCTTGATATTTACCGTACAGACAGCGGAATTGATCTCTTCATCTACCTCTTGGAAAGAAAGTGAATAAACACATTTCGTAAATTGTCAAGTAGAAGTCTACTTTTTGCAATTTTTCAGCTTTAAAACATAAATTCCCCTGCTGCTTTAAAAATGTGGTACACATTTGAGGTACACACACAGCCATCTCCAAAAATCACAAATGCCTTTCATGTCGTTTGCCAAAATAGTCTTAACCTCAGGGGCCATTTACTAGGATTTTCCCATGCTTGAAACTTAATCTCAAGATCGTTTTTCTTCCAAGATCTGGTTAACAGCTCACTTTTCTCGTATGTAGAGCTTCTTTCACTTTTCTATATATTATTTTAATCTACTGCAGTTAGTTTAACATGTGATTCTTATCAGTGATTTTTTTTCCAGCGGAATCTGGAAATTCTCAGGAAGATGTTCTGCTCGTTGCACACAGCTGCTTGGAGATTGGAGGATCTTTTCTTTTCCCACATCTATCTTTACATATAGATTTCAGAGAGTTATTGGTGGCTGTACTAATTCCTCCTCCTCTGACCCATACTGGCCTTGAAGTGATCCGAATGCACTGTAACAAATAGGGGACAAAAACTACAGCCTTTGTTCTGTGCAGAAATGCATCCTAACGTCAGCTGGAGCTGATATTAGGTGGTCTGGGTTAGCCAAGTCAAGTCTTTGATTTAATACTGTCGTTAAATTATTTGGAAATGAGTGGAGAGAGTTGTTGTAATCCTGTATCTTAGTTTCTAAATGTGTGAAGTAGTGGCTTCACAACATTACAGGAGGTAGAATTTCAACAGCAGGGATGCTTGTTGATTCTTTTACTTGTGAGTTTTGCTACAAAAGTGCGTCCAGTTCTTTCGCAACACAGCGAACACTGCTCAGCCTCTTGGACCTCTGGGTTTGTTTTTGGCCCATCTGTCCTGTGCTGTTCTGTTTGTCCCTGCATATGGCAGCCACATGTGGTGAAGCTGTGATGAGTCCAGCTCTGCTGACCCTCATGCTGATGGCTGGTTGCTGAATGCTGCTGTGATTCATCTGTTTGTTTTTGTTTTTTTTAAGGTGCCAGTCAGGTTTCCTTTTTCAGATTTTAGGGGATATAAACAGCAATCTCAATTTAGTTTAGTTCCTGTTCAGCCATGTTGGCATCACTGCTCGTAACTACCCAGTTTTTCCTGTTATTCTATGACACACCTTCCCGTTGGTCAGGAAAGAGTAGCCAGGAAGACCAGTTTTTATTAAAGCAAATGGACAAGCTTCACTAACTCTAGATGAATCATTGCTGGGTTAGAGCGGGACAGAGGGACACAGAGGGTTACTACTGTAGAGCCAGATTGTTAAAGGAATAGTTTGACATTTAGGCAAATTGATTTTCTTGCCAGTTAGCTTAGCTTTGCAAAAAGACTGGAAACATGGGGAGACAGCTGTGTCGAAATATAACAAAGTCAGCCTCAGCAGCTTGTATAACTTGTTGTCCAACTGCGTCGGAGGGAAGATGTTCATTGCTAACGGTCACACTGGGGTGAAAAGCTTGCTGAAATAGAGAGGGAGGCATGATAACCATTAAAATACAGAAATTATGGGCCACACTTTCAGACTGTCTCTCCCAGAAGACGTTCATGTTGTTGCCCTTGGTTGTCCATGTGAAAAATAACAGAGACAGCAGTGCAAAAAGGGAAGAGTGTCCTTGAGAGCGAAGTTCAAACCCTGCTTACTTTCTCACCTCTGCACAGCTGACCAATCGCGGTGTGACGAAGGTGTGAATGTCAGATCGCTGGTTTCAGAAAGTTAAAGAAATTGTCGAACACATATACTATGGCCGTCAGTCACCAGATCTCAACCCAGTTGAACATTTATGGCATTTATGACAGCACTCTCCGACACCGTCATACACCAAATGAGGAATTATCTTCTGGAAGAATGATGTTCATCCCTCATGTAGATTTCAGAGAGTTGTAGCACATGGTCGCCCAACACCTAAGACGCTTTATGTTGGTTTTTCCCTTAATTTGCCACCTGCCTACCTGCCTAACGATGTTGGTGGCCAGCTGCATGCCTGCAGCGTTGACTCAACCTCCTCTTTATGAGCGATTATGTTTACTGCTGAATGTATTTGGCAATGCAGATTATATGAACATATTTTATAGAAAATAAGGTTTGTGAAGAAATATCTTAAATACTACATCATCTTACAGATTTACTGTAATGGTAATCATTATATCCTGTGAATGAGGACAGCTGTCTGACAATAAGACTTCCTCTTTTGATGTGATGCTTCAATGAAAAACATTAAAAGTGCTTTTTTTTGTTTTTATCCCCCTTTTGCCTTTTTCCCCTCCATCTGTCTCTTTCTCATTTTATAACATTTGGTGTTACAGCTCTGTCAGCCCGCCTCTATCAGAAACAGATGTTGTGTTGTTCTCAAGTGGAAGAAATAACAAAAGTAAACAGCAAAGATCAAATTAAGGGAAAGTGAGTGATTACCAGCCAAACCGAGCTGGTGCAGGAAATGGAATTTGTATTGTTGTGGCTGCGGAGGAAAGCTTTCCACAGGAAAGACTCAAAGTACTGCACACTGACCAGAGAGTCATTGAAAACCGGAAATTATTTCTGGAGAGATGAAGAGCCAGATTCACATAATACTGAGAGGTTTATTCTTAAACGGGGGAAAAACATCACGACCATTTCACTCGTACCGGTTTGGACACTGAAGTGCACTGGTGTCGGTATGGTCTGCCTGCCTCTTCTGCTCCCAACAGTCTCTTGCCTTCTGATCAAATGTGGTTGATCTTTATGATGTGGCAATGGATGTAATAAGTGCACAGAACAAATCCTTTCAACAATCAAATTGAAAATAGCAATCTAAAAGAAAATAATGTGGAGTGATCTTAGTTGTTATTTTATAAACCAGTTCCTCCAGGTTTCTCTACAGTTCACCACCCTTTCACTCTGCAGTGTTAACAGTCCCTACTTGCCACGTTTTTTCCACCCATCGTTTTAATTGAATCTCTATTTTTCTACCGATAATTGCATCCTAAATCAGCACGGCAAATTATTCATTGATGAATGAATTGTTTATTGACACAAGAGTAAAAGAAAGCAAAGACCACATTTTTAATGAGTTACTGTCACCTAGTTACCACGTCTTATAACAAGATGAGATGTGTTGTTAATTATAAGAAAGATGGAGAAGAAGCTAGAAGCCTTGTGGATAAGGACAGAAGCATAAAAGCCTGAGAGAGACACGCAATGATAGACATGTACAGAAATCAGTTTAGGACATGTGTGCTGTCTGTGACCTAGGGCAGCATGCATTATATAGTATAGGATGAATTTAGCCATGCAACATTTATGTAGATGTATGCTGAGTGTGTGTGTGTGAGAGAGAGAGAGGGAGAGAAAAGTCGACCAAGTAAAGAGAGAAATTTTCCCGGCTCATAGACATATCTGTTAGAACTGTGACCTGCAGATCTGAAGATCCCTGATACTCCCTTCATACGTAGAGTCACTACACGTATGAGTCTTGTGGTGACATTGCAACCAAGAAGCATTTGAGATGGACTGAAAACCTGTTGTGAAATGCTTTCTAGCCAGATGTTGAAAAAGTTGTGAACAAAGCCATCTCTCCAAGCCACATAAGTCAACTTTTGTTTTTTGTTTAAAAAGGAAAGACATTTTGTGCTGTTGTTTTGTTTTGTTTTGTTTTTTTTAATCCCTGATCAGTGAAACCATGTGATTATTCATGTGGGTGATTGGGCAGTGTGAGATCAAGCAAATCTTGATTCTAATCCGTTCATGTGATTCGCCCTTATAGCTAAACTGGTGATGTTGTTATGAAAACACTAAATCACACAAGTTATTTACCTTACGGCCTTTTTTGTTTTTAGCTATTTTCCAACAGCATCATGTGTTACCACTATCCTCTGGACTGGTTTCCTCTGGACCCTGATTTGTATGCAGCCTGGAAAAACCAAGACAGATACAATCAGATTTGCGATCTGGTCAAAGGAGATGGAACTGGATTTTATCTCAGACTCTTGAAATGATGTAAACTGGTGTAAACTGGTACATGTTACAACCCAAGTACCATGCTGTTCCCATACATGATTTTTTTTTTTTAAATTAAGCATGAATTAAACACTTGATGAAAGTAGGTTCCAAAGCTGGTTCTACATTAAATCCAGGTTAGCAAAATACCTGGAAAATACCTTGCTAAGCTCCACAGCAAACACATCTCTCATTCGTCAAAATCAGGTGTACAACGGTAACCACTCTCCCTCGCTGTCTTTACTGTGTCTCAGGTGCGTCAGTCCTCTCTAAGGTCGTACATCGGCGTGGTTCCCCAGGATACCGTTCTTTTCAACGACACCATCGGCAACAACATCCGCTACAGCCGAGTCGCAGCCACCAACCAGGAGGTGGAGAGAGCTGCCATGGCTGCTGACATACACACCAGGATACTGGAGCTTCCTCAGGGTCAGTCGTTTCACTTTGACGTTGCTGAAGCAGACCTGTAATATTATGTTTGTCAATTTGATCCTGAGGTTAGAGCTGTCTCTTTCATTATCAAAATTATCTGTGTTTAACCAGGTTATGACACAGAGGTGGGGGAGCGAGGGCTGAAGCTCAGTGGCGGGGAGAAGCAGAGAGTGGCGATAGCTCGAACCATCCTGAAAGAACCTGAGATCATTCTGCTGGATGAGGTGAGGATGGAGGTGGAACATGAACTTGAACACACTTTGCTGCAACTGAACACATGCACCTGTTCATGCCCCTTTTAATAAAAAAAACATAAATCACATAACTGACACAGGTTGCCTACTCCAGTGTGCCCATGTTCAGTCTTCTGCACTTCTCATGCTGCCGGATTTTAATTACTTATCGTGTCTGACCGTGTCCAGCTTTGACAGCCGTCCTAAACACCGTGTCAATAAAGTTCTGTGTCCAATTTTCACTGAGTCCAACATCCCTTTTACAAGAGAGGCCCAAACAAATTAAATCCCAAAGACAATTCAGTCACGCAGCAGTCATTAAATGCACTAGCACACTTAATAAATTCACAATAAATTCACACATTTTATCACTTAGTAGCTAAAATGTTTCTCTGCAGTGGAATATATTTCAACAAATAGTCTGTCATTTCATTATACTACTTATTACACTCATACATACTGTGTTTGGTCCATCAGGCCACTTCTTCACTGGACACCCAAACTGAGAGGAACATCCAGGCTTCACTGGCCAAGGTCTGCACCAACAGGACGACTATAGTGGTCGCACACAGGTGACATTACTACCAAGCTGTGTCTTGTTAGGAGGGAAGTTTCCTGCTTCCTTTCTTTATAACTAGGAATCTTCCTGATAAGTTTGCTTGTTTTACTTGACCCAGAGTGTTGTGTTGAAGGAGCTATTTGTAAGTTTTGCTATTGCTACATAGCCAACGTTTGCATTAACAGCTGTTAACTTACCAGTCTGGAAGAAACGTTGCGAGTTCAGTATCAAACTTCATTCCTTTACTTGTCTCCAGTGGTGGAAAGCAATGCCAACTCTTCTCCATCACGTCTTTTATTCTGCTGAAGTTAGCATGCTAGCCCTAGCCCATCTTATCACTTTCCAATACCGAGTCACTGTAGCCTCCAATCTGCGCTGAAGACGTAGCGCTGCTCAGAGGATGTATTATAACCTCTAAGCCAAATCATCACCATGTGCTTCTGGCAAGAAACCACATTCTGTGGCAGAGAAAACATACAAATAGCCCCTTTTTAAAAACACTACTGCAGCAATTAAAACTTAATATCATAGCACACCAGTTTTATCCACACATCAACGGAGTGACGATGTTGTTGTTGTAATAATGGAAAAGAGCAAAGCATCCGTCATATAGTAACATCCACTCATCCGTGGACAATCAGGTGAAGCATGGTCCTTTTTTTGAAAAAAATTTTTATACTGACTGCAAGTTGTTGTGGGCAAAAAGATCCTCCAATGTGGAACTGGAGCTGGGTTTCTGTTCTTTTGACACTGAGTGAATAAACAGACATTCTGCTCTATAAATGAGAGTGGTCTGTTACAATGTGGTTACAGTAGCGGTGGTAATACAGGACCGAACCAAAAAGAAGAACCAAATGTGAGTAGAAGAGATGAAAGGAAAAGAGGGATGTGGTGAAAGGAAAACAGGATTAGAGCGCACACAAAGAGAAGGATGGAGAGATTAAATGGAAAGCTGATTGGAGGATATGAGGTGACGCGTGATGACAGGTCAACAAAAGTAAAAGAAACAGATGTCTGGTTATTCATCAGTCGGAGTGATATTGAAAAAGACTTGAAAGGCTGTGACACTCGCAGACATTAGAAGACATTAGGAGCGAAGCAGCCTGTGGAACTGATGCCGGCTACACGGCATGGACCCAGTTATCATCATTTCCTCTGTACAATGGATTTTGTGTTTTTTTTTGTTTTGTTTTTTTCTTGTTCCATGACTAACATTATTAAATCACGGTTTCTGTTGTACAGAAGAAAGTTGACTAATTTGATCAACAAAAGCAAAAAGCTAAATGTGTTTATTTGTGTATATCAAATTACCTGTGAGGACAACCTGTTCTTTCCACATCCTGCTCTTTTTCCACATCAGGCTGTGTTGTCTGCTCCAGTAATTATAGATCTGGACCTAATGGCTTTTGGAAACAGTCAACAAACCAAAAACAACAAAACTGTAAACTTGGAAATCTCACAGTGTGTAACCCAGCAAAAATCTTTACATATAAAAACGACTTTTTAAAGCGTGAGGAGTCTTATTTTTCACAACCGAAGAATGTGCACACCTGTATGGAAACTCTGACCCATGCAAACAAACATTGTCCACAGATGTTGACTGTAACTAGTCATCTGTGACTGTTACTGACACCGAAGCTCTGAGGCATTTGTCAAACTTGCTGTTTTTATACGACTGTGCTAATTGTTGCTCCGGTAAAGAAAACCACTCGTGAATTTTTGAAGCAACAACAACAAAATGAACATTGCACAAACTGGCATTGTATTGTGTTATTGAATAACTGTCCATACTTAGTTTCATTCATGGAGAAAACATATTTATAGTATCTGGAAGCAACATTTTGTTTAACTGTTTTTGTTTAACAGTGTTGATACTGAGATGTTGTTCCAAGGTCTGACAAACATCATCTCATCATGTACATTAATTGTCTCTCTCCTAAATCTGATGATTATTTATTGATCAGTTGTCTTTTGAATGAGTTAATCCAGCAGCTTCTTAATCTTTGAATAGCAGTGACAGATGGAGTCTGGTGGCAGGATCAGGACTGTTTATTAACTGAATCAGTCTGGCCTTAAATGAAATTAAAACACACACAATCACAGCAGACAGATGAAGATTTAGACTTTGAAGCCTCTGAAATCTCTTATTGGGAATTTATTGGGAATTTTTCCCTTCTTCTGAACATGGCAGCAATCTGCTGCTAAAATCAAGCTCATCTAACAGAATACTGAAATGTAGGTGGCAATGATGCAGTGTCGAACTCTTAAAGGATCTGGGTAGACCTACTGTATGTCTAAAGTTTCATTGTTTTAAAACCCTCTTTATCTCATACTGTACTCCTTTCATTCAGATTATTTCCTGCCTACTCTTTTGAAATGACACTGTCTTAAAAATACAAATACCGAGTCTTAAAAACAAAAACTGAGGGAAGTTCGTTTCCTTCAAAAAGTAATAGGAGGTGTTTTGACTAGAAACAGGAAGAGGAGAACTGTTTGCAGTTGGGAGTAATTAAATGTGTAGAAGATGCACAATTTGGAAAAACAAGTATATGGTGGCCGACTTGAAAGAGGAGGACTCATTCCATTCTTTATTGACCATGGTTATATTACTTTTTAAATTAAAGTGTGCAGGTCAGCCAAATGTTTGGCCAATGTAAATGGTAATTCTATGGACCCAAAGCTTGACAGTAGAATCTAAATTGTACACTCGGAGTATAATAAGTGATAAGTTTTGTATCAGTAGGTTGTATTTTAGGGAAAGCATTAACAATGGTCCCAGGGATCTCTGTCAGTGAGCCACCCTGCATCGCACGTGGGCTCTGGAACTGATGCGTCTCCATGTAAACCAGCCGTCGTTAATGTTATTAGTAACACCTGTGCGTTTCCTGCTATGATGTGTCAAAACGGTCTGCGGTCAGGAAGGCTTCGTCCTAACACATGACACCAAGTTATCAGCTGTGGGTGAGTCTTCACTCATTTAACCAGGACTAAAACCTCAAAGGTTACACTTGTGTTAATGAATATAAAACTTTAACCTAAACCTAAAAACAGGACATGAACTGTATATCCTGAATATAGTGTCTGCATGTAAACACACAGGATGTTTTCTTCGTGGTGAAAAGCCTGAATGAGTGGAGAAAAAACCCGTTGACGTCTGCAGTCTCTAGAGAGAGATATTTCTACCTGTGACCGAGGTTTTCTATCAAATATTGAAGGTGGACGTCCAAAGATGGTCTTGATGACATTAAAGCAGAGTGGTGGCTCAGCTGAAGCTTTAAAGTGACATGCAGCAGTTTGGAGAAGCATGAGGTCTCAACCTTTTTTTTTTTTTTTAATGTTCAATATCCTTTTTTCAGATTCATACATTTACATGAAAGAAAAACTCTGAAAATTAGGGAAAGCTTTCATCTGTGCATCTTACAACACCTTGGGAATAATTTCCCTGATTCCCCACTGCGTCGCATCACGAAGCTGAGAGCCATTCAGATCGCTGAGTGTGGCTTTAATCAGACTCATCAGGGAGTGGTCATAAATATTAACTTTAATAATTTACAGACAAGTTCATTCAGAGTTCCCCAACCCAGAGTGACATATTCAGCTCTCTTTCTGTGTGTGTGTGTGTGTGTGTGTGTGTGTGTGTGTGTGTGTGTGTGTGACAGAACTGAAGTGTGCTTGTATGTCTCTGTTAGTGATTACTGAGGAATGACTGTGTATTTTTTTACTTTTATAGGACAGCTGAATATATTTAACATCAAACCACACATTATGACCACCTCCCACTCTCTCTTTCTACAGATACCGTACGTCTCAATCTTTTCCCATTTCCTCATCTTATCCCGCTCGTCCCAACCTCTGACACCTCTGGAATTACTATCTCTATCTCTTCCCGTCTCTGTCGTTCCACTCTTCACACGTGTGTCTGAAGAATATTTCCAGCTTATTACTTGGATCTTGTTTCTGTGGCTGTGGCCATCGTTTCTGTTGTTACTAATAACATTATTACGTTTGTGGCTGCACACTCACAACACAGCAACATCGCTGAGAAGGACTCTCACATTCAAACCGATTTCAAACAAATCTCCGGGGCCTCATTTCCCAAAAGCATCTTAAGGCTAAGATGGTTGTAAAATCCATCTTTCAGACCTCCTTAAGCTGAGCAGGTGTTTCCCAAAAGCATCGTAACTGCAGACATTTTTATTGTAGATTAACGAGAGCCTCCTACACACTCGCAGGAGGTCATGGGAGGCTTCTTAGGAAGTTTCAAAACCTGCGGGAAGAACCAAAAACTTCAAGTTTTATTTAAGTTTATATTGTTTTTGTTCATTTCTGAGTCTGTATGTTTTTTCATCATGAACACAAGTGTTTAAGTGATGTGTGATGGAAAATTAGTCCTAGTGGTTTGAGAAAATAAGGAAAGCCACTGAACGCTTTGTGATGTATATGTTTGTAACATATAGACAGTTAAACAGCATCATCCTCATCAACACAGACAACTGATGTTGTGAAGCTCTTAATGGATTCTGCACCTGCAGCAAAGTTTTCCTTTGGGAAACAAGTAATGTGTGTGTGTGTGTGTGTGTGTGTGTGTGTGTGTGTGTGTGAGTGTGTGTGTCTGTTAAGCATCCATCAAAGTTTCCTTACACAGTTGTGCTCACAGTTTTCATGTGAACTAAAGGAATTAGTGTCAACATTACATGCCTGCTCACTTTCAGTTTAATCTCTGAACGAAGTGGTTTTGAATAGAAACACTGGCTGAAGCTACAAAAAGGTGCTACTTCTACATCTGGGCCAGTTCTGGCTGTTATCCGCTGGTGTGGTCTAGCAGCCGGAAAGATTAACTATGTGTTCGCCGAAGTTGGCCCAGATGTGGAAGTAGTAGCTGACAATCTTGCTGTATATATGGACCAAACTGGGGCCAAGGACACAGGCGTATAGTGGGCCAGAGAAAACACAAATCCACGGCCTGAAGTCCCAAGTGTTCACAAGAATGATTTTGCGCAATCCCGTCTGTGGTTATAACCATGAGAACTCTCCCTTTGTACACCCGCCACCCACCCCAACCACCTCCGGGCAACTCTGCTGCTGCTAATAAATGTAGTGCGTCATTCATTCAAAATAAAGAAATGAAAAGAAGAAGAAAATAAAAAAAGTAGCCTCTGACCATGATCCAGTCAGCGATCAGGACATTGTAATTAGGACCAGCTAACAGTTTAGCAGTGTATGACTTGTAATTTGTAGGGAACACGGTTGAAGCGACAGGCAGTGACATGAGGGGATTGAGGATTAATGATTGTGTGATGTTGCAGGTTGTCCACCATCGTCGAGGCGGACCAGATCCTGGTGGTTCACAATGGACAGATCGCAGAGAGAGGAAGGTGAGGTTGTTTTTTTTTTTTCCAAGTGTCTTCCTCCATCTCATCCTCCAACCACAGCCACCGGTAACTGTGTGTGTGTGTGTGTGTGTGTGTGTGTGTGTGTGTGTGTGTCAGTCACACCTGAATGTCTTTGTGTGTCCTAAGTGCTTGCAAATTTGTTATCTGTAGATCAAAACCTCAGAGTGTGTTTTTGTGTGTGACCCTTAAACCTCCTGCTATCTGTCTTAGCCCCAGAGGGTGATGGACCACACCACACACACACACACACACACACATACACATACACACACAAATGCAGTGGAGCTGTCACTTTACTGCTGATGCATACCATCTTTTGATATAGGAGCTGGCTATGAAGACTTCCTTTCTCACACACCGAGGTTACACACACACACACACACACACACACACACACACACACACACACACACACACACACACACTGAGCTGGTCACATCCAGATGCATGCAGGTGTTTACCCATCACTCACTGCAGAGCTTGGTTTGCCCCTGCAGGCGTGTGTAAGGAACACCGTCCAAGAACCATTCATCTTTTGATTGACACTGTGATGTAAACACAAAGCGGCCCATTTAACCTCTGGTGTCAGAGTACACACAGTCTCTGCCACAAAGTGCGAGAGTGCATCATGAGACAAAGACAGGAAGAAGCCTCATCCTGTCCTCGGGGTTTACCTCCGCTCAACATGCTTTACATGGACTATCCATGCAAAACCTGCTAATTCTGAAAACGCTGCTAACGTGACAAAACAATGTGAATCCAAACCAGCTCTTTTAGACGGTTCGTATAAAGATCTCCTTCCACATTTTGAACAGCTGAACAACAGACTGAGAGTCTTTTCTGTCGTTCTGTTTTGGGCAGCAAACAACAAAACTGTGCATCATAGTAAACATCTGGCTAGGAGCGGGACAGATCACATCTCAGTTAACTCTCTTAAACCTTTATCCTGTCTCCTCCTGCTCTCTGTGGTCCCCTATACTATGTGTCAGTGTAGCCAAACTCCTGATTTAATCGTTCTCATTTTCATATTTTTCTATTTTTATCATTACACAACTGAACAAGTAACACGTTTGATGAGACTGAGACAATAAATAAAGCAGTAAAATAACAATTTGTGATTGAGAGCTCAGTTTTTTGGGTGTGATGAGCGACCAAAACCGAGAGGAAAAATGTGTTTTCAAATCTAGCTGCCTCAGCGTGGAAGTATTTATAGGCTTGAGTGTGATAGCACATAATTTAGAAAAGCCTCAGCATCACTCTTCTCTCTTTTTCTTTTTTTCTCCTCCATGTCCCTGGTCAGATTGACCACTTGACCTCCTCTTTCACTCGACACCCAAGTTTCTCTTCATATTCCCTTCATTTCTTTTCCCATCATCCCCTCTCTGCCTTTCTTTAGCTTCCATCTGTTCATGAACCTGCTCTCTTTCTCTTTCTCTCTCTATCTGTATCTCTATTTCTGACCCCCCTCTTGCTCTCTCTCTCTCTCTTTCTCTCTCTCTCTCTCTCTCTCTCTCTCTCTCTCTCTCTCTCTCTCTCCGTCTGGCAGTCCAGACAGTAACAGACTTGTGGTTTTATTAATTCATAGTAAAGTTGGTTCAAGTCTGCGGGAGGATTTCAGACAGCTCAACTTTGCACTTCTTGGAGCAGCTCTGGTGTCACAAGACATTATGAGTGACCCACCTCCTCCTCCGCCTGCTCTCCTTCTCCTGTAAATTGTGTTTCCTCGTGTTTTTTTATGCTTTGCCTCTTTTTATTTTTTGTCTCCGACAGTAACATCTGAAATGTCACTTTTGTCACACACTACACTAAAGGTGCTGCTGGTCAAGTGAGTGGTCAAATGGTGAAGCCAACATGTTGTTTAAGGGACTGTAAAAGCTATTTCTGGAACATGAATGATGAATGATGAGGTTCAGATAAAGATGATTCTTTCTATTTACTGACAGGTTTACTGGATGCCTCACCCGAGAAGCTGAATCAGAGACTCACATACTGATTTTTTACTTTTCATTTTTAAGATGCAGTTTCTCGTCTCATTTTCATCCCCTTTGCTCTTTTTATTGTCCTGTTCTGTTCAGACACGAGGAGCTGCTGGTCCAGGGAGGTCTGTATGCGGCCATGTGGATGAAACAGCAGAAAACTCTCGACACACCAACAGAAACACAGAGCAACAATCAGACTCAAGAAACTTGAGTATGAACATTTTTTTGATCCAGTACCCACCACATACTCTTTTGTCATATCTGTTGTATCTGCAGCCCTGACTGAAGTAAAGTCCGGAGAAACTGAAACTCTGCAGCTGGTTATAAAATCACATTGACACTGGTGTCGTCATTCATACACTGAGGCTGAAACGCAGTAGGAAGTGTTAGCAACATAACATAACCTTAACCCCACCTGTCCCTCCCAGAGCAGGATTTTCCATTAGAATTAATGATGCATCACTTCTAATACAATGTATTTAGTATTCAGCAGTCTCTAACTTTAGTTGCTTAACCATAATTAGCTAAGACACACACACACACACACACACACACACACACACACACACACACACAGATAAGCAACATGGTCAGGTAGGATGAAGAACAAAGCAGCTATTACTTTCACTGACTCCAGGTGGGAGCATGAATATGCCTGAATCTGCAGGTTTAAACTGCTGCTGCTGTAACTTTCCTTTCCTATAGGTGGCGCAGGTTGACATGTGTAGAACTGGTGTGACAATATCCAAGTGCAATTTACAGCTAATGCCAAAGAGCACGGATAATTGTGAAGCTGTAGGAAACATTAATGTTAGCCAGCTAACAACCGTATGGTAGAAATGCTGTAATGAACATTGGGAAGAATTTACTAAATGTCAAGGTGAAAGTTCCTCTGCAGCAGAAGCTGCTGGCAGTGACCAGACAGTCTGTGAAGATTTAACCCCAGTCATTAAAAACTGAGGCGATTATGTTACTGTGATTGTTTTGGTGAAAACATCCTGGATGGGCTGAAAGTGCCGGTGTCAGAGGTGACTGTTTAGAGTAAAACTATATCGGCAGCCTGAGGCCCAGAGAGAGAGAGAGAGAGAGAGAGAGAGAGAGAGAGAGAGAGACAGATGGAGAGAATGTTTCAGACAGAACTGCGTCTGGTTACAAATAAAAACCGGAAACAACAGCTGTGTCATGGCTTTTCTCTATAAAAGACACGGTGATACACATCAGAATCCAGCTGTATCATAAGCCCCTTTCAGACATAGACTTGCATTTATTACATAAATGTGTTTTTAATTTTATGTAAGTTTTATGTTCAGATAACTTTTCTGTAAAAGTCGAGGCAGCAGTCTGACTAGTAACATTTCCAGAAGACTTACAACCGCAGCAACATAAGTTCAGTGACGACTCCTCTACCGTCATTATCCTTAAATCAACAATTATCAATATTTTTTTTTTGCAAGGTAAATCTGTTATTACAGGTTTTAAATTTTGACATTGACAGAAAAAGAAACTGGAGGTTGTGGACATTTTGTTTTAAAACTTTATTAGAATTATCAGCTGACAAAAGCAGTGGGCTTACATTCAGTGTGAGCCCCTACATCACGACCAATGGCGTAGCTCGTATGTTTAGTGGTTAAAACATTAAGTTTTAATAGAACATAAATAAAATCTGTCTTCACAGCTTCAGATGGTCAAAGCTGTGAATGAGTGTTAGAATAGTTCCTGGCCCGTTTGTCAGCCAGAGCTCCGCACCTGCAGGACCACTGCAGCTTCCTTCTATCAGCCATTACCCAGCACATTAGTCTGTGGGTATATATACTCACCGAGCACTTTATTAGGAACCCCTGTACACCTGCTTATTCAATCAGCCAATCATGTGGCAGCAGTGCAATGAATAAAATCCTGCAGATACAAGTCATGAGCTTCAGTTGTTGTTCACATCATCATCAGTGAGTTCAGTGACCTGCTCCTGTCTCCAGAACAACGCCCCTGGGATGTGCTAGAACAGGAGATTGGCAGTTTGAATGTGCAGCTGACAAATCTGCAGAAATGATGTGAAGCATCACATCAACATGGAGCACAATCTCAAAGGAGAGTTTCTCGTGGAATCCACGCCACAAAGAACTGAGGCTGTTTTGAGACCAAAGGGAGGAATTAGCCAGTATTGGTATGGTGCTCAGTGTATGAGTGTATATGATCCCTGTAGCTGATCACAGAGGAATTCATATGGAGACAATGCAACTGAGCTTCCAGCTTTTTGTGTGTTTTCTCTCTCTTTCCTTTGGACAGTTTTTGCTGTGAAGAAAATGCAAATAAAAACCTGTTGTAGTTGGATTTAAACATTTACTTTTAATTGAGATTCTAATGTAAAACAACTTCCTCTGAATATCACTAAGATAGAGTATAAATATCTCAACTCTTTGTTATGGCTAACAGCTCCAAATAGCTTTACTGACTGGATGTTGTGAGCAGCCCACAGTAATATTCAGGTTTCTGAATAGATGTTTCTTAGTGCAATGCTTCTTGGTAGTTGTAGTTGTGAAACCCTGGAGCCAGTCCAGCTTTGCTGCTGTATCGCCTTTTAGAGTAGGGTTTACATCAAAGCGGTTTCTCAAGAATTCCAGTGCTAACTTGGCCCGTGTTGATTTTATCTTGGCAACAACTTGAACTCATCACCATCAGGACAGAGCTTAAGAAGTGGAAACCAGACGAATAAATCTCTTCACTGCTTTCTAAAAGTATTTTATTGACTAGATTTTTGTGATGCCGCATGCAACTAAAAACATTTCAGCTAAATTACATCTCATATTCTGTACAGATCATTACACAAACTGTGAATATGCACATGTCAACCTGCTGGACGCAGTTCTGGTCCAAAATGTCCCACACGTTTGGGAAAAGTTGTTCCTCTGATCAACCCCCCATCTTCATCTTGAATAAACGAATCTCTACTGTAAAATCAGTACAACAGCAAACATCTGTACGGAACACAGCTGGGGAGGGAGGGAGGGAGGGAGGGAGGGAGATGCACACTGGGCTGTGGTGTGTTTACTGTACTGTTACTGGGATGAAGAAAGACGGGAGGTAATGTACTCACAAGAATCACAAAGTACCAGCAAAAGACAGCACATACGTTGTTAGTGTAGGGGCGGGTTAATATTAGAACGTGTGCATGTTTCATGTGATGGACCACACACACAAACACACACACACACACACGCATATACACACACACTTGCAAGTTGTGCCTTTATTAAAATGCCATAGAGAGTGTGTGTAGCAGTGAGGGCAGTCTCAGTGCTTCATATCTTAATCATGATCACTGCCAACCAATCTCTCTGTCTGTCGTTCCCCGGCTGTCTCGGTGTGTGTGTCTCTCTGTCTCTCCCTCTTCCTCAGAATAAAACGTCCTCCACCTCTAAAGGTCAAAAATAAACCTCCTCACTTCCAGATTTTTAACTCCTGGGTGTTATTTTTATAGTGTCGGCCATCATTCCATTATGATAACATTTTATTCGTCAGATCTGGGATTTCGAGACTCTGCGGGGCAGCTACGATTCATTTAATGTAATCGCGTGTTCACAACCAAAACAGCTCTTGATAGAATTAATATTGAACTAATTGAGTATAACTGTGAATTTGTTAAAAACCTGATCTGGTTGTCACAGAACTCTGTTGATTGCCAAGTCGTATTCAGTGCAGGCTGTCCTCTCCAGTTACAATGACCTACAGTATATTTCCTTTATTTGGGTGTAAAACTTATTTGATTTGACACTGGAGACCGCTGCCGGTCTCTGATGGAGAGTCAGTGTTGCTTTCGTTTAAAGGATAAGGTTTGAAATATTCTGTACTGTATGATTCTGAAATTACTCAGTAGGAAAATGATCAGGGGGTTGAATTGTACTGATTGATGGAATAACACACTGTTGGCTTTGGTCTTTTCAATAAGAAAAAAAACAGAATATATTTTGGAAATAATAATTCTGCTTGGTTAATATGATGCACTGAATAAACATGAGGCAAACTGATTTGAAAAGAGCAAGCAGTAGTCTGTGTGTCACCATATTCTCCAAAAATACTCAATACTGACCTTCAAATCTCACTCTTGTCCTTGGAAGTAAGTTTGACAACTAAACAAAAATTTTCTTTTGTCGTCATTCATGTTTTCTTATGAGCAAAATTCAAAATCCACACAACACATGGATGGAAACTCTGTCTCAGTGTTTTCGTCACTTCTGATGTCGTGTGACTAATTCATTCCAGTATTCAACTGTTTAAATGTGGTCAGAACAAGGGGAAAGAAAGAGCGGGACAGCCAAGAAGGAAAGACAACAAGGTGGAGAAAGATAAACAAAGGGGAAAAGTAAAATGATGGAGGGAGGAAGAAGTTGAGAAAAAGGTGTAAGTCGAGCAGAAAAAAGGAAAAAAAAAGTGGGAGGGAGAAGGGAAAATTAAATGGGGGGGGTGGACAAGGATGGAGGCAGTTGAGGGAAATAAGAAATGCAAGTAAAGGAAGGAAGGAAAGGAGGAGACGAGAAGGAAACATGGTAGAGAAGAGGTTAGAGGAGGAGATCAAGAGAGGAATGGAGGAGAGGGAAGGTAGACAGAAATAAAGGAAGAAGAAATAACTGTCGTAAAGATTAAAATAGAGGCGGATGATTGGCTCTGAAATGTTAAAGTGCCCAGGAGATGTGGCGTACACACACACACACACACACACACTTACACACTGCCCCGAGTGTAAGCTAGCAATTGTCTCCAAGAGTGGTTGTCCTCTTGCTGAACTCACAAACACACGCACACACGCACACACACACACACACACACACACTGTTCACATGGTGTTCAGGACACTCCCATTGGGATGAGCTGTCATCGCCATGGTTACAGTCTTGAGTTCAGAGTCAGGACACAAAGCACACACATCGGTGTCCACCAAGCACACTGGAGCTAAAGTCCTAAGTCAACACACACCGGCAAATATGCATGTGTGTGATGCAAATGTTTGTGTATGTTGTGTGTGTGTGTGTGTGTGTATGTGTGTGTGTGTGTGTGTATATGTGTGTGTGTGTGTGTGTGTGTCCATAATTAATTTGTTTCCCACTCAGTCGCTCTCTCTCTCCCGCTCAGTGTCAGTGTCTCTCTCTCAGTTGCTCCTCCTGTGTTTCTGGTGCCACAGCGCGGTCGGCAGGTTCTGGCAGCCCTGGTACTCTCGCCGCATCTCTCCATCGGTCAGAGGTGGCGTGGCGTTGCAGGGAGCGCCCGCCAGCGTCACGTTTAAAAGGCCGGCCCACGGCTCCAGGAGGCGAGATATCCCTGCACCCTGATAACATCATTGGTGGAAGAGGAAATTAGAAGATCATTTAGAAGATTAAAGGGGGCAAAGGGGGAAAAGTGATAAATTACCTTCCCCAGGTGGTCCAGCAGGCAGACTGCAGGGCTGATGAGGGACCAGCTGCTGTCCTCCGAGCCCGGGTTCAACCTCTGGTTCTGGTGGTTGTGGGTCAGCCGGGGTTGGCTTTGGATCAGCACCACGTTGAGGTGTTTCTGGGACCCTCGCAGCCTCTTGGACAGAACACCGCTGTAGCTCTGATCCACAAACAGCAAAACACGAGTCGCCCTGCAGCCGGCGAGGTCGGCCAGCAGCTCGTTCACCGAGTACCGCTCCTTCAGATCAGCCTGGGAAGAGAAAGGGAGGAAGAAGGGACCAAGTGTCAAAAAGATACAAGTGATTTATTTTAGAGGCAAGAGGTGAGAATACACAAAGTAAAGAGATACACCTTCATCTGGTGAATCGTCTGAGTTGGAATAATGGGATATTTTTCTCTGGTCTTCCTGTTCCACCAGCCTTAGCATACATCTGGTTAGCACAATAGCTAACATGTTAGCAGTAGCACACACATTCAATATGCACTCTCAAAACTAATTGCTGTAGATGAGGTTAACATCATATGTAACATTGACCTTCACCAAAAGAGGAGAACTGTGATATTTAAATACTGTTATTGGCTGATGTGGTAAATGTTCATTCAGGAGGCAGGAGGTGGAGGATGTGCTGCTGGATTCCTGGAGAGCTGTGTGCAGTCACCAAGGCGAATTGTGCAGCTGTCTGCTGGTTAAACTGCAATGTCTCGTTTTCTATTTGTTAAATATGAAAGATGTGACGTGTAGGAGTGAAGGGCGTGGAGTTGTTTAAAGGCACATTTGATGGAGCTGACAGCTGAATAACGAAGGTAAAACAATGAGTAGTGGAGCTGACGTATCAACAGAGTAACAAAAAAACTAAACAATAAAATCCTGATTACGACCACAACCTGCTGGACTCAGTCTGACTGGTTGATTGGCGTAATGATCGCCTTTAAAGATGAGCTCATATCCTCATGTTCAGAAACTTATATGACAGAAATACTGTTGTCTGGGTGGTCCTGTGTGTGTGTGTGTGTGTGTGTGTGTGTGTGTGTGTGTGTGTGTGTGTGTGTGTGTGTGTGTGTGTGTGTGTGTGTGTGTGTGTGTGTTCAGTGGAACCATCTTATCAGTCTGATAATGGCTTCCATGTGCGTCAGATCATTTTCCACTCCGTGTTGGTGATCTGCTTCAAAGACACCGGTCTGTTGTTTAAAGTGTGTACACGTCTGTCTCTGGGGAACTTTACACCCACTGATTACCCACAAACCCATTCGTCCTCTGTGCCTGATTCACTGTGTACTGTGTGAGAGTCTCTCTTACGATGCCGTTGAGGTTGGCGTCCCACAGCAGCATGGTGCCGTCGTTGCGTGTTGGCGAGTTCAGGTAGAGAACCAGCGTGTCGGCGCAGTGCTGCTTCCTGCAGACGTACGACACGTGGTTTCGGATCACCGCTTTCTCCGTTGCCGAGTACACACCCTCTATGTCGTCTGTTGGGTGGAGATGATGAAGATTGTCAGATTAAATCATTGGTGGAGTTCTTTTTGTTGTTTTTTTTTCACTCCAACAGAGGAAAACGGGCTTACAGCCGGCTCTTCTTTATCTACTGCAAAGTAAATCACATTTCTAAAAACATAGCAGCTTTAATAAAGTGGTCGGTCTTTATGGATGTTTTTGCTCTACCTTAGAAATGAGTGGAGAGCTGCAAATTAACAGAAAAAGTCTCATAAGGTTTTTGTATGTGGCAGTGGAAAGAACTGAAGTAGCTCACTACATTTCAGAAGGAAATATTGTAGTTTTTATTCCACTACATCTGTTTAGCTATTCTGAAGTGTGTACTTTTACTTGCCATGTTGAACTGAGATAGCAATGAGATTTTTTTGCTTAAACTTGGTCAAAGAGAGAAAACACCGTCTCACCAGGAAGTTGTCCGCTGCTGGCAAAGAAGGTCTTGATGTGATCTTTATGAAAACCGTTGTTCCGCAGCATTCTGTAGAACCTCTGAAGGTTCTGAACATGACGCTGGAACGTCATCTGCTGCTGCCAGCCACCTACACACACACACACACACACACACACACACACACACACACACACACACACACACACATACAATAGTTAAATTCTGGTAGGTTTAGATACAAAACCAACTTTGTTAGGTTTAAGGAAAGATCATGGTTTGGGCTAAAACAAGTACTTTTTAAAAATTAGATCACCTTTGTCATAATAGTTAGAGTCCATCCATTCATCCATCCGTCCATCCCAAACATGTGCCTATCCAGACTTTAAGCTCCATAACATCAGCTGACTTCCTCCTTCACTCCCATCATACTTACTATGGCCACTACAGGGCTTTGTCTCTTGAACATAAGCATCGTCTTCTCTCCAATTTGAGCCCTCTGCATCAAATCTCATCTGTCCGTTGATTTTTTTCTTTTTTAATGCAACAGTACAGTTCACCTCAGCCTTTCTGCACATTACTGGCACTTGGAGATACAGGCGAGAGTAATTCATTTATGCAGTTATTAAGTTATAGACACAGTGTCCTACCTGAGATGAGCACAGCGTGGTCACAGGTCTGGTAGAGTCGGCAGGACAGGTGGGTGGCCAGTGGCTGCTGGTGGCAGCGTCTGGTGTTTTTATTCAGCTCACAGCTGGAGACGGGCAAACTAGGAGAGCCCATGGGCAGAGGCTGAGGACACCTCGCAAACTCTGCATGGTCTGTTGGAGGCAGGGCCATGGAAGATTTCAGAGATGAAGAAGTGTCAGCATCACAGAAAGCGCCCAGGTGCTTGTCTTGGAAACGACTTCTAAATAAAGCGGAGCTTGAGCGCTGAAACCTGCTTACTCAGCAGACAGTGGGTTTAAATGGGACACAATCAAAAGTTAAGGAATACTTAATCTCTTCATACTTGCAGCGTGCCAGAGGCTGGTTTGTGGGTTTATCCCGAGGATTGTTTATGTTTGCCATAACAGCAAAAATAACATTTTCCCAGAAGTTTTTCTCATGACGCCCAGGTTGCTGGCAGAGGCTGCAGGAGTGGGTGGTCTTGGCAGAACATTAGATTGAGTCTACATCTCACTCACAAAGTCTCCTACTAGGAGAAGTGAAACCACACAACCCATAAAACTCAGGTGGATTTGAACAATCCCAAGACTATTTGACATCAGATTATTTAACTTTTTTTCTGCGCCCAACCAAAATCAACTTTCAGAGACATGAATGAAATGGATACTCTGAAACATGCAGGATGAAAACTGATGTCTTTGTTTTATTCCCTGACTTTTCATCGAGCGCAACCACTGACATTTTTTGGTCTTGAAAGTGTGAAATGTCTTTACTACTGGATCGATTGGCATGAAATTTGGCAAAGATATTCAAGCCACCTAGAGGATGAATCTTATTGACTTTGGTCATGCATTGATGTTTTATCTAACGCCATTTACAGGTCAATATATTTTAATTTGTCTAGTATTTTGTTTAATATGTATGTTGTATATGTTTTATTTAGTTTTAGATTAAACGTATACTTGCAAAACTTATGATATTTTATCAGCCACAGCTGTACTGTAGTGTTTATTGGTAATTAACAAATATCTGCATGCATAGACTAAGATGGTTAGCATGCTAATGGTAGCATTTAGCTAAAAGTATGAGTACAGCCTCACAGAGCCACTAGCAGGCCTGGTGAAACTTTATTCGGTGGTGTGTACAAGGATCTATCTTCCATTAATCAAGAGTTCATGTTTGTGGATGAATTTAGTCAATTTAGAGACTGAGGATATGTTTAGCCTAGCTTAGCACAAATACAGAAAGAAGGGGGAAATTGCTAGCCACCATCAAAAGACAAAAAAAAAACAAGATATAAAAATGCATCTTCCCACTACTTAATGTTTATTAGTCAAAAGTATGTTGTTGGGTTGCTGTTGGGTTTTGTTCAGACAGGCTGTGCTCAGTAAAAGTAGCGAGTTGAGACTCACCCACACATCGGAGTCTCTGTGTTCGGTTGCTGTCTTCGACTCCCACCACCAGTGGCAGGAAGTGGACTTCACAGAGCCCCCCGATGGCCCGCTCCACCAGACGGCTAGCACCGCTGGTGGTAATGGTGCCGCCACGCAGCGCCCCACCTGCCAGCCGACTATGTCCATTACCCATGAGCCTCTCTGGCCCGGCTTGCCGACGCTTCAGCTGGTTCTGACAACGACCCTTTAAAGCCAGAGTCAAACACTCGTCACCTGAAGACGCAGAGAGCAACAGCAGTTTAACTTCCTGCAGTGCAGAATAAGATCAGTGGTCGACCACTGAACCTGGACAATCCTGAAAAGGTAAAAATGTCATTGTGCAAGTGTAATGTCATCAGACTTATGTTTTACAGGTGTATGCATGTAGATGAGTTTGATCTCTGTCCTTTAGACCGCCACTACTTGCACTCCTGCACTTTATCTTTTTATCTTGAAATTTTAATTATATTTCTTTATTTATATTCTTTAAATATTTGCATATATCTTTTATGTCCTTGTTTATTCATTGTTGCCGTCCATTGCCATCAGTGTGTTGCTGTGACCTCTGCAAACCAAATGTCTTTTGGAAAGACTGAAGTTAATCATTTTAGTACAGTATCCTGTGCTTATATCCCTAAGTAAAGATGAAGAGCCCGGGGTCAGGTAATATTCCCAGCACAGGTGTTCTGGGGGGGGGGGCAGTTGTATTGCTGTAGGGTTACCTAACAGATTAATCTGGCCCTGATGGACGTGGAGACTAAAGTTTTGGGAGAGATTAGGAGCCTCAGATCATTTTATAACCTGAATAAACTGCAGCTCCACCATCCTGTGGAAACATCTATCATTTATCCTCTTCCCTTCCTGAGCTTCCAGTTCACCTCCTCACATTTACTCCTCTCTTCTTGTCTTCTCCTCCTCTGTGTACCAAACCTCCGCTTTGCCTCCTCCTCCTTCCACTCTCTCTTTCTCCTTGTCCTCTCCAGGTTAAATGAGGTCTAAAGAAAGTTTCGCTCTAAAAGACGCTGGTTAAACTCCATCTACAGGAACCCAGCAGGGGGCACAGTGCTCTGTGTGTGTGTCTGTATGAATAATTGACAGGTGTGTGTTCGTGTAACACAAGGCCAAATTCACCTCAACATCTGGCCCTAACCTCTCTCACAGCAGGAGGTGAATAACTTGCACTTTAACACGCATTGCTTTTCCAGAACCTGTGAGGACCTTTGCAGAATACACTTACTTCCTGTCCCCTTAGACCATTTCTACATGAGTAAAGCACTTTGGAAACACTTTATTCACAGTGAGGCTGGTGTTTGCCACCATCAAAAGTGGAGCTTTTTGGGGGGTTTTTTTGTTTTGTTTTTTTTTTAGAAATGCTGATGTTTCATGGTTAACCCTGTCACAAATGAAATTTCTACTATGAATGCTGCTTCTACTAAATTTAACTTTATTTAATTGAGCAGTCTCTTTGAAACTGAGACGTCTTTTTCAAGAGAAACCTGAGAACAAGAAACATTAATAGTCAGACAACCACACAACCAGCGACAGAAACAACATACTGCATATAAGGCCAGTCAACCAGCAATAATAAAAACTTCAGATAATTAAGCCTTAAAATCTCGATGGGGACTGAAAGAATCTGGTTTGAGGGTAACTTGCAGTTTATTCCATTTGAAAGGACCTGAAACTCTTCATAACTTGGATGTTGAAGTACAGATTAAGGAGAATGATTATTACTGGGTACAATGTAAATAGAAATGGACCAAGAAAAGATCCCTGTGGCACACCGTTAGTCATTACTATTATGACTGCTTTTGTAGCTGTCTTGCTTTACCACCACTACTATAACAATATCACAACTACTGCTATTACTAGGTTTTTATTATTACTACTGCTAGTGCTATAAGTTTAAAGCTTCATCACACCAAAAAAACAGCCCTTTTTTCAGTTATGATTAGCTGACAAATGTTTCTGTTGTATTCTATAAGGATTAATTTAGTCCAAATTTAAATGTCCCAAAAAACCTAATGATGAGACATTTAACAGTCGAATACACCTGCAGGTAATGACTAATTTAAACAGCCATGAGTTAAAATTACATGCAAGGAAAGACTGAGTGTCCGCTGACTCACCCAGGTAGAAACCATCCAGGTGGGAGCATCTCTTCTTCGTCACGTTCACGTCCACGTAGAAAAGGACCACCGGGTGTCCAAAGTTTTCCCCGGGGCTCGGATCCAGCACCAGCACGGCATCATGGGCCGTGGAGCCAGGAAAAGGCTGCTGGTGTCTGTGGGGACCCTCCCCTCCATTCAGCACCTGGCTGACGCCGAAACCTGCCCGCGGTTTGGAGCTCACCACCCCACCTGAGGAGTCCGGCAGGATGGCCAGAACCTTGTCTGAGGTACCTGAAGGGGTTTACAAGTAGTAAACCAGGTTAATGCTACATTTAACAGATATTAGAATATAAGAGAAAATGTGTCTCTTGCATAGATGACTAAATTTATTAGGTAAAATGACATTGGCTATTACCTCAACACACTTTAAAAGTACCAGAAAGAAGTAGAAGTCAAGAGTGCTACTGAATATAAACACCATAAAGGGCAATAAAGACAGTACCCACTCATTGCTGTTCACCATAGACACAGTCTTAGACACAACAGACAGACTACTTCTATTTTCATCTATTTAAAATGACTTCAGTTCATATTTATACACTATCTAATAATTGAATACATGTACAGATTGTAATATTTTGGATTTTGAAGACATCTTGACATGTTTTTGACTCATATTTTTGTTAATAACATTAATATTAATTCTAATATTCAAACTAATCCACATAGATCTAATCTGTTCATCTAGAAAACAACAGTTTTGAAGATTTTATATAATTTGGTCAAATCTATAACATTTGATCAATGAAATTCTCACTTTGACATGAGACAACAATACAAATTTATTAAATAAGTTTCAAACAGACTTTCACTTGTTTTTCATGCAGAATTTACACCCATTAATCAGGACGGTCTCATTCTTTAGACTGATATTTATATTAAGATATATTGATTCTGCCCTCTTCATTCCTTCATTATAAACATGATTTTAGTGTATTTCCTTTATCTGGATGAACATTTAAACACATCTTGGGAAAAGTTTGACTTCAGTGAACATGCATACAAATACATTATTGACAGGTTCTTTCCACAGAATAAGGATAAATTTAAAAAATACTCCAGTGACATGTGACCTTTGCCCTCCCTACCTGCAGCGGTGCGAGGCTCCGACACGTAAACGGCCACGGCGGACAGCGGCAGGTGGGCGAGCTGCCTGCACTCGGCCTCAGAGAGGGAGGACATGCGGAGGCACCGGTCCAGCTGGTCCCACTGCAGCGACTGGAGGCCTGAGCGCACCCAGCGCTCCAGCCGGCCCGGGGACATGCTGCCCGCGGAGGCCGCCACCAAAATGTGGAGGACGAGGATGGAGAGAGGAGCTGCGAGAAGCACCAGGAGCCTCATCGTCACACCTGCGTTCTACTTGATCCTTACTTCTGGTTTTTGGTTTCAATTGTTTTCTCTCTTTCAGGATTTTTCTATCTATTCTCTTTACTCTTGCTTTTCCTCTTGGTTCATCCTTTTTCTACCTTTTTGCCCTTTTTCCAGTTGATTAGTCCTTTTCTTCTCTGTATCTGCTTTTTTCCCTCTTTTCTTTCCAGATATTTGTCTTTTCGTCTTTACGTTTATCCCTCTGTGTCCTTTTTATTCCTTGACTTTTGACTCCTCACTCCGTCATTTCTGTGGTTTCCTTTGACTTTTCTTTGCAGGTTCTTGAACTTTTCGTCTTTACCAAACTGCAAATTCAGGTGGTTTCACTTGTCTTCTTTCCTTCTCTTTCAGAATAATTTATTAAAATATCCCAAAACTAAAAAACAGACTCTTTTCCTAGATTTTCTTCTTCTGTATTCCCCCTTTACTTATTGCTCTTCCTCCTTTATCCAGACTTGAGAGAGTGAAGTTCACACAAATGTTGGTCTACAACATCTTTGTTGATTAATACAGTGACAGCTTTCTGCTTTATTTCTCCTTTTGTCTGCCTTCCTGTTACTCTGTCTTTATTTTCACCTTTAAATCTCCTCCTTGTCTTTGCATCTGAGTGGATGCAGAGGATCCCAACATCCTCTTTGGGTTGATCTTACAATGAAAGTTTTCCTTCTTTTCTTGCTTCACTTTTTCTTCTTTATTCCTCTTTTCCTCTAGATTTCAGAAGGGGCAATATATCCAACTTGTTTTGGTTGTTCTTGTCTTTTGTAGACAGACTGACTTTTCCTCCCCCTTCTCTTCCTCTTCTTCTTTATTCCTCTGTCTCTCAGGGGAAGGATTTATTCTGCCGAGCCTGAGCAGCTTCAGGCTTCAGGCTCTGCGCTGGTCTGGAAGGTGATAGATCATCCAGAAGTAAGAAGGTTTAGTCCTGATGAAGGAGACTTAGAGGACGGGTCCTGCTTCTTGTGCTTCCTCCTGTTGTGGGACCATCAGTCAGTCCAGTCCTGCAGACTCTTGACTCTCAGTGACACTTGAGACTGGATCATCCACGGCTCTGAGGACAGACGCACTCCTGCTGCTCAACCCGCTCACTGCTCAGCTTCAGTCTGCTCGCTCTCTCTCCTGGTCTCTTTATCTGTCTGACTCTCTCTCTCTCTCTCTCTCTCTCTCTCTCTCTCTCTCTCTCCTCTTCTCTCTCTCTCTCTCTCTCTCTCTCTCTCAAACACAAACACACACACACTTACTTCTCTCTCTCTTCCTCTTTCTGAAAGCTCTGACATGCCAGAGGGAAAGGAGGGAGGATATGAAGAGAGAAGACTCCAGGAAGGAGGAGAGGATGAGTGGAAGAATGGATGAGGAAAGAGAAGGAGCGAGGAGGGGAAAGGTATGAGGAAAGGAACTAGGAAGGGAGAGGGAGAGAAAGGTAAAAAAAAAAGAGGGGACAGGATGAAAGAGAGGAAATGAGGAAATGAGGAAATGAGAGAGAAAGGATAGAAAAGTAGGAAGAAGTGAAAAGAAAGGAAGTTGAGGAGGAGAAGACAAGTGAAAGAAACAACTGAATGAGAGAGAAAAGGATTGGAAATGGAAAAGAGGTGAGAAAAGGAGGAAAAGACAGGAACAGAGGAAGGAAAGGGAAAAGAGAAGGAAGTGAAAAGAGGGAAAGGAAACGGAGGAAGAGAGAGAGTGAAAGAGGAAAGTAGGATAAGAAATGTGAAAAGGGGAGAAAGCAGTGAAGAGAAGGAGAGAGGACATAATAGGAAATTGAGGAAGTGACAAAAATATGGAAGAGAGGAGAAGGAGAGGGAAAAGAAAAAGACAGGAAAGAAGAAGAAGGGAAGGAGACATAAAAAGAGGAAAGGTAACAGGGAGATGGAGAGAAGATGAGGGAGGAGATGGAGGAGAAGAAAAGAGCTGGACTGGCAGGAAAGAGGAAAGTAGGAAGGTTGGGGAAGAAAAGTGAAGAGGAGGGAAAGGATGACGGAAAAAATGGAAGGAAACTGAGGAAGTAAGAAAAAGAGGGAAGAGAGGAGAAGAAAACGGGACATAAGGAGGTGAGGAAAAGGAGGAAAACCATCGGAGCAGGAGAGGAGAAGAGGAAGGACAGGAGCAAAGGCAGGTGGAAGACACGGGTTTGTCTTTCAGTCTCTCCTCCGGTGAGCCCTCTAGTGATGGAACGAGTGATGTACAAGCTTCTCAGCAGAGACATGAAGGCGAAGGAGCGAACGAAGCTGAAACCCAGAGACCATCACCACCAATAAAATAAAGTGTTGTCATAACAGATTTCATCAGTTTGAGTGGATAAAAGCACTTAGGTCGCTGAAAGTTTTGTTTATGGTTCAAGCTGGGCTGAATAAGTGAAGACAAATAAAGTGCTTTGAAAAGACTGAGTCTGAGAGTCAACAACACTGACATTATATGAACTCATGTCTGACCTTTATTGAACTGCAAGAAAGTATTATAAAGCAAAGCAGAGTCAAGTTTTTTTTTCTCTTTCTTTTGTTTTCTTTGTTTCTTATGTTATGTCTAGTTATTTAATCAAATATATTAACAAAAATACAAATACAAGCATCTTACTGTAAGGAAACTTGTTAAATGTTGCACTGGTGGAAGAAGAATCCCTATCCTTTATTTTCAATAACAACGTCAAAATAATCAAGTTAAATCTATTTAAGTAAAAGTACAGAAGTATCAACAACTAAATGTCCTTAAAGTATTCAAATCCAGTAATTGTTTAGCAGTAAATCAGCACCTGTGACTGATACATTATAATAAAAGACATTATTGTTACTAATGCATCAATGTGTAAGCAGCATTTTACTGTTGTAGATGCTCAAGGTGGAGCTAGTTTTAACTACTTAATTAGGATAATTACAGTTTGGTAGTTTAGTCCAGTGGTTTCTAACCTAGGAGTCACAATTCATAGACATCTGGAATGTGATAACGAACCACGACTACACAGGGATCACAAGCCAAAAAGGTTGGGAATTACTTGTTTCATCTTTATAAATGTGTTGTATTTTATAAATTCATCATATTTTTTTTTAATGTAAGATATTAAACTGAAAAGTTACAAATAACTTAAGCTGTCAAATGAATGTAGTGGAGTAAAAAGTACAATATTTTCCTCTAAAATGTAGAGATCTAGAATTATAAAGTAGCATAAATTGGAAATATTCAAGTAAAGTATAAGTGCCTCAAAGTTGTATTTTAGTACAGTACTTGAGTAAACTATTTAGACAGTTTTCACCAATGGCTGTATTAGAAATAAATAAATATATGGATCAATAAAAAAGAAAACACAATAAAATAATATTCAACACTGCTGAGTGTTGGTGCAGTGACTGCTGTCCACCACTGGGGGGAGCTCTGACCCCGAGGCTCAACCTGAAGCGTGCCGGAACATCGGCCCCAATAGACGATCTTCGGCCATGATGTGTCACTCGGACTTTTCAGCTAGCAACTACTGCAATGTAAGAAACTCGAATGTGTAGCAGTTCGTAAACGCAACGAAACAACATGTTCGGGACATTGCAGGATACAAAGCGGGTATGTATATATTTTTTTATAAACTAATAGCAAAGTCGTTTTTTTATTGTTGACACTCGTGGTCTAACTGGCGGTCACTGAAACACCCGGTGACAGTCGGTGTTGTGCTGGTAGTTGTTGCTAAGCTAACGCTAACTGGACGGTAAACAGAAACGCATACATGCTAGCCGAAGGTATTTGCCAATTAACTGTGATTGTAAGTGTGCGTGCGCTGTTTGTAAGAATACGATGGCCTCAAAGTCAGTCTTGGCTTGAGTTGACGGTATTATTATAGATACTTCCAACAGACTTGTTAGTTAGTCAGTTAGTTAGTTAGTTAGTTAGTTAGCTAGCCAACGTTAAGCTAAGGCGGCATGTGGTGGAAACACACTCACACGTGAAACTAGCTCCGGTCCATGCTGAGACGTTGACAGCAGCGAAAAGGGAAAAAAAAAACCGCAATTGAAGAAAAATGGCAAACTACTGGCAACGTTTGTTTATACATGTTTTGCTTTAGTTATACAGCCGAGCTAACTCACCTTATATAGTCAAATGTAAACAACAACAAATACTTAATAGCTATTGTTGAAAAGAGACATTAAAAATTAAATTAAATGCTCATACCAAGCCATTTCCCCCTCAAACAATAATCTATAATTGGTTGTTTTGTAACATCTGGTGAAAGGCTACCAAGTTATTTCCAGCTCTTCTGTGTGACTTATACTCAATGGTTTGGTTTACTGCTGTGATAGTTTATCACTCATCAAGAGACAGACTTGATTCCCTCATCCTGATTGTGTTTCTCTTTTTGTGTAGTTTCAGTGGTGAAAGCTGGCAGTTCATTGCCTCCTTGGAAGCAACTGAGGATGAGAAAGAGTACTCGGTGTACTCTGCTGTCTCCTCCAAGGCGAGGTGTCTTCGTGTGAGCCAAGTATGCAGTGTCATGCATGAGACTCAGATTTCATCCACAAAGTAGTTAAGAAGAAGCTGCTTCTGAACGAGTCTGCATCAGCTAATAACATCAAGACTTCCTGACCCAGCCTCGGCTTTGTACCAAGCTCTTGAGTGTGACTGTTAGTTAGAGTGGGAACCACTTGCCTCAGGAAAAAAAAAACAAAAATAAAACCCTATGTGCCTGCCTGACTGAAGACCAAGAGCTGACGGTGTCCTGCTGACCTGCTGCACAGGTGGAAGGCCAAAGTGTTGTACTGCTGTCACTCTGCAGTGGCAGTTATGAGAGCTGTTGGTCAGGATTTATTAAGAACTTGTATTCCATCTACAGCGACCAACAGAAAATTTACAACTCTACTCAGCTGGAGCTGACATTTCAAAAGTCATTCCAAGTGAGGAAGCACTCACTGAGGGGGGAAAACCAGGGGTGGTCTTTTCCTCCATCTCAGGCTCATTGGGCATCATCTCGACTCTTAATTCCTATCCTGCCTATCAAAGTCCACCCAAGACCCTTGCCCTCTAAACTCAGCCCTTCAGAAATAACCACATCTTTGTTGGGCAGTGCCATGCCCACCAACCAGTCCTCCCCCTGGGGTGGGGGGAAGCTACGGGCTTGCTCTAATGCTGACGGTCCTGCCACTACAACACCTGTCAGTACACACGCCAAGACAGTTGCGGCCACTAAGGTGCCTTTTAGTCAGACTTCCCTAGAGTTATCCAGGAGAAAGGACCAAGCCAAATCTCTCTCCTCTGCTGTTGCCTCCTCTGCCTCCCCGTGGAGGCAGACAACAGTGGCCCCCTCTGGGGCTTCTGTATGGGACAATGGGGACGGACGTAAAACCAACAACCAGAGCCAATTCACCGCTGTGCCAGATCGGTCTCCAACCCTGCCACAACAGCTTAATGTGATTCAAATCCCAAACCAGGTACTGGCAACAGGACAGAAGCAGGCTGGCAGCAGCCTCACAGAGACCAATGCCCCTTCCTCCATCCCCAAGAAAGAATGTCAGGCTGGGTTTAATGGTCTGCTGATGGGTACCATGCAGAACTGGACGTCGCTCCAAACCTCTCAGCCTGAAAACGGTTTAGCAATGGGCAGACGTCTGGATGCCACAGGTGATGCACCGCTGGGATTGGAGCCTCTTTTATCTGTCTGTCATCAAGAGCTGTTTGTCAAAGGACAGTCCACCCTGCAGAAAACTAACAAGTCGGTGGTGAGTACTGATGTTTCAAGTTTGTTTGTTTATATTATGTATTAACTACCAGACGATATATTGTCATCAGAGTTTTTCAACTCCTAAATATTGGTATAAGTATCAGCCTCAAAAATCCAATATTGGTTGGGTAATAGTTTCAAATAAAATGCATTGAAATGTTTTTGTGAACTCAATTGAATATTAACATTTCTGTCAGTAAATCATAGTTAGTGTTTTTAATTATTACACAAACCCCTGCTGATAAACTCTGATGCTGATACTTTCATTTTAGATAGATAGATAGATAGATAGATACTAGATAAATTCATGTTATCATTTTAATATCAGTACTTAAAACTGTGCTGTCTGTGTAGTATGGCAATACCAGGAAATTACTCCTTGTGTTGCAGTTTATATTACGCTTAGGATGATATTAGATAATCTTGAATATTGCAATATTTCCCACCATATTTGGGCTGGAATGTATGGAGATATTAAATTTTGGATATCGCCCAGGCCTAGTTTAGATTATGTAATCTTGATGAGAGTCCACTTCCTGCCTCCTCCTCCACATCTGACCTTTTCTTGTTTTGTCCTCCCAGCTTGAGGCCGCAGACTGTCCCTCTTTGCCATCAGTGCCTCCTCCATGCCTTACTCTCTGTGAACATCGGGGGGCAGCATTGGGAAAGGATGCCTCCGGCCTCGACAGCACAAAAGCAGAAATAAGAAGCACAGCGAGAGAAACGACTGCAAGGAGGTGCCATTCAGCTAAACCAGCAACAAAATGCAGTCAGACACAAAACAGTTGCACAATAATAAATGATTTACACAGTCTATTGCAAGTAAGAGGTTGTCCTCCTGCAGTTTGGGCAGCAACTACAAACAGCAAGCCACAAACAATGACATCACTAGACGTAAACAAGCAAGTCCCAGAAAGTCAAAATCCACCAGGAAGCACCCTGTCCACATGTAGAAGAATTGGTCCTCCAGAGGTCAGTCCCTTTCCAAATGGCCCCATGCCAACTGTGCTCAGTGCCAGTGTCAGTGCCAGTCAAGAGCAGCAGCCCACACCGTCGGATATCATCCCAGGTAATCAGAAATATTGGTTTACTTAATATGCTCTGTAGCTGTCGGAGGAAAACCTAGAGCGAGAGAAAAGTAGATTAAGTGGTCATTGAATCTGCAGCTTGGGAAGTGAAGAACCTCCAGACAATTCATGAATAAGGTGGTACAGTATTCATGAGCTGATAATACAGCTCGTGTAGTGATACTGTTAGTTCAGTGTTTGATCAGAGGACGGAGTGATGATTAAAAAAAAACAGTGATAATGTTAATGAAGGAGCATCCACGGCAAGGTGTTATCTCTGAGAAATCATCTCGCTGTAGCTCTGAGAGGATGGTACTTTGTTGATCATAAATATTTTAGCATTAGCCGCTATAAACACAATACAGCAACAGTTTCACTTGGTCAGAAGCTTTTTGTTACAAGAGCAACAGATCTAAAAGATAAGGCCAACATGTGAGCTTGAGAGAAGGCTGCAAATTATGCTGTTAGGTGTGTAATTCCATCTGTGCCGCGCGTCCAGGCCTGCTCCTTTTGAGCCTCTATCAGCTGACATGAAAAATGTATTGTAATGTGTGGTCACAATGAGGAAAAGGTGTGTGGTTAAGGTACAAAAACACGGAAATATTGGTAGAAAATCCGAATAAACAGTCATAAAGTGGAAGTCATGGACTTAGTCATCACATATATGACACATGTAGTTAGCTCGAAACCAGAAATGGTCAGAAACCGTGTTGGATGTATGACTGTTCTTCCTCTATCGTAGATGTGGCCCCCTGTCCTGCAGGAACCCTGGTGGGTTCTGTGACCACTCAGATCTCCGCTATCCACCTGACCAAGCAGGGGCAGCCTGCCTCCATGTCATCTTCATCCTCGTCCCCTTCTTCTTCCTCACCCTTGCCGACAGAGGAGTGTGCGGTTGGCGAGACTCAGCTGTCCGGGTGAGGAACGGCTGATCGCTGCTCAGTCAGTAGTTGCAGTTCTGTTTTGTCCCCCCCCCCCCTTTCATGTTCTCATTCTGACCGTTTCGACGCGTGTTTATTGTTTCCCAGCCGGGAGTGTGTCATGCAGGTGGATGGAGGTGAGGAAGAGCTGCCCGATGAGCTGGAAAACGCTTGTAGTGACGACGGTAAGATGTTAAAACAAACGCAAACACTCAAAACGGAGTGCTTCATCACACAATCACAATCAACTCTGTTAATGGAATAAACGATCCGTTTTGTTCTGTTTTTGTTTTGTTTTTCTGTCGTCTTCAGATGATTCAGACTGTTCATCCAGCAACGGCGCTTCATCTACAGCATCCTTCGCTCTCCTCTCTGGGTGAGACTTACTGTATCACCATCATCTGTCATTAGATCATTAGGGACCACAGGGCGGTCCCATAACAGAGCATATCTGACAGTTTTCCTCTGAACACTCAGGTAGATTTCTATTCTACAGGTGTGTGAATCCACACGAACTCTGAGTCTCTGTTATTAAACGCTCAGTCCTTTTTTCTTTTTTTTTTTCTTCCTCTTGTGCCCCGTGTGAGGCGTAAACACCATGTGCAGCTGTAAATCATATAAATATTCTACTTTCAATAAGTATCTTTCAAGCCCTCCTGTAGTTTCACTATGTCCATATGAATCACTGGTGGCCTGATTAAATAGATAAAAAAAAACTGTTAATTTCCTTCCTGTACTTCATTAAACTGACCAATAGATTTAAATCCCATTTATGAGCCTGAAAAGACAATTTTAGTTTGTTTTTTTTTCTCAGCTTCAGCAACTTGCCTTTCTTTGGCTGCCTCACGTCGAAGCGCGGTCTCTAATTGGTCTCCGAAAGTGGCGTAAAATATACATCCGTCAAATCCTGTGGACTCTCCCTGCCTCTCTTTCATTCTCTCTCACCGCATTGTTAAAAGGGGCTGAAAGCAGCAGAGCGTGGTGGAAAGGTCTGCTGCATTGTGTGCCACATTGTTCTCCACTGTGATGGCCTCAACAGTAGAACTCCCTACCAAAGACTCGGAGCTGATTCTCCGCTAAAAACAGCCTGGATAGGGACCGCTATTGTCGCTTTTTATGGTTTTTTGTTTTTACCCCCAACCTGCTGATTTGTTTATGTGTTCATTTACATACATACCTCCGCCTCCCCCACCCTTTCCTGAAACCTGTAGCTCCCCGTACGTATAGTGTAGTGGTGCTATAGTGGCCTGGTCCAGCTGTAATTCTATATCTGTCGGCGGTGGAAGGATTTTATTTGAGAGAAAAGATCTGGAAGAGGACACCATCATCCCGTTCGTTCGTCCTTTTAGCCGTCTCTCCTTCCTTCCTATATGACTGTCATGTGAGTGTTTTTATTTATATTTTTTGGATTTGTGTAACTTTGTGTTCCTCAGATGTTATTGTGTCGATTAGCTGCATAAAAGTACATGTGACTCATACGACCGGCTCTCCTCTTCCTACAAGTATAGGTGTAACCTCGTTGTGAACTTCTTGGCTTTCCAGATCGGTTCCTTACATGTCGGTGTTAAGGTCGTCGTTTGTCTCAGCTCCTGTGCTCCCTGTGCGATGTCTCTAACCCCGAACTCACACAGGCATCGCGTTACTAGGACATAGTGCAAACGACTTGTGTTACAAACCCGGATGTCGGCTTCCGTTATTTAGAAGTCAGGGAGCGTAACTCAAGATGCATTACTTTTTAATCTTGTTGTGAGACTTCAGTTCACTTGTTTAATAGTAACAAGCTGAGAGGAGAGGAACAGAGAAGTCCTCACCTCTGAACTTACAACAATGTTTGCAACATGAAGAAAGAAAATATGTGTCACTGAAATGTCTGTAGATTTTGTTCTTCATTGTGTCGGCAGTTCCATTAACTCCACGATGCTCCTTCTCTTTCAGTTGATGTTGTTGTTGTTGTTTTCATGTTCGGTGAAAATGGAGAACGATCGTTAAAGAGAGTCAGAAGAAGTCGACACACAGGTGTTTTATTTAGTGATGTAAACATAATTTGTCATTGAGGATCGTAGATTTGGGATTAGAAGAAAGTCTAGATCCCGGCTCCTGATCTGATTGTCTATCACGTACAATCCTTTCCCTCTTTGAAATGAACTGCGGTGATGTTGGCACAGATGTGTGATTCTACATGTATGTGACTGTCTGCCGATCATTAATCTGTGGCTTTCCCTCAGTGTTGAGGAGCCGATGTTATTGGGGGCCGAGGATGATCAAGAAGAGCATCCAGCGCTGGTTCCCAGTTTGTTCCCCCTCATCCCTCCAACACTCTACTTCAGCACCGCCAGTGAGAAAGGTCAGGACACACGTCTGTTGTATAAAACACAGTACTTGTAAACCAAGATTCAAAAAAGGTACAGCATCAGTTTTCAGATCATTATCAAAGAGTCAGAGTCCTCAAACACCTGTCAGGTGTCTAAGAAATAACATTTTACGTTAGATATTAGAGGATAATGAGCTTGAGAAGACAGTCAGAGAGAACCTTGATCCCTGAACCTCCCACTTCCAGGAGCTCGACAGGTCTTTATGAAATTGAAAAACAGTGCATCGAACTGTTTCAGTGTTTGCATTAAACCAACAGTCTGTGATTAAAATTTTGTCGATAAAATACGTCCAACGTTTTGTGTCGTGCGCTCTGCAGTGGAGCTGCTGCCTGCGGAACAAAGACGACTGTTAAAATGGAAGATAAGCACCGTCACTCCTAACGTGGTCAAACACACCATCGCCAGGTCCCACTTCAAAGCCACCAAGAGTAAGTCACCGTGACTGTGCGTGTGTGTGTGTGTGTGTGAGTGACAGCTGCTGCTCAGATAAATTTTCACTTGCAACACACCTTTCAGAAATCGCAGACAGGACTGACTGTGATCTGAGTGTTTATGTTGTGATTCATGATAAATCAGTTCTATACGACTCTGTCTGTATTCAGTGTCTTGCACAATGTCTGATTTCATGCACGTTGTCACTAATATTGCATATCTTATTGCCAAAATGTATGCAAATGCTTTTGAACAAACCATATCTTTCAGAAATATAAATCAATGTGACAGAAGAAAAACTGATCGAAATCTGTTTGTGTCTGTTGTTCATGTAGAAAGCCACGACTGGCTCGGCTGCTGGGGACACCACATGAAGTCTCTTGGCTTCAAGGCGCTTGAGGAGCACCAGAAGGTGAGAGACCGTGGATACACTAATCACCCCAGCTTGAAGCTTTAACTTTAAGAAAGATAGATCTTCTGAATTACGTTTAACTTGTTGTTTTTGTCAACTGTGTCCTAGTTGAACCACTTCCCAGGGACGTTCCAGATTGGCAGGAAGGACCGGCTGTGGAGGAACCTGTCCAAGATGCAGGCTCGCTTTGGGAAACAGGAGTTTAACTTTTTCCCCCGAACCTTCATCCTTCCTCAGGACATCAAGCTGCTCCGCAAGGCCTGGGAGGACGGTGGCTCCAGGCAGAAATGGATCATCAAACCTGTATGTTCTGAGAATCACTTTGTCAGTTTAGTTGTGACTCACTATTCTAAATCTGTGAAGACGAATCAGTCTCAAAACACAGGAGAAGTCAGTAATGTCAGTAAGTGTTGAATTACGGCCATATGTTTTCTGTGAGGAAACCTATTATTACTTCAGATGCTGGATGTTATTCCTTCTATCTAATGATGATTATTATTGTCTTTTTAGCTGCTGTAAAAGGTGAATAAGTTAGTTGCTTGGTAATTATTGATGCAGAGGAGTCATCCACACAAAATATGTTGAAGTTAAAGTATATTTACGTTTTTATATTCTTCAGTTCAGTATTACTTTGTTTACACTCTCTCTTTCTCCTGTCGTCTGCAACAGCCTGCATCAGCCAGAGGAATCGGCATCCAGGTCATCCACAAATGGAGCCAGATGCCCCGCAAGAGGCCGCTGCTGGTCCAGAAGTAAGTAGCTCAGATGATTGTAGTACCTGACACCACGTTACTCGTCGGTCTTTGGGATCAAACATAATGATTCTGGTTGTGTTTTTTGCAGGTACCTTCACAAGCCCTACCTCATCAGCGGCAACAAGTTTGACCTGAGGATCTACGTGTACGTGACGTCCTACGACCCGCTCAGAATCTACATCTTCACTGACGGACTGGTTCGATTCGCCAGCTGCAAGTCAGTTTTCACCACAGTCACCAGCAAATAGTCCAAACAGATTCGGACGGAATATAAAAAAAACGATCTCTGTTTTTTTCCCTCTTTCAGATATTCGTCTTCCATGAAGACTCTGAGTAACAAGTTCATGCACCTGACCAACTACAGCGTCAACAAGAAAAACTCTGAATACCAGACGAACAGCGACGACAAGGCCTGCCAGGGACACAAATGGTAACAGAAAGAGAAAAGGATGTGTTCATGTTTGAATGGAAGAAGCATGAAGGGAGGGAAGGCGGTTATTGGACGAAGTGAAGCAGGGGAGGACGGGGGGGTTTAGGTCACAGCCCGACTGAATGCAGCCAGGCCAACACTTGGTATCAGGAAAGAAACTTTGAGGGGAAAAGAAGGAAGGAGTTAATTAATAATTGTGTGATTCTGTTTATTTGGCCTCTTCCAAAGAGTTTAAATAATCCAACAACTATAGTTCTGTTCACAAAAATATCTGTTAAAGTCTGCACCACATCTTTGTGACTAATGTACTGTATTTATTCTGTCTCTGCACAAGGCTTCGCCGACTCCAACAACATGTGTCTCTGTGTTTTCAGGGCTTTGAAGGCTTTGTGGCAATATCTGGGTTCTAAGGGAGTCAACACCACTCTGATATGGGAGAAGATTAAAGACATTGTGATCAAAACCATCATTGCGTAAGTTTCAGTCATTCATTCATTGATTGGACGCAGGAGGTCGGTCACACAGGGAAGAGCTCAACTGCAGGGCGACTGTGTTCAAAGCTCTTTTTCTTTTTTTTTGTCATGTTTTTAGAGAGAATTTTAACATTAAACATTGACTTTGGTTAATAACAAATATCTTGTCATTGATCCTTTACCTGAATGTAAACTAGAATTGGCTTGAATGACACTAAAATGTAAAAGTCCAAGAACTTTTTAAAGTCTCTCTCTCTCTGTCGTCCAGATTTTCCAGATCCAGTCCCTCCGAAATGAAACTGTAGATTCTTCTTTTGCAGAAGAAAACGAAACTTGAAATCAGTTCAGTTTTTGCATTGTGAATACAGTGAAGTGGAGACATGTCATGAAATAATGACATTATAATGATTATGACATAAGCAGTGTGTCTCCTTGTGTGTTGGTCATCAGGTCAGAACCGTACGTCAACAGCCTGCTGAAGATGCACGTCCGGACGCCGTACAGCTGCCACGAGCTGTTCGGCTTCGACATCATGCTGGACGAGAACCTCAAACCCTGGATCCTGGAAGTTAACATATCACCCAGGTAACACACATGCGCGCACACACACACACACGTGCACAAACACATTCAGGTTTTCAAACTGAATCTTGTAACGGTTTGTGTTTCTGGTTCCAGCCTCCATTCCAACACAGCGCTGGATGTTTCCATCAAAGGTCAGATGATCAGAGATCTCCTGAACCTGGCTGGCTTTCGTGTTCCTCAAAGAGATGATGTGGTCGCTCCCTGCAGCAGCACCTCCAGCTCCACCAGCAGGTAGGGAGGAGGTACTACACCTCACAGGCAGAGGCAGGGATCACAGCTACTAGGTCCTGCCACTGAAATGAAACCAAATGGTGATAATGTAGGAACAACTTTATATAATGCAGTACAATTCAAAGTGCTGCCTCTGAAACGACCTTATCGTTGACTGTGTGTGTGTGTGTGTTTGTTTGTAGTCTGTGTGGCGGGAACAGGGAGAGGAACAAACAAGATCTGTCTGCTGATGAGAAAGTTAAACGGGCGTTTTACCTCACACAGCGCTACGCCGACCAGGTAAACAAATACAAAGTGAATTTATGTTGAATCGCAGGTAAAAAATGTTTAAAACTAAGTGCTCTTAGTTTAGTCGAAAAAGTTTGAAAGTTTATTCAGTTAAATGGAAACAAAAGCGGCTCGATGTGAAAGGTTTTTGATCATTATTTCAATTTATTGCAAAAGATTGAAAAGCCATTAATGCAGTTCTTCATGTAACGCCACGGTGCTGCTGCTGGTGATGTTTAGTATTGGTGTGATTTATTATTATTAAAAACAAAAACAAAAGAAGCAGTTACAACTTTGTTTCCCCTCGTCTCCGTCAGGACTTCCTCCCTACAGTGTTGGATATCTTGACTCCAGAGGACGTTCGCGTGCTGGCAGAGACCGAAGACGAGCTGAACCGCCGGGGAGAGTTTGAGCGAATTTTCCCGTCGCCGTCGTCATCTCGCTACCTTCGCTTTTTCGAGTGTCCGAGATACCTCAGCATCCTGCTGGATCAGTGGGAGCAGAAGTACTGGAACAACAGGACAAAGGGTATGTGTCCGTCACAAACGCACTGAGAGCCGTGCATCCAAACGGAGAATGAGGCCAATCTCCGTGTCTAATCCGTCACACTCTATTTGAAGGAAAGAATAACACAAAGAGGGAAACACTCAATCTGTTTCACTACTTAACCCAGATTTTATGGATTGTGTGTGAAATGCTCTTTCCTCTGTGCAGGTATCAGTCTGCTGAGGACTCTCTGTCAGAAAGGAGTCCATCTGGGAACCAGTGACCCTGCTCATATAGTAAGGAACTGTGAAAAGATTAAATTAATTTGTCCGAATAAATTATAAATGTGATATTTCTGTAATCATAAAACCAGTGGGTTGATACGAAACATTCTTCTTGTCTTTTTGTGGTTGTGTCTAGTGGTCCAAGTGCAGCTACATCTCCAGGTTCGAACCCCACAGACAAGACATTGTCAGCCCATCAAGATCCAGGTACACACACACACACACACACACACACACACACACACACACACACACACACACACACACACACGACATAAAAATAAAAGTCAGGTGTCAGGAATGAACAGATACTTTTTAATCCCTAACAGATACAGAAAACAAAACATTATAAAGATATTTGCCGACACAAGTACAGAACTAAAATATTATATTACTACCTAATATTTAGTTAAATGGATAATGTGTAAAAATTCTTCTTGGGATCATCCATGAATGTGAAAAAATATGTTCATAAATAGAAACTAGAAGAAACTAGTGTTAGGATTAAGATCTCAGAGCAGATTAGAACAGGTTAACACACTACACAGAAGATTAAGTTAATTAATGTCCCTGTTCCCCTCTCCTGCCTGTTTCTCCAGGGTGGTGGTCAGCCATCGTCACCGGTCCCATCGTGATGATAATGACGACGGGTCAGACAGGGAAGTCGCTTCGGTCTCCAGTCTGCCTGTTTCGCCAAGTCCTGGATCTAGTGTCACCAGCAGTGCCTGTGCAAGTCCTCAGCCCAGCCTCACCCAGAGCCTGCTGCCCCAACAGTTTGCCTCGCTCTGATGACCCGGTTTGCTAACATGACGCTCAGCACCCAGAACAGACACAAAAGCTCACGGTCTTATTTAGCCCTATCCTCTTCCCAAGCACCCATCTAATTTGTGTCTACTAGCTCTGAAACACTCACTCTGGATTAGAAAGGTACGAAGACCTGTAAGCTTGAAGCCCAGTCTTAACAAACACTGTAGGAGGGCAGTGATTCTGGTCTGTAACAGATTTGTAAGTTGCTACTAAAATGGGCTCTTTTAGTGCTAAAATCAAAACAGCAGTCAGTTCATGGCGGCTTCTGCTTTCTGGTCTTAACATAAGTGAAAATATAACATTTAAAGCACCAGAACAATGTTTTTTTTTTTTTTTTTTTATGTTTTATCCCATTTAGTGAAATTACATATATGCCAATCATTGTCCAGCCTTTTAGATGGTTGAATTTTTTTTTTTCTGAGCAGCCGGTGGTTTCACTTCGTTTCTTTGCAGTGTGAAAATCATCCTGCAGAGACTCGAACCATGCTGGAGACACATATAGTAATCCGTAAAACAGTGAGCTTTACGTCTGCTTAAATTTGCGTTATTATATGTTGATGCAGTGCAAACTTCAGCTTCAGCATAACCGTGCAATGAATGACAGAAATAGAGGCAGACATTATAGTTGTGACTATATCAGAGTATTAACTTTAAATCATTAACATTATTAGCATGTGAACATGCTTGGTAAAGCCGTGTTCAAACCTATATTAAAACAGCATGAAAGCACTTTGAACCCTAGGCAGTCATCCAGCACCTGGCTCTTCTTTGCCTCAACACGTCACCTGGCAAAGAGCTGCGTTGGCCAATCAAGTACAAGCTAGCTGCATGGCTGATAGATACGTTATAACAAGAAATCCGTTATTCTGCTGTTTACCTAGCGAGTGTTGTGACAGAGGTTGAAATGACTGAGTTGTGATACCTTCTCAGAGTTAGCTCATAGTATTATAATCTGCTGTGCAGTGGCTTCGGATAAGTCTTAAAATTCATGGATGTATTACCGAAACTAGATGGTACTTATCTGCACCAGTAGCTACATGCTACATGCTGCTACGTTCACACAGACTCTTGTGCCATTTTCAGTCTGAATACCTGCTAAGAACAAAACCTTCAGATCTCATCTGCCCGCACATGTCGGTCCTCACTGGCCTTCGGTACTAAACCTAAACTGTGAATAAGACATGCTGGGTTTCCTCACAACTTCCAACACCAAGCAACGTAGGCATAGTCTGTATATTTGTGTGTTGGATACACACACACGAGCACAAAGAAAACTGCAAAGCCAACGTTACCTTACAGTACAAAACAGTGGTCCAAAGCTGAGGTGATAAATAATGACACAATACTGTGATTTCTCTGATCTCTTTAAATCTTAAACTGTGGTTGGTTTGGTTTTAAGAGGACTGTGGAGCAACTGATCGCACAAGTGTCACATTCTTAGCCTTATGGACTTGTGTGTGTGTGTGTGTGTGTGTGTGTGAGTGTGTTTGTGTGAAAATAGAGAAGACAAGGCTCAGTAGAAACATAAAGGGAGGGTTGGGGAGTTGAAGAAGAGTAGCGCTGCAGGAGGAGACAATTCTGAGCTCACCAGATGTTCTGTGGTGTTGTTGAGGTCTCTGCATCGTATTTCAAACATCTTTCAAACTTCGTGTCATGACTTAGTTTTATTTTCACTGGTTGATGGTGGTAGTGACTCATAATGTTGATTCACAGTATGTTAGAAATATGTAAGATGACACTGACATACATGTTAGTAGACAAAAAAAAAGTAAGTATTACCAACGACATTGATAATTTCTAAAAAGAAAAAATAAAGGCCCCCCCTTTATTTAATTTTCTTTTCTGATGATTTCACAAAAATGATAGTTTATAGAATTTCTTGAAAGCTGCCAAAATTCAAGTCCAGCAGCAGAATTGATCCTGGATTGGTGTTTAGTATTCGTTGTTTGAGAGAAAGGAGCTATTTGTATGTTTTGCTATCGCTACATAGCCAGCATTAGCATTACCAGCTGTTTACTTACCAGTCGAGAGGAAATGTTGCAACTTCAAGTCACTGTAGCGCCCAGGCTGACCTTAAGAAGTATCGCTCCTCGGAGGACGTATTATTACCTCTCATCGTGTAAACACAAGGATGGCCGAAGCTCTTGCCAAGACTGGTAAGTAAACAGCTGTTACTGCTAATGTTGGCTATGTGGCAATAGCAAAAATGTACAAATTGCTCCCTTAAGAGTTCTTATTGTATCCTCAGGAAAAAAATATAAAATATATACATCTACTGTGAAGACATTTTGACAAATGTTACTTCAAACCACTTGAAGTTGAAAATATTTGGGTACATGTTAGTAACGAGCTGACAAGCAGCACTGGTTGTGGATGAAATTATCCTGTACTTCTTGAAGTCCCACTCTCCCTTGTGTGAATATTTGAAATTCTCCAAAGTCATGATAATGCCCGTTACCATGGAAATTATTTGAAGTGTCATTTTATTCAGTCATTCCTGCTGTAAGAAGTTACAAGACGTGTGGAAGCTAACCTGTTTACAGACGAGTTTTATTATGCAATTTACTAACAGACTGCTGTGCAGTGTCAGTATGTAGCGCACATTTATAACTTCAAGGAACCTTTTACTAACACTTCATTATTGTACATGGAATAGAAGGGGAAATAAGAATATAAGTGTATTAAAATGCTGATTTAAAAATAGTCATTGCATTTAAGTAAAATTGGCCATTATGGGTAGTTTTGTATGTTTTTGTTTTTGTTTTATTCATGCTTTCGGATAATAAATATATCACGTTTATCAAAACTTGTCTTATTCTGTAGTTATCCAAAAGAAATGTAAAACTAGCTAAAATGTACGAAACCCCCAATGTAGTTGTTCATAACATCTTATACTTTGGACCTTGCATCGTAAACCATCTGTGCAGCAAAGTTTCTGCTACCCTTTAGAACAGCCCTGTTATTTTGTCAAACTGATGTTGATTCACAAATACAATCTTTTATTGAGCACCGGCTTTCAGTCTTGGATGAAGTTGCTACTACAAAGTCTTGATTGGCTCCCGGCCTTGGATGAACGACAGTATCCGCTCCTTCAAACAAACCTGTCGTGGTATAGAGCATTTGTGGAAATCCATCAATGAGTTCAGTATCAGCATTTGAAGGAACCTTTAACTGAATTTAATAACATGTTGAGGATGTCAGAGCTATTTACTTTTTGACACCTTCAATAACATCGTTTCAGTCTGGTTCCCGTCGGCTGGAGAATTTTATGGAATAGTATTATTAGATCTCAGCACTGCCTTTGATACTGTAGACCACCCTATGTTGGTTGAGAGGCTCAGGCAGTGGGTGGGTACCTCTGGAGCTCTGGCTTTGGATTGGTTCTCCTCGTACCTTTTCATAATTATGCCTCATCAACTGAATCTCTGTTCTGTGGCGTTCCCCAAGGTTCTGTCCTGGGCCCCATGCTGTTTGCTTTGTAATTGCTTGCTCTTGGGCAGATAAGTAATTTTAAAGGTATCTCCTATCAATGCTGTGCAGACGATATTCAATTATAAATTTCGTTCAAGCCTCTAAATGTTTGGATCGCTGATAATTGTCTACAGCTGCCTTTGAGTGTGACCGACACTGAGACTGTTTGGTTCACTCCTGTTTCTACCAGCTGAGAAATGTGTTAAACACAGGCCCGTTGTGTCCGTAACTGAGATGGAGATGATTATACGTGCGTTCATTTTCTCCAACTTCAAGGAAGACATCCCAGAACTGCTTACAACTGGTCCAAAATGCTGCGGCCAAGCGTCTGACCAGGTCCTCTAAAAGTTGTCGTTTAACTCCAATCCTGATTTCTTTACACTGGCTTCCAGTCAAATTCAGAATCCAGTTCAAGCTTCCCGTTTCGGGTCTTGCATGGGCAGGCGCCTGCCCACATTACCAGTAGAAGGTCGTCTGATAAGTGTGTATTGGTTTGTTCCTTGCTTCAGGCTAAACTTTGGATCTCTCTCCTTTTGGACGATCTGTGGATAAGACCAATTTGTTTTTTTTGTTTTTTTGTTTTGTTCTTTTTTGGTCTCATTTGATTTTTATTCACTCTGTTGTGACGCAACAAAAAGGTGCTATATACATAAAATGTACTTGGTTAATGACTAACCATGTAAACGTTCAGCTCTATCGGGGAAAGATCATTCATACTGGAGTGTTAATGTTTTCATTTGACAGTACTGACAAGCTGCTCTGACACATTTAGCAGATTCCACTTAACACTACACCCTCATGTTTGTTGGCTGCTTTACAGAATCTATATATATATCTATATATATATAGATATATATATGTATATTACAAAGTGAAATAATAACTCTGCATTTGAAAATGTTTTTAACATAATTGAAATGTTATAAATAAGGAGGAGATAATCATATTTTTACTAACTTGACAATTGTAAAATTTCTATGTGAAAGGGCTGTATAAGTTGCTCAGGATGACTATTTGAAAAAATAAAAGTTATTTGAGGTGCATGTCTCATGATGGATCGTTATTTTCAGTTTAATAGTGTTTTGTAAACAGGGTGTTCCTTTCTTGCAGGTATTTGCCATTGCTGGAGCATTTCTTTTTATCACTAACACATTTTCCACTCTTCGAGCATGTTAAGCCTCTGAAAGCTATAAATGTTGCTGTGAAATAAGTTAATCAGGACATTGCCAGGTTGTAAAAAGGGATTTATTCCCTTCAGCTTCTCTTCTGCCATCTTCTCCTCTTGCACCTTGGAAATGGGTGAAGTTGTGCCAGAAATTCCTACTCTGCTTTTAAGTGAAGTGTTTTGAAAAGAAAAATACAAGCTGTTCTGGACTTGAAGTGGAAAAAAAACATATTGGTTTGTCATCTGATACCTGGGGCCTTGCATTTGCTTTTATTTGTATTTACATTTAACTCTATGAGGACTACTTTGCTTGTCTGCTATAAAGAGATGCCAGATCCACAACAATATGAGACTAATGGCAATCATCTAGTATTGTACCCTTAATATCTTTATTGTTTTATTGCCTCACAGTGACATGTGAGTAGAACAGCTTACTAAATTATGTGAAAGTTAAAAATTCAGATCTTGCATAACAGTTGGCCAGCCATACAGCTGCAACAAACTCAACACACACACACACTGAAACACACACACACACACTCATATACACGTACATTCATACACATGCAGAGAGACACTCTGCTGTGGAGAGGATTGTTGGAAGCTCTGCAGGAGTAAAGACACAGAAACCAAACTGTGGAGATCTGAATGTGTGTCAGGACTCTACAACTATTAATATCTGAGCTCGCTTCTCTAACCAGCAGGGACCGGCTTGTTTGGATAACTGCATTTATAATTAGTACGCTCTGTATTCTTGGCTTGAGTTGCGTTCGAACATCTGGAATGAGTGGAGAGTTTAGCCAGCAGTTCTCAGCATCAACAAGCGAAATGCTGAGATTTGCAGTGCTGAGCTTAATAATCAGACAATTTGCATTAATTTTTATTTCTGCACTTTGACTTGACAGAGGATGTTCTGTTGGCGTTGAAGGAGCTTCAGGTAATAACACTGTAACTTAATTTACAGCTGATTTTTAAAGGTTTGTTGCTACGTTTTTAATCCTATTTTTAAAATGTTATCTGCTCAGTATTTTAGTGAATTTTAAGGCAGCATATGAGCTCAACTGTGAAAAGGAAGGGATAGTCTACTAGAGTTCAGTGTCTATAAATAGTTTGACATGTAACGGCCCAATGAAACTTGAACGTCTCCCACAGTAGGACTGGCGGACCCTTAAAGCTGCACTGTCTCAATTTTTTTTCCTCTCGTCTCGGACTAAAAGTTGTCGCTCGTTGTGACGAACTCACAGATAATTATCAGCTGACATTACAGTTCTCCTCAGCTCCACGGAGCATTTTAGCATCTTTCAGCTCATCGTTTTGGTTTTTATGGCCTTGACCCAAGTTACTGTTCATTCTCCCCGTTCCCATCATCATCGTTTTTCTGCAGAAAACTCTGCCCAACAACAGACAAAGCTAGCAGCTAGTTAGTGAACGTGGCGAAGCATTTAGCAGCTAAAGAGACAAATATGTCCCTCACGAATTTATTTAAGTGCATGACAGAGCTTAAAGGAGAGTGAATATTGGGTTTACGTCCATCAGGTGTCCAGGAACACGACTTGAAGTGAATGATATTATTGCTGCAGGTCTGCTGGATGTGTAAATTGAAAACTGTTTGCTAAACTGCAGCTGTTTTTTGTTTTTTAATCCAGTTTTAGTTTTATAGATTATTCTTCAGTGTTGTGTTACAGTTTATTATCTCACAAGTGGCCAAAAACAAAAATCTAATTTTCAGTTTTAAAGAGAAGGGGCAGCTGTTTACATTTGTGTTTTTGTGTTGTGTAAGAATAATATTTATATTTATACCTACTTAGGTATTAGTCACCTATTGCACAGTGACCTACGGTGCAACCAAATATGCATTTTAGTTTGATATTTAGCCAGAACACACCTGTACTGTTCTCACCTAATGTGTATATTTGCAGGGTTTGTTTATTTTACCTTTAATCCAGTATAATTATTTGTATAACTGTATTTAGGAATGTTTATGTGTTTCTGCATGTTGTAGCTAATTAGCTACATACCTTACAGACTGCACACACTTGACCATTTTACTGTTTTCTTGTGATCATCAGTGTTGAGATAAATTTCCTTGAGTTCACCCGTCTCAAATAATGAGGCTTTATTGATGATCAGGCTCGTGTCGTGTCGTGTGCACCACCTGAGGTTCTCACCGCGGATGATAAAGAGGTACTTGTAAAGTCTGTCACCACACAAACATATTGGCTCTCTGTCTGTTTCTAACCCCCCCACCCCCAACCCACCCCACCCCGACCACCCGACAGCTCCCCCCGTACATGTTTCCCCTCCCACTCTCGCTCTCTCTGTGAATGCCACAGGCCTCTCACCCTTTAGTCCAGATTTAGACCTCAGTCTTTCCCAGACATTCAGACCCAGCTGTCTGAAGCTGGCTGCTGGTGCACCGATTCTCTCGTCTGCCTTTGTCCTTTCTCTTCTCCCTTCTTCTCTTCCTCTCCTCCTCCTCCGTCTCTCTTCTTCACCATGCCTGGACTCTTTCATCACTCCTCCATCTGACATGGTAGCAGATCTTCACAGATGTTTCAGGTGGACGGAGCGTCGGAGTGTTGCAGCCTTTTGTTTTGATGCCCAGGTCTTCACCGGTTGGTCTGGTTCCACAGAGGCAGATGTCCCACTCCTCTTCCCCAGCCACGGAGCCTCTTCCGGAGGTAAGGCTCCAACTGTGTCTGCCTTGTCCACTTCTGCTGGGCGTCTGTCTGTGATGGAAACTGAAATGTGTGTGTTGGTGTGTGTTTGGACGTGACTTTGTAACTGAGAAGCTGCAAAGAATATAACACTGGGTCTACTTTTACAGAGCATGTGCCAGCACCCAGTTCTTAGCATCTTAAGCATCTTTTTTACATCTGTTAATATTTACCTTTTAAAGTGAAGCACATTCGCAACGTTTCTGCATGTTTGCATGGATAAACTCCAGATAGAGCCGCAGCCAAATCACCATCAGCACTGGCTGCAGACAGGATGTTAACTCATGCAGAAATGTCAAGCATAAAAAAAATGCTAATACATTTCTGTTTAGCTGTTTCATTATAATCATCATTTTACATTCATCAAAACCCTGTTAAACCAGTGAAGGTCATAAATTAAAGTAAATAATGTGTAAAATACCAAATATTTACAAACCAGCACTTGGTCACCAATGTTATTGTTGAGGTTGTGGACATGGGGTCTTCGAGATTTTGACGCCACAACACGAGCTTCAGAGAAAAATACAATTTATTGAAATCAAAACAGTTGTTTGAAAAATAAAAATAAGTTTAAGTTAAATTAGAACCTGAAACGTCAGTTGTATTTGCTCATTGTCCACTGAGTATGTCACACAAACACACAAACAAGAATAAGCTGCAGCTCTAAACGGGGCCTCTAAAGTAACAGGGACCATTAAATAGAGGGTGTGTTTTATTTATCTACTGTGTTTAGTCAAAGCTCATTCAGTGGCTGCGTGCAAATTAAAAGCAGATATCAAAAATACTGCTATCAGGGTTTTTCACCCAATTATGATTCATCCTCTGCCAAACTTTATACAACTATTTCTTGGTTTACACTTTGCTTATCGATGCAACACACTAATATAATTTATCATAACATACTGTAGTGAATATCACATCATTGATATATCGTGCAACTCCACCGTTTGTGGGTCTGCTGCTTGGATATCTGTGTGTTGTGACTAAACAATGTGTGTGTGTGTGTGTGTGTGTGTGTGTGTGTGTGTGTGTGTGTGTGTGTGTGTGTGTGTGTGTGTGTGTGTGTGTGTGTGTGTGTGGCTGCACTGATACTAATTTTGTAGCTGTTAAGCTGTGAGTTGTCAACAGAGCCACTGAAACCTGGATTTTGATTTTATTACAGTTTAATCATCCTCTTCATTCTGTGTTCTTCATTTTCTCACGTCCACGTTTTCCGTTTGTCTCAAGCTGTTTGTAACGTTTATCTTGACAAAGGCTGTTTGCTGCCAAAACAGCAAGTTCTCAAAAGCTCATATTCATGGAGGTATTTATAAGGTGTTGTTGTGGAACCTCTGAAGTTGTTTCTCATTCTCTTGCTCCTCATCAGATTTCTTCAGCAGGGACAGCGTTTGAACCTTTACACATTTTTCTTTTATCCCTCGAAAGAGGCATCAGCTTCGGGACGACCTCAACCCGCAGGAGCTGTTCCTGCAGTGACTGATGGGTGTCACTTTCAGATAGTTAGCTCTGTGAACATAGCATGGCTGTTTATAGCTGGAATGACCTCTGCGTGATTTAAATTCATGTCAGAAAAGCTGTGATCCATGCAGAATGTTCTCACCTCACGCTGTGAAGCCTCAGTTCACTTCAGGTCATATTTAACCCAAAGAATGTGAAGCCCAACCATCTTCAACATCTTAATTACCGTTTGAAAAACCACCCACCAGCAAGTTGTTGGCCTGCAGCCGTGACATGCAGCAGCAAACCTATAGACGCTCCTCGCAGCTGCTTCCACAACAAATGTTTTCAATGCAGCCTGTTCCAACAATACGCCTGTCTGCCAGAATACTGACGAGACTTGTTTAGCTGCGAGTGCTAAATCACCGACGACAGGTATTCAGTCTGATTTACTTCCTCCCCCAGGTCCCGTTATTTGAGATGGACCAGGATGAGGATGAGGAGGAAGATGTTCTCTCAATGAAGAGCAGAGGTAAAGTAGAGAGGACTTTGTTTGTTTACTACCTTTACAGCCTCTACTACTCCTGCTACTGCAGAGTACATTGCAGGAAATCAGTCATAAATAGTTATAGTTACTGCTCATGTTGTCACAGCCAACAAAACAAACTCCAACCTCCAAACAATGTGCAACAATAAAAATACCCAACGTTTGAGAAAAATGCTGCTGAAATTAGTTTTTTCAGATCATTGTTCCTCTTGTTACCAGGGCGCTGTACGTAATGTTTTTCATTGCTTATTTATAGGTGGGTTTATACATGCTATAGCGCCCCCTGCAGGCACTGACCCTGACACCTTCATATACATGAACTTCATGAAGACTCACTGCTGCTACGACGCCATCCCTACCAGCTCCAAACTGGTCATCTTTGACACAACGCTACAGGTATGGGACAAATTACGACTTCCTTCTGTTTTTCAGCAAAAAAAAAAAAAAACAGAACATTTTTGCGCGGACAGCATGAAAATGTTGGGTTGTAATTATGGTGTGTATCTGTGGCAGGTGAAGAAGGCTTTCTTTGCTCTGGTGGCTAACGGCGTGAGGGCAGCGCCGCTGTGGGACAGCAAGCTTAAGTGTTTTGTGGGTGAGCCACACATACAAACATCTGTCTACAGCTGTGTCCGTCACACACACACACGTTACTGGTGTTGAGTATAAATGATCTGAGGGTGTGGAGTCGTCAGTGTCACTGGAGCTCCCCTCACTGGTGACAACATTCACCTGCACGCTCAGCCATGATGTAAAGTGTGTTACTGCTTTTGACAGGAAAACACAACATGATGCACTGAAAAGCTCCATGTTTAAATATAATCTAAGCCTCAGTTTAGGAAGTGTATTTATGTATAATCTCTTTTTTTATTCAACAAAATAAGCCAGCGTTCAATAAAACAGTGTTTAATAATGTTATTTACAGAGCTTTTCTAGACCCATGCATGTTACAAAGTGCTTTACACAGAGCGGCAATATAAGACAAACAGGTCGTACAAGGCAACAGAGTTAAAAAAGGCAGATCAGGGATTTTTACTTTAGTGCAAATAAAAACCAAGTCCCCGGTTCGACTCCTGGCCGGTCCGGACTCTTTGCTGCATGTCATTCCCCTTCTCTCCCTCCAAGCCTTTCCTATCTCTCTACACTCGAATTAAGGCATAAAAAAATACCTTAAATAAATAAATGCAGCATCACCAACTAAAGGGCGATCAGTCAAAATCAATCAATCCATCAAAATCTAAGAATCAAGCGGTCAGGACAGTCGATAAAAACAGAACCAATTACAGTTCCACCAGCAATCAGGAGAAGCTCTTTGAGTATGTTATATAATATAATATATATTTCATATGTATGTTATAAGAAGAGATTTAAAAGAGGTGACGGTTTGTGCTGATCTGATCTCCTCAGGCAGCTCACTCTTAAGTTTCAGGGCTCTGACTGTTAGTGTCACCTCTGGTTTTCAGCTTGACCTCAGCTCTGGAGCCAGGTCATAGATGAATTGGTTTGGTTGAGGCAGGTGAAGAGGCTGTCGCAGCAGTGGAGGCGAGATGTAAAATGGTCACCACAAACAGCGACGCAGTTGACTTGTTACTGAAGACGAGTTGAGACTGTTGCGTTGGGTTCCTTCCCACAGAAGCTCAGGTCTGAGGGTTCAGGTTTCTCCGCTGTGGACCGGTGGTTTCATATGATGCCGCCCAGTTTGTGCGCTAACATTTAGAGCAAAGCAGGTCAACCGCATGACATTTGTGTTGCATTACAAACACAGTCACTCAACACGCAGAGCTGATCTTCATGACATTTAGACCAGGTCTGTTCATTTTGTGCTCGTAATTAAAACGGCAGCAGCCGTGAACGTGGTTATCCAGCGCAGCTGCGCTCGATTTAGACTTTTAACTAAAGTCACAACAAAAAGCCTGGTGAGGATAAAATGCTTCTTAACATGGAGATATGCTCAGATCCACTTGCTGGGCAGCAATTTAAAGTTTGGATTGAGGGTGATGCCAGAGGGAAGGTCGTGTTCAGACTCAGTTTGTCAGGCTCAGCTCTACATCATCTGAGGTAGCTCCGTTTTAAAATGTACTTTGTCAGAGTCAATGGTAAATACTCAAAGCGCTTTACACTTCATCCTCCTGACTACTGACCTGCCACCATTATGGCGAAGGCTTTGTCAGGTTTTAGCAACAACGAACAGTCTCCTGTGACCTTGGTGACTCGTCCGCCATGAGCTGCTGAGGTTTTGTGGCATCAATAACATTCATGCTTTTGCTCCTGAAAGAGAGAAATGCCAATTCACACAACAACTAAGGTCAAATGCTGTGGTTATTTCCACACATGCACATCTATCTTGGAGAAACTGACGCCTGCTCTTCTTTGTTATATGAAGCAGTTCAATCTGAGACCAACTTTTCTCTTCATTCAAGCTTGAAAACCTTTTTCCTGTAATAAAGAGGAAACTTTGAAAGACATGATTTACTGATAAATCCACCTTTGATGTTTGCATTGCGTGTGTGTGTGTGTGTGTGTGTGTGTGTGTGTGTGTGTGTGTGTGTGTGTGTGTGTGTGTGTGTGTGTCAGGTATGCTGACCATCACTGACTTCATCAACATTCTCCATCGTTACTACAAGTCTCCTCTGGTGAGCTGTGCCTCTGGATCCTATTGTGACCTCTGGATTAAACATTGACAGCAAATACACATGTGACGCACCGCAGTGATGTCACATGTCAGATTATCCAGTAAAGCAATAAAAATCACATATCATTGCTAAATGTCCCATCTTAGACTGATGATGATGATGATGATGTTGATGATGATGCCTGCTCAGGCTGATGACCATCCCTGTTGGATCTGAGATATTTGTTCTGTCTGCAGGTTCAGATCTATGAGCTGGAAGAGCACAAGATAGAGACGTGGAGAGGTCTGTGCAACACAACCAGCTCCTTTATAAAAGTCTTAATTAATAAAAACAAGGATTACATTTTATCTATATATTTTTATGTCCTGAATAACTCGTCTCTCTCTCTGCAGAGATCTATCTCCAGTACTCGTTTAACAGCCTGATCAGCATCACTCCCGACTCCAGGTGAAGACAGCCCTTGAATTAATGCACTTTTTTTTAATCATCTATTTTGCAGTATAAAATTTAAAGCACCACAGCAGCTGCAATTTCTATTGTTACATACAGTTTCTCTGGTGTTCAAGAGGAACAGTAGCATCCTGAATCCGTTTCCACCATTAGCTGGTTATAAACTGTTACCTGATATTCTTGTTATTCACAATACAGACAAACACAATGTGCTTAAGCTGATGTTGCACATATATATATATATATAATCTTTCATGTCTTAATTGACCACACCTATTAAACATTCACTGTCGGTGGTAAAACTAAGTGAACCTTTGGATTTAATAACCGGTTGAACCTGATTTGGCAGCAACAAGCTCAAACCAGCTCTTCCAGTAGCTGCGGATCAGGAGGGATTTTGAATCATTCTTCCTCCAGAAGCATCACTGCAACTTTCTCAGGATGTTTACTGTGAATGGTGTTTATTCATTCCACACTGGGTTAATGTTTGCGCTCTGACTGGGCCACTCCAACAGGTGGATCTTCTGTCGTAGATTTACTTTGGTGTTCAGGGTCATTGTCCTGCTGCTTCAGCAGCTTCTACTGAGCTTCAGCAGCCACTCCTAAGAGACATTTATTAACGTGGGAATTAATTTTATCCTTCAATGATGTGGAGCTGTCCAGACCCAGATCAAGCAGAGCCCCCAAATCATGATGCTGCCTCCACCGTACTCTACTCCACTGTTTCCAACCCGCACTGTGAATATGTGAATGATGTTTTCAATACAAACAAGAATAATACAATGATTTGTGTGTTATTAGTTGAAATAAATTGTATTAGTTCATGATTGTAACTTCGATGAAAGTGGGCCAAGTTTTAAGACAAATTAATACATCATTGCAGATAAATTCAAATGGTTCACCTACTGTTTCTTGCTGCTGTATTTTATATATGAATCTTTATTCTTGAGTTTTTCAGTTTCAACTTAAATATAATGTTAATGTTAATGACTTGAACACTCGAGATAAAGAAGCAGCAATTGAATATTTGTAGAATGATCTTAAGCCGACAGCTCAGTGTCAGTCAAACCTGAACAGAGGGTCAAGGCAGATCAATGATAACCCATAATGTGTCTTGTTTTTTCCATGTGACAATCATCAGGTGTGATTGTCACAATCCTAATCACAAGTGTTGTCACCTCCTCAGTCTGTTTGACGCCATCTACTCCCTGTTGAAGAATAAGATCCACCGGCTGCCGGTCATCGACCCAGCGTCGGGAAACGTCCTCCACATCCTCACTCACAAACGCATCCTCAAGTTCCTCCACATCTTCGTGAGCTCACATACATACATACAGACCAATGGCTTGTAGAGTACAACACAACACTTTGTGAATCGGTTTCATCTCTTAATCCTTCTGGATTTTCACTACACAATTTTGACGATCATATGTTTTCTTCTCCCCTCCAGGGATCCATGATTCCTAAACCCAGGTTTCTTCAAAAGCGGATCAGTGAAGTGGGGATCGGCACCTTTAGAGAGATTGCGACAGTCCAGGAATCAGCGTCTGTGTATGACGCTCTGACCATTTTTGTAGAGAGAAGAGTGTCAGCTCTGCCTGTGGTTAATAAGCAAGGTAGTCCTGCATTACGCTGCTGTTTGGGGGTTTTAATTCACCTGGGAATTTGGTTGTTTTATCTGTATGAATCACCATGTATCCATTGCATCCATTTAATTACTTCAACTCAAAATTCTAATGCACTTCACTTTCAGGTCAATAATGAAGAGTGGATGTGGATGTTATTTTATTGTGTGTGGTCTGGTGTTGCAGATAATCAGACTCTCTTGTGATTTCTCTCCAAGGTTGATTTTCCTAAATACACATAAGTCTAAAGTCTGTCTATATATTTTGTCTGTCTGTACCATCTGTGGTCTGTATGTCTTTCTCTGTCTCCTCTCTAGGTAAAGTGGTGGCGCTGTACTCCAGGTTTGACGTCATTGTACGTTAATTTCACATTTTTCATTTATCACTGCAACTTTGTTAGCCGAGACAATGACAGAAATGTAAATCTTGTGATTCCCGAAATCCCTTCTCATTCTTAAAGGAGCTATTTGTAAAGTCTGCTATTGCTACACAGCCAACGTTAGCATTAGCAGCTGTTTACTCACGATAGAAGAAACGCTGCGAGTTCAGTGTCAAACTGGATTCCTTTACTCACCAGGAGCTGCATCCAGTGGTGGAAAGCAACCCTTTTGTTTTGCTTCTATTTCTATCACTTCTTTTCTTCTACGTAGATTAGCATGCTAACCAGCTAGCCCTGGTCTGGCTTGGACTTTCCGATACCGAGTCACTGTAGCATCCAGTAGGAAGTAGCTCTACTCAAAAGACATTTTATAACCTCTTGAATGATGGCTGAAGCTCTTAGTGAGACTGGTAAGTAAACAGCTGTTAATGCTAATGTAGCAGCTACGTAGCAATAGCAAAAACTTACAAATAGTTCCTTAAGTAGTTTTATAGCTACTTTATGTCGTTTTGGTCTGGTCAACACTTCATTGTGCTCCCCTCCTCTCTTCTGAAATAAGAATACAATAAATTCAGTCATGATTACAAAATCAGAAAAAGATGAGAAACAGTAAACAAGAGTTTGACCAAAGATACTGTGAATAATAATAATGATAAATGGAAAACATAGTGATTGTTTGCCAATTGCGCTAATGAATTAGTACAATCCAGAAAGAAAACCAAATTCACAAAAGCATTGATTGATCAAAATAATTATCAACAGTGAAAGAACAATTTAAATTTCCAAATTACTCTAAACTATTTATATAGAATCCATAAATCCAACTTTAATTAACTGTCATCCACAACGTTGGATTAGCAACACAACACAGCCTCAGAATGGCTACCTTGGGCAGCACTAGCACTAAGGTTAATTTGATATCTAGAAATACAGTCACAAAATACAGTAGCTGTTAGAAATAAAGTGTCTATAGACAATTGGTCCAGAAAGGTAATTTAAAGAGTAAATAAAAATGCTTCAGTTTTAAATCTGACAAAACTGTGGATGTAACAATGTCAGTTAAACTGCTATGGAACCATGACAGTAGGTGTTTCTACTAGCAAAACAAAATATTCAACTGAAACCAAATGCTGGTGGCAAAATAATAACAATAATAATAATGATAATAATAATAAGTTTCTCCTTTTTTCCATCATTCAGAACCTCGCAGCCCAGAAAAACTACAACAACCTGAACATGACAATGCGGGAGGCCATCACCTCCAGAGCCTGCTGGGTGGAAGGAGTCCTCAAGTGTTACCCTTATGAAACTCTGGAGACCATCATTGACCGCATTGCGAAGGCTGAGGTAACGCACATGCGCTACAGTCTGACTGTTATATGTTTAATAAATGTAGGCTAGGTAAAAGCTACTTGTTGTAAATCCTGTGGTTTTCTCTCATCAGGTGCATCGTTTGGTGTTGGTTGACAGGGACGATGTGGTGAGAGGGATTGTTTCTTTATCTGACCTCCTTCAAGCCCTGGTCCTCACTCCTGCAGGTATTGATGCACTGTACTCCTAACTCCAACCCTTCCATCCACCCACCCCTTTGCTCTTTCTCTCAGTCCCTTGGTTATCTGTCCACCCACATATCTGCCTTCAAATCCTCGAAAAGCTTCCTGCTGCTTCTGGCGATCTATGCTACTTCCTCCCTCCTGTCAACGCTAATGTTTCCCAAACTCTTCTTCATCCAACTTTTCATCCTCCCGAAGACAATGAGGGTCTTTCTTCTCTTCCTGTGACATTTTCTGGTTCCAGTTTCCTCCCCTCTCTGAAATCTCCTCATCCTTCCAGCTGCCCCCTTTTATACTCCTCATCTTAAACCCTCTGCTCGTCCAAGATCAGCCTCCTCTGAAAACTTCTGAGCAACTAACCATCTCTTCTAAAATCCTCTGCTGCTTCGTTTATAATCCAAACTCCTCATCCGAGACCTCACTTGGAACGGCGTGCCCTTACCAGCGTCCTTACACCTTCTTTAAAATTCTCCTTTGAAGCATCAAACAAAATTAACCATGTTGCCCTAAGATACCTCCTGCAGAATCAACAAAGGCTTTCTCTAAAACCATCTGCCCTTCGATAAATCAAACTGAAACCTTCTCTAAAACCTACCTATCATATGCTGTGGATGGTTCCCCTAAACCCTTTTGCTTGCGCCATCTAATCCTTAAACGTCCACCCCAGCTTCAAAATCTGTCAGTTATTGTCACTCTACCAAAATCCTGTCATCCTACCAAACAGCCAAGCAAATCTTCCAAAACCTCGTCTGAACTTCCCACCAATCAGCCGTTCACCCCGTCCCGTACGCTCTACGAAGTCCGACAACCAACCCCTCCACACTTTCTCCCAAATGTACCCCCTTCATCAATCAGCCAGCGTCTTCATGCTGCAGTCCCTCCTCTGAAACCACCACGCCACCAGCACCTTCTTAGCCAACACACCTCAGGTAGGAAACCCGAGCTAATTCTGCTGCTGCTGCCTGTCTGAGCTTGCATCTTCACTTTTCCTTCAAGCCACAAGGTCTTCCTGCTGCCTGTAGTGATTTCTTCTGTAGTTCCTCCAAAGGGATAATATGAGGGGGAACTGGTACCCATGGTCCCGGCATCAGTTGTCAGGAAAAGACACTTTTTCAAAACATTTGTGATTCTGGTTTACGACCTAATAAAAATTTCCTTTTGAATGTAACACACATAAGAATATAACACTTACAATGGGCTACACTGACCTCAACAAGGCAGCGAATCCAATGTGGTACCATTTCCTTCCATCTTTGATTGAAGAGTCTGTTGACGTTCTCAATTACCAGAGCATCACGTTAATGATGATTGGAGACAAAATGTCTTCACTTATCACTAATGTCAGGTTGAATTTTTTATTTATTTATTTTTTTGCATTGTGCATGTGAGACAAAGTTTAGTCTGATATTCATGTCAACTGGATTGATTTAGTTTAGTTTGTTCATATCTAGTCTAGTCATCTGTCTAGCTGCTTGGATGTTGCTTAGAAAAGCCTCTTCTAGCCTGACATGTCAGCTGTACCAGTCTCCCAACATTGACTTGTCCCGGAATATTTTTCATTTCTACTATATTTGATCTTTTCTACGTCAGCTGAACTGAACTGAACTTAATGCAAAAGTTGAAGCTCAAAGTTCATCTGACTTTGGAGGAAACGGCCTCACCACAGTGGCCATTTAGTAGCTCTAATGAGGCTTTCGATCATATTAGATCGAGCTACTAAATAGACATTGTAGTGATACTGTATTCTCACATACAAAACTGAATTGACATGTTAGGCTGAAGACCTGTGTCGTCACGCTGGGTCTACATCATACCAGGTGTACAATACAAGCAGCAGCCATCTTGGAGGAACTGTTGTTTCAAGTGGGATGTGCAGCTTCCACATTCCCCACTTGGTCTTACAAGTTTCCTCCAGTGGTGTTTACATTTTCTCTCTGAAGTCGGTCGAGTAGTTTATCACAGAATACGTAATATAACAAAAACACCTGCCGCTAATAATTGATAAATGTCCGACAATGTGAACACCTTTATCCACCCAGTTTGTTTGGTTCCTCTGATATGATGTGAACATGGCTTTGAGTTTCAGCCTTGATGAAACGGACTGTAGCAATAGATTGTGTGCTTTTAGTGCTTGTCTTCTGTCCACAAACGCTGTAAATATTGAGCAGATTATAGGTTTTGTGTTGGGAATGTGTATAAAATTGTATAAGATAGTGTTCCTTAGTTATAACGCAATTTTTCAAAATGGTTAAAATGATATTTTAGTCATATTGTAGTAAAAGTTAAACTTGGTATCAGAATTTCCTCTGTTCGTGTTAATTTTCTCATTTTTATCTTTTACAGATATTTATGAGAGACCATCCCTTCAAGACTGAAGAAAACAAGATCATGTAAAACAAGATTATGAGGTGGCAGAGCAGGATTGTGGCGAAGAAGTCACAGGTTTCAGTCCCAGTCTAGAGGAAAACTATAGGAAGGAAAAGTGAAAGTAGAAACACTCTGACCCTCCTCTCTGAGCTCCAGTAACGTGCTGTACATGGAGCATTTTATTCCCAAGTGATCGCCAGTAGAAGACAGCTGTTTGTGCTGGAAAGCTGCCAGTGTTGACCTGTATCATGCGTGTGTCTGCAAAACAGCGGCAAGCTGATGATGACTTTCAACCTGAGAATCAAATTTTGAGGTTTGATTTTTGTCAAGCTGTGTTACTTACTAAAAAAAAGTGATGTCACGTTCAATGACTCGTACTTAACTCTGTGGTCTTAGAATTATTACACATTAGCCATTCATATATAGAAAACACTTAATTGTGGAATTGAGATGACGTTTTTTTGTAAATGCACTTATGCTCCAGTCACTGTGAAAAAAATAAATATTTTGCTCTGTTTTCAGTCATATGAGGGTGTGGTGGTGACTGCTGTACTTGGCTTCAGAAACACTATAGTTTTGTTTTGTTGAAGAATGGTCAAAGAGAGGACAACCTGTAGGACAGATGCAGCATAAATACAAGGGTAACACAATAATAAGGGTGGAAACTGTCAAATTTCTGCTCTGATTAGCATAATTTTACAAGTTACTAGTCAAAATGTGATTGAAATCTCTTGAATTTGCATTTAGTTTGGTGAGAAATGAAGTCGGACATATTTGTAATGTGAATCTGGTCGAGCTGATGTGTGACGGTACATGACGTCCACTCAGTCAGCTGATTCGACAGCAGGTGAGTGTGTCTCTGTCTGCCGATCCTCTCTGACTGACGGGGTGTGAGCCGGGGCCGACTGCTCTGTTTACCAGGGGTGGATTTGTTAACTCTGCCAGTTTCGTACATCCTGGTCACATGATTACCAGTTTCCAATGTGTGCACGCACGCACACACACGCACGCACACACACACACACACACACACACACACACACACACATATATTACATAAACAGCTCTGCTTGTATCTTAACGTTCCTCTTCAGGTGATCTAATGGAGGCAGATTACAAGTGATGAATGTTACTGTTATTGTTGATATAATTTAAGGAGTTAACAGCAGGTGACAGAGAATCACTGGATTGACAAATGACAAGAGAGAAAAATCTACTATTAATAATATAATCATTACTGTTACCTTTACACAAATGGTTAGCATACTACTACTACTACTACTGCTTCTACTGTTATTATTGAAAAAGGTACTTACACTTACTAGCTCTCCTGCTATTGTTACTACTACTACTACTAAATATAAAAAAACACATAATATATAATAAGTGTAAAAATCAGCAAATAATGAATTAATAAAATACAAGATGACAAACAGGAAATAAATGTAAATGTTTGGAGACTCTCTGGTTCATGAACTTCAGCAGGAAATCAAAGAAAAATCAATAATACCTGACCATGCATCAGCCACATGCTCCCTCCGCTTTACAACTTCATTCCTCTGAACAAACAGTTGAGCCACCAATCAGTTGGGGTCGGGCTGCTGGTTCAACACTTTGTCTTCACGTCTCGCTCTGACTCTGAGACGACACACACAGACAGGATGCAGCGGAGTGTGTCAAGCTGCCGGAACTGATGAGTGACACCGACTCCGCCGCAGCAATGGACCCCAAACCGAGGTAAGGAGACGTGAAGCTTACAGCAATGATGTTCGATGTCGAGTCAACGGGCTTGTTTATTTTATTGACTGTAGTTGAAGTTTTTAAGTCTTCTAACCCTAAAGTGAAGGTATGTTAAAAGTCTCAGTTAAGTCTCACTGTGCTCACACTCCTCATTCATTTCGATGAGACCGCTGTGTTGGAGGAGCAGAGGTTTTCGCTTTAATAAATGCAGGATTGTCTGGCAAAAAAATATGAAATCCACTTCAACTTTTGCTGCAAATTCAGCGTCATCTGGCAGGACACTACAGTGGCCAATCAAATGTGTTCATATCGTGCATCCATGTCAATCCATGGCTGAAAATAGTCCCCAACAAATGCACTTCTTTCTGCAGTTTGAGTAATGTTTGTTGAAAGTTACAGTGCCCAGCTGTTTTAGGACGTTACTGAGCCTTTTTAAAGATCGAAACAACATATGTAAACTATTTTTAAGTTGTGTCTTTAATAGGAACCAGTCGGCTGAGCGCCACAGACAGAGTGGAAGTTTAGAGAGACACTAATCCATTGTTGGTTTTAGTCTTTAATGGGATTTTCTGACAATAACAAAAACACAGAATATCACCAGATTTATCCTTTTAACTTGTGCTGCTTATTGTGTATTATTGTGCATTAATATTAGTTAATATATAAGTCGCACACAAAAAGTAACTAAATATAAGTGGAAAGGGAAAGGGTAGATTTTAATGGTAGAAAGCCACAGAGCAACCGAGGAGCCTGACACTAGAAGGTAAATAAAAGACTAATTTATTACAAAATAAAACAAGTGAAAGGCAAATACAAAATGTCTATGGGTCCTAAAATGTCCCTTAATAAACAAAATAATAATATAAATTACAAAAAATATAATGGGGATTGACCACTGGCCCACAGTAATTTGTAAAAACACAAACACCCAGTCCTTCACCGACAAAACACAACGACCAATTTGTGTCGCAAAAGCAGTAAAAAAAACAAACAAACAAACAAACAAACAATATGGACAACGTCAAAGTAATTTCCTGATTATTTGAGAGCTCTTTTGTTCATTGTTATTCTGGAAACAGTCAGAGATGTTGTAGTTCACTACAGAACAAAAGGTTATTAGATGTGATCTGATGCACTTCAGCCTTGTGGGTGTGATGTTTGCCGACTAGACACATAATATTCACTGTTAGTGGTTCACCGGTGAGAAGCTTTGATGCAGTACATTCATAGAATAAGGGATCAATGCAAAGGTGCAGCTATTTAGTTTTAATATCAAACAACACTGATGAGAAGAGAAAGCTAATTGGTCGTTCCATTGCAACATCAGCGCGCAGCAGTGGAGCTACGCCCTCCGCCATTTTGGACTAAAATCTATCAAACCTATTAAAGAACCTTAAGACAAAGTTTGAACTGACCAGAGTTTAAAATATTGTAACACAGAACCAAAGGAAGCATTTCCTGAGAAAAAGTGTGTGTGTGCTTGCTGAGCAAATTGCTGGTGATTGGCATGTAATACTTTATGCTTTACTGTATGTTGTGGTTCCATGTTTGAGGAGGTTCCTTTTATGTTGAGGAGGATGTTCCTGCATTATTCTGTGTAGATGTAGATCATTGTGACTGTTGGAAAACACTGGTGTGAACTTCTTTTTGATACATGAGTAGCTCTTAAATGGAGCAAGGAGGGCAGGTCCCTTTTTTTTTTTACCTTAACCACAAACTAACAAAACACTGTCAAGAAACTGAACCACTGGAACCACAGCTGGTTAAACATGGAGAGAGATAGGAGGAACATATTTTCTTTAGAGCGAAGAGGAAGGAGCTGAGCTCGGCAGTCAGGTTTAATCCACGAGTGCAGAGGTATTTAAAGCCCAGACTGGACATGAGGTGGTGTGGAGAGTGAGGTTATCCGTGAGGAGCTGAAGGATGTTTGGATAAGTCTTTATTTACAGTCATGTCAAATGATAAAGGGACTTCGAGAGAAGAAAAGGCTGTAAAGACTGAACAAACTGGGTTGAGCAGAGGAGATAATTAGTTGCTGGAAATTGGCCAAGGTTATTAATCCTAAAAACAGGGGATGGTAGTGCGCTGTGTTATTCAGCTTTGGTCAGGAGAGAAACCATGTCGTAGCATTAGCAGAGAGAGAAGGTGAATATTCCTCTGACATCCTCAAACAGTCAGTGGCCAGAAAAACAGAAAAGCAGCCAGGTTTAATTCATTGAGGTGGAAGCGAAGGTCCTTCAGCAGGATGGATCCGTTTGAGAGTCCTGCAACCCAGCGGCGGTGAGCAGCTTCACTTTACAGCGTTGTCTTTTTTAACATGTTGTTCCATTTGGCAAATTTATAGAAGCTGATGACAGAGAATGATTAACACTGCTCTCAGATCAGTGTCGCCATATTCATAAAGAAAATGTTGTACCTGTAGGGATGAGTTGAGAAAAATCTGTATTCTCCGACAGGAACTTATGGACAATACAAACTGTTCCTGCACAATTTTGTACAAATTTTATTTTTATTTTGTTTTATTTCTTTCTTTTATTTCCAAATATTTTTTGCAGTAGTTAAAAGAACTCAAGTTGCATCTCTTGTCAGCTGCCTCCGCACACTGAGGGTAAAATGTTGGGAGCTGTATTAGCTTTGACTCCCTCTGTGAGTCAGCCGACAGGGCAGCAGTGTGGACTGAGTTACCCACAACACTGGGTGTGTGTTCAATTTGTTATTTTATGGAAAATTAAAACAAACAGAGTCATAATACTAAATATTTGTCAATGACTCACTAACGTCAACATCAGCAGACACTTGGTATCGTCTGGCTCTCGCTGGTTTTAGGGCGGGGGGGGGGGCTTCCCTTTCGTCTTAAGCCAATAATAATCATGCAACATTTGATTGATGCAGTATGGATGTGTAAACCCTCAAACACATTTAAAGCTAAGTCAGCTTTTTGTGCAGCTATGCTAATACTAACTGGCTGCACCGCGGTAACATGCAGTACGTCACAGGTGGCAGAAAGTAAGAGTTAGAGACTGAAAATTTTCCTCTTCCTCCTCTGTGAGCAGTAAGGCCAAGCTGATGTTTGGCCTGAAAATGAAGAAGAAGAAGAAGAAGAAGGTCAACACAGACCTGGTCCTGGCAAACAAGGGAGCTGTGGGTAAGGCCCGGAAAACAAACAAAGACACACACACACACACACACACACACACTTTCTTGTCTTACTACATTGACATAATGCATCCCCAACCTGAACTGTAACAATCTCATAGAGCCATCTAAAGCATTTTGGTCCCTATAAAGTAAAACAACACACACACACAAATCTCACAGCCTTGGCTGGATATACTGTGTACAGTACAACACTTATCCCTGTCATATCAGTGTGGGCGAGACTAACCCTTGTCAAACAGTCACATGGTGAATTCTGGAGTGAGAGTGTGTACAGCCACAGTCGTTATGGGTAATTTAAGGTTTCAGGGTCAACACAGATCATCAGGCATCACAGACTCTGTTTAACCCGTGTGCTAAAAGAGGTTTTCTAGAGTTTTCTTCTGTGGTTTTAAATGCGTCTGCACCTAACAGGATGTAGGAGCAGGATTAATCAGTATGGACTCAATCTGACAAGAATATTAACAAATAATATTAGACGAGTAATTTCAGAGACACTCATGCCACAAACCTAATTTTTGAGACACCAATATCATGTTATGTTACTGTTGTTAGTGCTAGTTAACTTAAAGGACGGCTGCTAGCCCAGATTTCTCATTGTTTCTTATCAGGAAAATCTTCAACTTCATTGAGCTTTTCTAGTAACAGGAAGCTCAAACAGTGAGATTAATTAAATAGGTCTTTATATATGTTTTATTGACTTAATTTCCCCTTGTGCAAAATAAGTTCAATCCATGTGTGTGTGTGTATTTCTGTATGTATGTCTGCAGACACTGAGGCAGATGTGCCGTCAGAAGAGTCTCCCCTGCTGGAAGGAGAAAACTCTGAGGATCAAGCAGGAACCTCTGCAGTCAGAACCAGAATAATACCACACAACAAGAGGTGTGAGATGTTTTTTGCTCACTAGACAACAGTTGTATACAGGTTTAAATGTTTAAAAATATCTCCCGACGTGCTGACAAAAAAAGCATAAATTCAAATACAATAAACCTGATGTTTGGAACGGCAAACCCTGTCAGTCTTAGGTCCCGCCTGACAATGTGAAAGATCCTACAGGACCTTGAATCAACATTTCAGATGGCGACAGTATATTCAGAAATGATCCACCTGAATAAGAATAAAATATTATTTTCCTTAGTAAAGTTCAACGTCACCAGCTCTGTAAATCCCAGACAGATGAAATCATGTTCACTTTGGCCAGTTTTGGAAAATAGGATCACAAGGGAAAAAGTGGTTACTGTAAATATTCCTTTTTGATTGTTGTGATGCAATGCAAGGTGCATGCACATTTAAAGAAAACTAGAGGTTTATTTGCCAAATGCTTCAAGTCATAGTCTAAGAATATACTCTTCACTGCTGCCAGTTTTCATATTAAATTCATCTGGTGTTGAAGCAGAACTTTACACCTTTACTTGGTACATTCACAGTCATCATTTCTTCATCTCGGCGAGTTTTGTGTGTGTTGGTGGTTCTAATGTGGATTACAGGTTATTGTATATTTGCAACAGCTAATTGATCGTAAATAAGTGTTTATTATTATAATTTTTGTCTCCACACATCTCTGTATTGCTGTGTTTGATAATGACCTGTGCAGTAAAACTTCGACAGGTCCAAACTGAAAACTCGCGTCCAGGAGAGTGAATGGAAACCACAGAGCTTCCAGGTAACAACATACAGAACTCACATCAATGGACCATATTTGGGTTTTATGTTATTTTGAATGATGAAATGTACGTAAGCAATTACAAAGGACAAAATATCGCACATTTATGTATGGAGGAAAATATGTACAATATAACAGCAGTAGTCTTTTTTAGGCCTATTTGGAACTAAATGTTGACAAAACCTTTCTCATGTGTGCAGTGAGATATTTTTTGTCCGTCTCACAGATTTCCATTAACATCACGGAGGCCAGACAGCTGGTGGGGGAGAACATTGACCCCAGTGTGGTGATCGAGATCGGTGATGAGAAGAAACAGACGTCAGTCAAAGAAGGAACCAACGCTCCTTTTTACAATGAGGTCGGAATAAATTAGGATGGCTCAGCGACTTGTCTTACAAACGTCTTAATGTATGTGTATATATGAGTTTGCTAACTGCTCTCCTGCTCTCTTTCCTTTAGTATTTCGTGTTTGACTTCTTCGCCCACAAAGAGGTCTTCTTCGACAAAGTTATCAAACTCACGGTGAGTAAAAAGAGTAGATGAGTGGTTTAAAAAAAATGGACGCTACTGACAGGTTTAATTTCTGTCAGAATCTTTTACTGGAGACAGTGCAGTTCTTCATTTTGAAGGTTGCGATCTGTCTTTGCGTCTTTTTCTCTCTCCAGGTGATGCACTCTAAGATGCTGCGGAGTTTCTGTATCGGCTCCTTTAAGCTGGATGTGTGGACAGTCTACAAACAGCCAGGTGACGACGCTCTACCGAACGTGTCATGGTGCATGAACTACTTCTGTGACTTCAGTTTGTGGTGATGGCTCTTTCTTTTTCTCCCAGGTCACCAGTTTGTCAATAAGTGGGCCATGCTGACCAATCCTGGTGACATCAGCACTGGGGTCAAAGGTTATGTCAAGTGTGACATCAGCGTCTCAGCAAAAGGAGACTCCGTGCAACCCGGTCCAAAAACGAGTGATGCTGAAGAGCAGATAGATAAGTATGACGCCTTTCTTTTTTCTAAACGTTGTTTTGGAGTATTCCTACATGTATACAATACATCCTTTAATAATGTATTTACAGAACTCATTATGCTTTTTAAATTGATATAAGGGTCAAATTTGAGATCTCAAACTGCATCTCTTCATACGCAGATGACACTCTGCTGTTTTTATATAACATTTGACCAATCAATGATGTATTTTACACATTTAGACCCGTAGCCTTGCTGTAATTAGCTTCCTCACTGATTCGACTGGGATGTAATATTATTAATATTTGTGTGTTACTGTGTGACGTCCTTTTCCTCAGGAACCTGCTGATACCAGAGGGTTTTCCCTCCGAACGACCCTGGGCCCGTTTCTGTGTGAAGGTGTATCGAGCTGAAGGTCTTCCCCGGAACAACTCCAGCATCATGGCCAACGTCACCAAGGCCTTCATAGGAGACAACACGGCACTCATAGACCCATATGTAGTGGTCAGCTTCTTCAAACAAGTGGTGGGTTGAATATCAACAACTATATGATGATTTTTTAAATTTTTTTATTATACATTCATTGAAGATGGAGGTTTAAAAGTAAAATAAAGGTTAATACAGATGTTCTTGTTGCGGAGAAGAGGCTCAGAGTTGTACATGAGTTCCAATACAGAGGTGTAGTTGTCTTTTAAATTAAAGTCTAAAGGAAGTCTTCTTACCTCACCTCTCAGGGTCGCACATCCACTCAGAAGTCCACAGCAGACCCGGTGTGGAACGAGCAGATTGTCTTCACGGAGATGTTTCCTCCTCTGTGTCAGAGACTGAAGATCCAGGTCTGAACGTTATTACGTGGGAGGGGCAGGGCCGACACCTACGAATACATAATATTCAAATGTATGATTACATTATACACCGTGTAAATGTCCCAGGACTCTGGCTTGTCTCTCCTCATAGGTCTGGGATGAGGGAAGCATGAGTGATGTTGCCATAGGAACCCATTACTTTGACCTGAGACGCATCTCCAACGAACAGGATGGTGACAGAGGTAAGGAGAGATGAAGGGTGAGGGATGAAGAACAGAGAAAAAGTAATGAAGGAAAGGAAGGTGAGAAGAAAGGAGGGAGGGAGGGATCATATTCTCTCTCTCTCTCTCTCTCTCTCTTTCTCCAGGGTTTTTACCAACCTTCGGTCCCGCTTGGATCAACATTTACGGCTCGGCCCGAAACTTTTCATTAGGCGACGACACTGTGGAGCTGAACGAGGGCATCGGAGAGGGCGTGTCATACAGGTCAGTGTTTAAAGATGATCATTATTCAAACATTTTTATAATGACAAAAATAAACAAAAACCTTGCCGACAACAACATCTGTCCAAACCTCGCTGGTGTTAGGGGGCGGGTCTACATGGAGCTGGCAGTGGAGATCCTATCAGGAGGGACGGGTTCGGAGTCCAAACTCATTCGAATGATCAAGCCCGCGAAGGACACTAAAGCAGGAAAGGCCGGAGGGAAGGATGGGAAGACCGCTGCAGGAGGAGGAGCGGGAGGAGCAGCAGGAGGAGCCGCTGATGACGACAAAGGGAAAGCTTTGGCAGCAGAGGTCCTGCCCGTGGAATCTCCCTCTGTGGTAAGAAATGTTCTCCCAACATGGGGAGGTCACAGCTGCTAGAAATACTGCAGTTACCCATGAGTCTTTGCTGTTTTCTGCGTCCAGCTGGATGCCGACAAGGAGACCTTCCTGCTGTTTGGTGTTTTGTTTGAAGCCGCCGTGATTGACAGAAAGATTGGAGACAAACCAATCAGCTTCGAGTTCTCCCTGGGTGAGTCACCGAGTCCACTCTCACTTTTTTCCCCCTCCCTGTTGCTGTCACTAGAAACTCATCACAAATTAAATTAACGAAACTACCCTTTGAGGAGTGTGGTTATGATATATAAAGAAACCTTCTTCTGTTTTCATCTCCTCCCTCAGGTAACTATGGTAACACCTTAGAGCCGACGGGCCAGCCCAGCCACAGCGTCAGTCCTGCTGTCCCTCGGAGGAGAAGAGCACTGGACGTCCCAGAAAGCAGTGACATCCTCGGCTCCTCCCCTCTCAGCTCCCCCCCGATCTCCCCGTCTTCCCCCCTCCTACCCAGAGACCTTCAGGACACCGCCTCCGCCTCCAAGTCCACCACCTGTCCTGAAAAACCGCTCATCGTCGAAGGAAACAGGTTTAGTCACGTCAGCATTTTATAAAAGAGATTAGAGGACAGCTGCCATTAAAGTAAATGTAGATATTTAAAGTTGTTGAATTGAACAGCTGTTCTGACCCTTAAACATTTAGTTCACTGTGTATGTAACTGTGTGTATGTGTGTGTGTATGTGTGTATATTTAGGTACTACATGCATCTGCCCCTGGAGAAGCAGAAGCCGTGTATTAATGTGCTGAGTTACTGGGAGGACAGAGCTTACCGACTCTACAACTCGAATATGCTGGAGAACATAGCTGTTCTGTTTGTATGTGCACACACACACACACACACACACACACACACACACACACACACACACACACACACAAACTAGCACAATAACATGACAGAAGTGACAATTACAAACCCTGAAAGCAGCTGTGGTATCTGTGGTTTTCTTCTGTCTTAGGAAGAGGGCGTGGCCAGTGCGGCAGAGCTACACAAGAAGTCAGATCCTGGGGCGGAGAATATGCTCAAAACCATCCTTAAAGAATTCTGTATGGATGCCAGGTATTCAGATCTAATCCCAGTGTGACCTACTTTAAATATTAATCCAAATACCAAATTAAATGTTAAATGACAAACATGAGCAATTTGTAATGTTTTATAGAAATTGAATTCCACTGTGTATGTTGTCAAATATGTAGTGCGTTGTTTTCTGCAGGAGTTTCATAGCAGCAGCAGAAGCCAAGCTGAAGGCGGAGCTAAAGTCCAGTTACCTGACACAGCTGGACAAGAAACGCCTCACCATGTGTACACAGGAGCTGGTGGGAAACACACAATCACACACACACACACACACACACACACACACACACACACACACACACACACACACACACACACACACATTTTTAAAGTCACAGTGCAGTTCTTCATTTAAACTGCCAATGTCAGTTGAGGTGGCAAATGTGTGATGTTTTACAAATAATGTTTCATATGTAGGACCTTTAATGAGTGTGTGTGTGTGTGTGTGTGTGTGTGTGTGTGTGTGTGTGTGTGTGTGTGTGTGTCTGTGTTGCAGGACGGTATGATAGAAGAGGCCCAGTCTTTGGGAGAAAGGAAGAGAAAAGCTGGTGGAGTGAAAGAAATGCTGCTGGATGCAACAAAACTCACACACAGACTACGCTTTCTTGTGCAGGAGGTGCGAGACTCACCGTGTGTGTGTGTGTGTGTGTGTGTTTGTGTCTGTTTTATGTACATTGCATTACGTTTTCTTTATTTACCTTGTACATCTTAACCTTTCTCATACACACATGCCCCCCCCCCCCATCCCCCACACACACTGCAGCCCCAGCACACAGTACCTGACGTGTTTGTGTGGTTGCTAAGCAATAACAAGCGCGTTGCGTACGCCCGGGTCCGAGCCAGAGATCTGCTGTTCTCCAGCAGCCAGGAGGCCCGAGGGATCCACTGCGGCAAGATAATAACACTGTTCCTGAAGGTAAACACCTACACACAACTTATAACATCAGTATTTTAACAACATAGGCTGACTGGCAGAGAAAAACAGATACGTGTGTGTGTGTGTGTGTGTGTGTGTGTGTGTGTGTGCTTGTTGCAGCCTCCAGGGAAGCGTGTTGCCGGCTTGTCAGTCCAAGCAAAGCTGGATGTGTATCTGTGGTTTGGAACCTGTTCAGACTCCCGCCACATGCTGGACGACCTGCCTGCAGGATTCACTCCGACCAGAGGGGGCGCTGATTCCAACAGCCCTCCAACACACCTGCTCTGCACAGGTGAGGAAGAAACTACAAGTACAAGTTGTTGGCTTCAGAAATCAGTCAACACTGAAGGAAGTTGTCAAAATAATTATCAATTATAATTATCACATTAATTTTATCTTAAGAATCACTCATGTTGTTGTTCAGATACATTTTGGTTTAGTTAATCATACATATAAACCTCATGTTTGTGTGTGTGTGTGTGTGTGTGTCTCCAGAGCAGCATCAGTTCCAGCTGAGGTGCCACATGTATCAGGCTCGTGGTCTGATCGCTGCCGACAACTCTGGCCTGTCCGACCCTTTCGCTCGTGTCACCTACCTGTCACACAGCCAAACCACCAATGTAAGTGTGAAGTGTGTGAACCATAAAATCAAACTTATATTGAAATAATATATGTGACAAATGCACAGTGACATCATATTTTAAAGGTCCCATATAGTCTAAAGGTCTCTGTCCATGTGTAGTGTGATTATAGATCAGGTCTAGCTTCTATATTAATACTGTGAAAGTATCAAAGCCTCAGTCCACAGAGAAATGCACACAGCCTGTATTCAGAAACTGAGCCTTAAAACCAGCCGTCAGGACTTCTGGAACTTTGTGATGTCACAACGAAGCAGTCACCAAGCCCCGCCCACCTGGACCCACCATCCAAACCTTGCAGGATTTGGTCTCTCTGAGTGTTTTACCTGAAATCTGTTTTTATTTTTTATTGGATCAGTCAGAATCAGAAGAGATTCTCTTCTGATTGGGTCACCGACCTGTTGTTACTAGAGCTCCAGAGAGAAGCCTGAGAGAGGAGATGTAAAACTACACTGAGATGGTTTTTGGTTCTTAAAACCACAAATATATCTTCTTGTGGATCAACACTTCAAATAAAACACAGAAGAAGAAGAAAATATGGGACCTTTTAAATTGTTGCCTCTTTTCGTGGACTTGTGACCTGAGTTGGTGCTGTCCAGGTCTGATTTGTTTATTTGTGTCTTTGTGTGTGTGTGTGTGTGTGTGCTGTTGTCAGATTATCAGTCAGACTCTCAGTCCTACATGGAACCAGTGTTTGCCGATGGGCCGTCTGCTGCTGAGTGGAGATCTGCAGTACATCCAGCAGGAGCCGCCACGCATCCTCATCGAGGTGTACGACGACGACGCACTGGTACTGTGATATGCAGAAAGACTGACAGATTAATCAAGTCATGGTTTAATATCCATAACATGAGCTCCTCTCACTGGCCTCACCCTGTCGCCCCACCATGTGCAGGGCAAGGCAGAGTACCTGGGAGCCACAGTAGCAGTGCCTGAGGTTCGGTTGTCCTCTGACAGCTACTCGCCTCCAACACTGCAATACAGCCCCCTGCACTGCGGCAGCCAGCCAGGAGGAGACCTGCTGGCTGCATTTGAACTGCTGCAGGTTGGTCACACGGTTTTTCTCTTGTATCAAACATTCAGTTTCCGTCATAATAATGCCGGATGAAAACCGTGATGAAGAAGTGAGATTGTATCATTGTGTAGATCCCAGAGTCTGGAGAGCAGAATCTGCCGCCGCTGGAGGAAGAGGAAGGAGGCATCTACACGGTTCCTGCCAACATCAGACCCGTTCTCAGCACCTACAGGCTGGAGGTTTGGCTGCCTGCATGTGAAAGATGACAATGTTTATGGTCTTGTGTAAAAACATAAGGCTGGCATTAGTCTATATTTGTCTTTTTTTTCTCTCTATCTCCACCAGGTTTTATTCTGGGGCCTGAGGGAGCTGAAGAAGGTTCAGCTCCTGTCTGTCGATCGTCCACAGGTACATGACATGACAAGTGACATGAACAAGCTCTGTCCGATTTGGGGGTTTTACGTCCTCTGTTTGAACCTCACAACTAAGGGTTTTACGTCCTTTTTTGTGATGGTGTTTTGCTTTTGAAGAGAATTTGTGTTACTGACGTATTTCCATATTTATTGGTGTGTTATGTTGTGTCTTTTTGACTGCAGGACTAAAACATAGTGTCAGTTTTATTTACAAAGCCCAATATGAAAACATTTTAACAGGGAAAAAGATGTCCAACAGATCCTCTATAGTGATGAGTTGGATGTAACTGATGAGCGCCATTTGAAATGACAATATTTTTCCACCTTTTTTTTTTTTAAACAAAAGCACAATAGACATGATAAAAAAAAAACAGCTGGTAAAACATTCAACCAATTAAATAATGAAACTCTTTCTTTCGCTCTCTAGGTCTTTATTGAGTGTGCAGGTAAAACTTTGCGTTCCTCCGTCATTCAGAAGTACAAGTCCAACCCAAACTTCAGCACGCTGGTTGATGCCATAGAGCTGGTAAGACCATTACAACACGTGTAACATATTATAACATGTACAATAGAAAAACATCCTGAAAGCAGCAAATTCTTCTAGTGGCGGCAACTGAGACGTATATGCTGTGTTGACAAAACTATGCGGACCCCACCTGCCTACATACAATGATATTTTAGATAAAAGAGACGACAGCTATGGAGAAACCGTTTCCTGCTTCACCATGACAAAGTCAGGTCTGGGAAGAATTGATCTCAAAATCTTGTAAAATGTTAAAGTGTCCACATACTTTTGGCCAACCAGCGCACTACGTAACCGTGGTGTCCTCGGATGGAGTTGGGCTGTTTGTTAGCTAATTCATGCAGAAGTTGTGGAACCTGTTTTGCTGTCCTGTAGGAGTTACCAGAGAACGAACACCTCCACCCTCCTCTCAGTATCACTGTCGTTGACTGGCGGGCCTTCGGTCGCAGCACGCTGGTCGGGAACCACATCATCAACAACCTCAGGGCCTTCAAATACACTCCGCCTCCAGCCCTGCCTGCTCCCGTACAGACACACCCACCACCCAAAGTCACATACACCGCTGAACCTGCACCGACGCCAGAGCAACAGAGCGCTGAGGGTAAGAACAGCTGCACAAGCACATTAATACAGTAGATCTGTGACAATGACTGACAGAGAACATCTGATAACATCAACAACAACAACAACAACAAACTCCACTGGGCCCTTTAATCAGTGTCTAAAACTATGTCCTGTTGGGTCCTTGCAGTGGACCTGGAAAGTCATTGAAAAGTCCTTGATTTTGATGTTTAAGGTGTATGAACCCTCTGTCTCTGTCTCTATAGGACAGCCACAGCATGCTGGAGAGACCAGCTCCACTGTGGCACTAACAAATCAGGATTTCCTTATCACTATTGATGATGAAGCCCCGCCTCCAGCCCCGCCCACTCCTAAGCAAGAACCCAGGAAGAAAAAGGTGAAAGTTACCGCATGTGTACACGGAACAACATAAGTGACTCACACATACCACCGTCTGAATATCGTTTGCATGTTTTGTATGTTTTAAATCCAGGAGAGCGGCATGAGGAGCACCCACCGATCCACCAAGCGGAGGAGGCGGACCATCGCTGACGAATCGGCAGAGTGTGTCATCGACTGGTGGTCCAAATACTACGCGTCTGTCGAGAAGCAGGTGGCTCTGGTTGTTGAGCTTTGTTGCAAAAACGCAGAAAAAAAAATGTGCATACTTCATGAAATCACATGCATACTTTGTGTGTTCCAGGTCAAACAGAGGGACGGCTCCCCTTTCCCCCAGGTCTTTGAAAAAGGTAAGAACTCCACTGTCGTGTCTGTCATGTCTGATGTCAACAGTCCAGATCAGAGGGCTGTACTGGACTACTTCCTGGGATGTGATTGAGTTTTTCATTACGTGGTTATAACACATTATTTTGCCCCTTTAGTTTCATCTTGATGGATGCCCCTTGTACTTTTTTGTAATCCTCACTCTTAGCTGGCAGTATGTCCACACTAAGCCCTGGTGGCGCAGTCTTATGTCCACACTGTTTTTCAGACCAAAGTCGCAGCAGCGGATAAAACAGAAAACATCAGCCTTGTATTTTGGTGCGGTATGGGGAAGAGTGAGCTTCATCAGTTACATACAGTCAAGGAGACAAACCCTCTCTGTGACTGATCACACGGCTGTTGTCATTAAAGGGGAATTCCACCAATTTTACACATATCAAAGCCTGTTTACAGGTCTTATCAAGAAGTTATACAAAGACCGCTGAAGTCTGATCATTGCCTCAAGTGATGTCACTGGAGTCAGCATCTGTCGGGTTAGACGATGAAAAGAAAATGTGGTGTTGGGAAAAGATCTGACCTCTCCAATCTCCAGGCTACATTAGCCACTACTAGCAGAACACATCCAAATCGCTGACCAAACTGTTGCATTGTGGGTAATGTAAGTAAGTGTCAGGTTTTGACAAGGAGGAAAAAAAAAGATGCTGCATCCATTTTGATTTCTGTGTTGTATTCATGCTTATTACATCAGACATAAAATAGCGTTGTGAATGATGTCATGGTGCAGCAGCACAGGGGTCACTCTTCAGTCTATTAACACGTGTCACAACTGATGCTGTGAACTTAGATCTTTAATAGAAATGTGAGTAAAGCGGTTTTTACAAAGGGTCACCCACAAACACATTATTGTGTATTGCAGCTTCGCCGTTCCACAGTTTGCTCAGCGATGGAATAGACTCTCTGGGTAAGGACAAAGACTGAGAGAAGTTGTATAATTAAAGGCAATGGAGTTAACTTTGTTTTAACTTCCCTGGAGAGAATGTTTTGCTTGGCCTGAGTAAATCTTACCGGTTTCTGTTGTACAACTGTGTGGACAGATGTTTGCAGCTCTGTTTTTGGCTGATTTCAGATGTTACACTGGATGTTTGGTCCTGTCACTGCTTGATCTGCCCTGCAGCTGCCACTGTTACCCTGCAGCTTCTGCTTTTTAAGGATATGTTTAGCAGGGGACTCAGTTGTGGTGGCTTAGTATGATGCTTTTTATTGTTGAGGTGGGCAGCAGCAGCAAATGACAGCATTCATTTTTATACAATAACAGGATTTTTTTTTCAGCTTTTTGTTCTGGTGGAGATGAAGGGGGCTTGGTTTAAATCGCAGACATCACTTGTAGGTTTCTGAGTGACACTTTGGAGTTTCTTAAGTAGAAAAAAAACTGACTGAATCTAATCTTTTCCTGCTGTTGAACACTGTCATCACTGTGCAAATAAAGGTAGTAGTGTTCCTTGTGTCTCCACTGAACATATATCTTGTTTGCTCCATCAGTCAGCTCCCACTCGGACGGAGACAAGAAGAAAAAGCAGAAAGGAAAAGGAACTCTGGAGCCCAATGTTGGTCTGTCCACTAAACTAGCCACACTCAAGGTACTCGGATCACTCACAGTGCCAGTCCAATAAGATCACAGCTTTTATTATTGAGTCAGATGTTTGCAAAGTTACTCTGCATTTGATGAATTCATAACTGGACAGCCACTGGCTTACTGAAGAACACGGGTGTGTGGTTCTCCTTCCTGCATGTGTTGTGTATTTATTATGTATTAGATTAAAGATGTTGCTGTAATATGTCAGAAAAGTTTAGTGGAGTGATGCTGACAACCTCCTGCTTCCTGCAGCTGTACAACAGGGAGCTGGAGGCGGAGTTCGGGCCGTTCGATGACTGGGTGAACACCTACGAGCTGTTCAGAGGGAAAGCTGGTGATGAAGATGGGCCGAGTGATGAGAGGTTTGTCGGCAAATTTAAGGTGAGACAGTTTAGTTGAATGTCACCTGTTGGAAACCAGCGACACACCTTCACTATTGAACTGTTTCACTCTGTGCTTATGCTTCTGCGCAGGGGAAATTCTGCCTGTACAAGCTTACCGAGGACGAGGCAGAAGACTGGGATGAAACCGCAGACACGGGACACTTCAAAGTCAGCAGAGGAATCCCTCCCAACGGCCCGGTCCAAGTCCTCATACGGGTTTATATAGTCTCTGTGAGTCCTGCTATGTTCTGGACCTTGTTTTTAAATATTCAGTCAGGTTTCACATGTTTTCTTTGCGTGATTTTAAAAATGATGTCCACACCTCTCTCCCCAGGCGTCCAACCTGCACCCAGCTGACTCGGATGGGAAGGCGGACCCCTACATTGTGGTTCGCCTTGGCAAAAATGAAATCAAAGACAGAGACAACTACATTCCTAAACAGCTCAATCCCGTGTTTGGAAGGTAAAGAACTGCTGACTACATCCCCTAAATATCTGATCCTCATGTTCCTGACACACAACTTCTCAAGCCCGTTCTCCTTCTTCCAGGTCTTTTGAGATGCAGGCGACCTTCCCTCAGGAGTCTCTGCTGTCAGTGCTGATCTATGACTACGACCTGGTGGGAGGGGACGACCTGATCGGAGAGACTCGCATTGACCTGGAGAACCGGTTCTACAGCCGACACAGAGCCACCTGCGGACTCCCCACCGAGTACAGTCTGTACGTGAGGGTGCCTGCCTTCCTTCAGCTTGATTTGGAGAGTTTCCATTTGGTTCATGTAGGAACCATCCTGCTCTTATTTGAGAAGACTGTTAAAACCTGTGCCTGCTCTTCCTGTCTGTGTGTCAGTGACGGTTATAATGCCTGGAGAGACTGTCTGAAGCCGTCGGAGCTGTTGTCTAAGCTGTGCAGAGAAAATGGTGTGGATGGTCCTCATTTCAGACCAGGACGCATCACCGTGGCAGAAAAAGTCTTCACTGGCAAAACACTCTTCATGCATGAAGGTAAACTGGACAAAGTGAACACTGCTCAGATTTGGGGTTATCTACATCTGAACTGTACGGTTAACTGTAGCTTCCTCTGTCTTTATATGACAAAATGGGCAAAGATCAAGGGTCATATTTGTCCCTTCTGTTTTAGCTGGCTTCATCAGTATTTGTTTCATTTCTTGGAATTAATTATCAAACAATAACATGTTGGTCATGTCTCACATGCTGATGTACCTCATTGTTGCGTGGCCACAAGTGTGTTAAAGGTTTAAGCCACACTTGGATCCTGAGTCTGAAATAGGTGAGACAACATGCTCATTTTTCATCTTCATGTTAGTCTGTGTGTGTGTGTGTGTGTGTGTGTGTGTGTGTGTGTGTGTGTACGTGTGTGTGCGTCTCATCAATGATAATGTTGCATGCACATGTCCCAGACCAGCCGGTGGAGTCCTATGAGCACTTGTCTCTGAAGATCCTGCACCGCTGGGCAGAGATGCCAGATGTGGGATGTAAGCTGGTACCAGAACACATCGAGACCAGAACTCTGTTCCACAAGGCCCGGCCTGGCATGGACCAGGTAGGATGTAACTTGACTAACTAACTGAGCACGTGGATCTCTGCATGGAACATGTAATCAACCAGGCTATTTTGATATTAACTCTCATGCTTTGCTGCTGTTTTGTGTGGTCTAGAGATTCAGCATCTTTCCAGTTTTTCACTCATGATGTGTGTTTCCCAGCCAGGGAAACGTTTGTTGATAGTCATACTGATATACCAGCAAGATTATATATATCGGACACTAGCCTGTAGTTTAAATGTCTGGACCTTATGTGAATATGACAGACATGAAAGAAATATTGTATTTATTTGTAAATATAAATATATCTTAAGTTGTATATTTATATTATATAACTTATTTGTAACCATTTTAGAAACTGCATGGAGAGACAGAGGAAACCACATGTACTAGATGGTCATAGCAGAAAGCCAATGTGCTGAAGGGCAGTGTTTTACTGGCGTGCGCTCGTTCGCTCTCTGTCTCTTACACTCTCACACACATACACCTGACTGACTGACTGACTGACTGACTGACTGACTGACTGTCTGACTGTCTGTGAACGAGAGTAAATAAGTCTAGGCAAACTGTATGTAAAGAGACAGAGTTGCAGCAGCGCAGCTGCCGTGCACACGAGAGGCAGACAGTGTGTCCAATGCCGTTTGTTTTCTGAACCCATTCGTCTGGCTCCATCTTCACTTACCGTTTGTAAACACGGATAAAGTCGCTTTGGTGCTTCACTTCTTTCGCTCTGTCGTCAGTTCCCTCCGCACTTGTGGAGAGTTTAGTGGATGGGCGGGGCAGCGTGTCTGTGAGAGAATGTGATGCCGCTGTCTGAAAGCAGTAATGTGAGAATTTATACCCGATGTTTGCGATATTTTCATTTTATACATCCCACGTGGAACAAGCCGCGATATATTGCCCACCTCTAGTTTAGTTTAGTGTAACATTACCTCCGTGATTTTCAGCTGCATTTACTGTACCATTTTTCATGAAGCTCAAATTGTGCTTAAGTTGTGATCAGTATGAGTCTGTTAAAATGTTTAGTGTTTTTCTCACAGATCTCTGCATGCTTCTTGTCTCTCTCTGTGTGACTGTGTTTGTGTATGTATGTATGTATGTATGTTTGTATGTACAGGGTCAGGTGCAGATGTGGGTTGACTTGTTTCCCATGGATTTGCCTCATCCTGGACCTTCAGTGGAGATTTCACCTCGGAAACCAAAAGGGTGAGAGCTGGGTGTTTGTAGAAGTGTTGATAAAACAATATGTTTGGATTTTTGAAAAGGGGCAACTAACATCCACATGTGTGCGTTCAGGTACGAGCTGCGAATCATCATCTGGAACACAGAGGATGTGATTCTGGAGGACAGTAACTTCCTGACTGGTCAACAGTCTAGTGACATCTATGTCAAAGGGTAATTACAAGCTCCTTCTTTGTTCAAAATCATGATATTTTTTGTTTGCTTATTACAGTAAGGTAACTTTGGAAAAATGAGTTGTTATTGTGTCAAAGTTGAAAGTGATGCTTCTCACTAGCAGAGAAAGTGAAGTGAATTTGTGGTGCAGACATCTGGCCTGAAATACTGCTGCACAAAATAATTATAGGTGAATGTGAAAGGATCTGAAGAGGGGGAACTGACATAATGGTAGAATACCATTAGAGTATTTTCTTCCTCAGCTGTTTATAATGTAGTTGAATTGTAAGGATTCCATATTGATGAGTTTATGTGTACAATAATTGACTCCCTCACTCTCTGTAGCTGGTTGAAAGGTTTAGAGGACGACCGACAGGAGACTGATGTTCACTACAACTCTCTGACTGGAGAAGGAAACTTCAACTGGCGCTTTGTCTTCCCCTTCAGCTACCTGCCTGCTGAAAAGGTACTGACGGATACATATAAGTGTTGGTTCAAGGCAAAGTGAACCAAAGTCCCTACCAGCTCAGACAGAGCAAAATAATATGACATAAAGCCTATATACCTGCAGTGGATAGAAGATGAGTGTGAAATGAAACACGTGTTTATACTTATTCATTCATTCTCTCTCTCTCTCAGGTGATAGTGGTGAGAAAAAGAGAGAACATTTTCTCTCTGGATAAAACAGAGCAGAAGCTTCCTGCCATCCTTATTCTGCAGGTCTGGGACTTTGAGACACTGTCCTCTGATGACTTCCTAGGTTTGTGTGTTACTGCTTTTTTATGAGTATCTGTGTTTCTGTATTTGTATATTTATTTGACTGACTGTGTGTGTGTTTGTAGGCACTGTGGAGTTGGACCTCCATGGTTTCACTCGTGGGGCAAAGACGGCCAAGTCCTGTAAGGCAGACATGTTGACGGATGGGACAGAGAAAATCTCCATATTCCAGCAGAAGAGAGCGAGAGGCTGGTGGCCCTTCAGCAAATCTGGAGAGCTGACTGTACGTAAACACACACGCTGTACAGATTGCCAGATGTAGAGAGTTTTTTTTCAGGTGTGTGCTGTGTGTTGTGAATCCATCAGGGGAAGGTGGAGGCGGAGTTTCACCTTGTAACTGCTGAGGAGGCGGAGAAAAATCCTGTCGGCAAAGCCCGCAAGGAGCCGGAGCCACTTCCGAAACCAAAGTGAGTGATTGATTGTGGCAGTTATTGTTTTGAAACAGATGCAGAGTTTTTTTTTTTGAAGTTCATACTGTGATGTTTTGGTAAGTAAGTTTGTTACATTATTTTATTTTTAGCAAAAGTGAGATGATTGGCATCTAATTGTATAATAATGACATGCATTCAATAAATGCTATTACATGCATTCATTGTTGGGCCTTGGTTATTTGTGAATTTATTGGTGGTCATAAATGAAGAAATTAATATTAAAGTAAGTTGTTGTTGTTGTTGTTGTTGTTTTTAAACTTTCAAAGTGAATGTCATCATTTGGATGATGTAATGATGCCTAGAAGTTTTCAATGACAGGGTTTGCCCATGTAAAAAAAGTTCCAATACAAGGCATGTTTAGGAAAATGTAATTAATTAATCTCCAGGATTTGGGTGGTGTTTTGTTGTGGGATAAAATACCAGAGTTTGTGGCAGTTTTTAGTAACAGCTGTGATGAATGTTTGTTGTTGTTGTTGTTGTTGTCGTCGTCGTCAATGAAATGGGGAAGAAAATTGTTGCCATCTTCATGAAAAATCTAAGGCAACTTGGTGGTGGTATTGACAAAACCAAAATTTTCTTTTAGCCAAACCCATTTCACAGTTCAAACAAGGTTATCTTATTATTATATTATTGTTACCTTATAGACTCAAGAAAACTTATCTTATATTGTTACCTTATAGACTCAAGAATACATCCATTCCAGACACACAAGATGCTGTGATTTAAATTTACATGTTTTCCTGTGAGTGGCCGCATTTCTCCCCCATCTTTTTCCACAACACATTGTGTTTTTTTTTTTTTTCTTCTTCCAAAGAACCCCGACTGGCTGCCGGCCATCGGTCCTTTTCTCTGTCGTGTTATACGTTTCTGAAATTGTCGTTCAACCACAGCTGCAACTTCTAAATGCCGCCCGCGAGAGGAAGTGATGTCGCGTGCGTCGGCGCAGTGCGACCTGATGAAGTGAGATAAAGGAAAAACAGAAATATTACAAAATAATAACTTGACTAAATGAAGAGACATTTTAGCGGAGTTTTTAAATTTTGTAAACCACATTTAGTCTCGTTTACGTTGCGTCTCCGTCACGTGATAAAAGGTTACAATTTAGTCATAATTTTCGTTGACGAAAGCAACACTACATAGAAGTACCAAAATAACAGTGTGAGCAACCTAAGCAAGCAAACATGTACATGGACAAATGTTAGGAGTCAGTTAGCACTGGAACAGCTAACTCTTGTCTACTTACGTTGCTGCAGTTGTGCCATTGTGAATGTAGCGAGCTTTGATTGTCTAAGTCGCCTGATCGCCGTCCTTGCTCGGTGGACTCGCGCAGGTAGACTCGCAGGTCTTTACCCTCATCGGTCTTCACACTCAGAGGGCTGAACACGAGGGCTGACGCAGGGCTGACGCTCCTGCGACACACCGCTACTCAAATAGCACATGCGTCATTGAGCACAGGTGTTCACCAGGTCATCAACTCTGATCACGCGCACCTGACTACGCCAAATACTAATACAGCACATACTAATCAAAACCACTTCATTCTCTCCCTCCTCAGTCGTCCAGACACCTCCTTCTCCTGGTTCGTCAACCCATTCAAGTGTTTCTTCCACCTAGTGTGGAGAAGCTACAAGAAGTACATCATCATCGCCCTGCTCCTGCTCATCACGCTGCTGTTCCTCGCCCTGCTCTTCTACACACTGCCAGGAGCCATCTCTAACAAGATAGTGGGAGGATAATCTAACCTATCCTCATAATACATATTATATTATCATTTGCATTTATTACAACTGAACATCAGTCCTCTGTGATTGACAATCTCCTGTTTAATTCAACAAATTGCAAAACTGCAAAAGGACAATCTCATCTTTTTTTTTGTTCTTAGCAGCCTTCACATGTTTCTGGTAAACAATAAAGTGCACCAATCACTAAAAAGTTATTCATTGTCCCTGTCACACCACATTCTCATCATTACATACATCACACTTGAACATCTACAAGACAGACACATCAAACTTACTTTGGAGGGTATGTACATATGTATTTACATAAAACTATTTATGCCTCCTGCATGTAGGACTATGACTTTATATAAGACTGAATGTTATTAGAATGCATTACGTTTACAGTGACTGTTTTATTCTACTAATACTGGAATTTATATGTAAAACATTTACTATATAACAGCAAAAACAAGGTCCTCTGACTTTTTTTGCTCTGTACATATATTGTGGGTCAGGATGAGGAGCCACCATTGATTGAAACATTGTCATTTATGCTCAGTAAAGCAGTGAACTAAAGTTTCAGCACAGCCTCTACTTTTTTTTTGTTGTTGTCGTCAAAACTCAACATAACTGAGCTCCATCAGCTGACTGTTCATTTTAGTCTATTTTTCATCAGTGGTATTTTGAGACTACAGCTGTTACCATGGTTAAAGATTTCACATCAATCAAGGGGTTAAGTGAAAAAAGGCACTGTTTACTTCTTCACACTCACTCACACACAAATCAGGATTTAGGCTACAGATTCTGCATAACACCTTGCATTAAAAGACTAATTATTCTTTCACACTATCATTTTGTTTTTATTGTAGTTATTGTTTTCATTTAGTTTTAAACTTGTTTTGTCATAAACAAATCTTTTCCATCACAGTTTTCACTGACAAAATCAACACAACTATCTCATGACATATTTCTAATACATTCTCTTAATCTCAGTGCATGATCTCACTGTAAGATATCTGTGTCTGTCAGACAAATGCTCTGCTGTGATAGGCTGACCTGGGGGTAGGAGGAGGAGGAGGAGGAGGACGATGATGTTGACGTTACAGCGTGCTGATGTGTGGCCATGCTGGGGCCTCTGAGGAGCACAGAAGAGGTGGAGGAGGAGGAGGAGGTTATGAAGGGGACAGTGGCGGAGATGCTGTTATTGTTGAGGAAGCTGCTGGAGCTCTGTCTGTGGTGACTGCTGGAGGTGGAGGCTGAAACACAAGATGACAATTTACTACTTTAAAAACAAAGAAGTAGTTTTTCATGTGAAGAATCAGGGGGTACAATCCATGCTCCATGCTAGTGTGTGTGTGTGTTGGACCCGTTGAACACTACATAATAACTCAATTATCATAATTAATGTTCATTTCTGTGATTCTGTTTAAGCAGGAATATTAAACAGGCCTTTACAGGGTCCCTCACACATTCATTTGTAAAGTTGAAGCCTATTCTCTACTTGTGTTCTTCTGTGAATATGACACGATGATTTGGCCACTGCCATGTTTCTACAGTAGCCCAGAACAGACAAACCAAACACTGACTCTATCAAGGGCCTTTCCTCATTTTGTCTAATGGAGTCATGGGAGGTTCATACACTGAGGGAGGATCAGTTCACCACTAGATGCCACTAAGTCCTACATACTGGGCCTTTAAAAATCTGTTTATTTAGCTGGTGATTTATAAGAACCTGCTCCTGTATTCTGTCTGTGCTGAACTCAGCCACAGGATGATTTGGAGGAGCAGCGCAGTTACAAGTCCAGCTTTCATAATATCATACTTTTAACCAACTTCAATTCAGACTGCATTAGGTCAAATTCAGCTGTTCAGCTGTCAATCATAAAACTAAAGTCATAATCTCTGTCATTAAATATGTGGCTTTCACTGCATGATGTAGCACCTGGGACAGAACAGACTCATCTCAACTCTCCAGCTGCTCGGAGCTGCTCCTGGTGTTGGCTGCTGAGTGGGAAACCCAGTCTCACAAAGACCTGCAACGCCACTTCAGCCTAAGAGAGAGGCAAGACAAAAACTACAGCCTCTATGTAAACGATACTTTCAATGTAACTGGGAAAGACTTCCAGTGACTCCTAATTAGGGAGTAATAGTGAGGGCAGCTCACGTGTTAATTATTCAAAAGTAAGCCATGTAGCAGAGGCTGTGCAATTAGGTGATGTATGTACCTTGAAATCTTAAAGTGGGAACTGCTGCTGTTACATTACTCCAGGTAAAGTGGAGTCCATATTAACAACTCTCACACAGAATGAAACTCTAATCAGTCACCAAAAGCTTCATTCAAAAGCAGACAAAACACTAAACCTAACAACAGACAACCTCAGCGAGACAGTTTTGGGACAGAAACAGGTCGTTATCTTACATCCATAATGTCAAATGTCATCACTGACCTGAGCCTGGTTCAGACACGCCTGCAGTTTCCTCTTTGCCCTCCATCTGGCCACCCTCAGTCTGGTCTTCTCTCGACGCTCTCGTACCTTTGACACAACATCATCGTATTTTACATTAATGTTGTCATTGCAACAACACACTAAGAATATAACCTGATCTGAACTCTGTAATGTTGAACCGACCAGAATCGGCCAGCAGCGGCTGAGGCAGCGACTCTCCAGCTCTCTGCGTCTGTTGAGACTCCGCCGGCGGAGCTCGTTCCTGCGCAGTTTGTATTCTTCATAGAGGCTGAGGTCTTTAGTCCAGGGCCGCACTCCCTGACGTGGTGGGATACCGGAGGGCAAGGCCACACATCGACGGCAGGGAGGCTGTTGCTGGAGCATCAAATCTGAGAACAACACAAAACACACACACACACACACACACACACCACACACACACACAGAAAGGTTATCTGGACTTCTTTGACAAATGAAATTGAGTACAGATTACAGTTAGACTAATACATTACTACTTTCAATAATTATTGCTGACCTTCAGTTACTATAGGCAATTATCAATACTGATTTTTGTCCCAGGAGAAATAAGGGGGGGCACATAATGCCAGATAAAGACTGCTAATTCTAGTTATTTAATAGTATATATAGTGTATATATAACTCTCCTACTCACAGGTGCTTGGTCCAGCTGAGCTGAAGGTTGTACTGTGACTTCTCTGACTTGCTGGAAGTCCTGACCACTCTGTCCCTGAACTTTGAGCCTGGAGGAACAAACAGAAGCATCAACACACTGATATTCACTCCATTCCAGGAGATCTCTTATGACCAGTTATCTTTCAGATGAGCTGTTTTCATTCGGATCAGAACTCGTTGTGTGTCCTGCGTCTGGAGAAATTGCCAGTGATGTTTCCACATCTCTGGCAGATTTCTCCTCTGTTTTGATTACTGAACACTGGTTGTAAATAGTTTGTTGAAGAAAGAAACACTCTTATTTTCAGAGGGCCTGACTTGCCATTCTTAGATCTCACATTCAGGGTGTAGCCTCACCTCTGACTCTGAAAGATGACCCTGTCTGCACCTGGCAGTCCAACAGTAAGGTGGCATCACCTCCTGCTCTTCCTCTGGCTCCCCTTGATACAGATCACCTCCTCCTCCTCCTCCTCCTCCTCCTGCTGCTGCTGACGCGCTGGGCCTCCTGCTTCACCTGCAACACAACCACGCACTGTGTGTGACTAATCAGTAATACTCTAAGACTCTCTAACGAACGACTCTGTGCATCTTCACTGTCCACGTAACATTTAGTGTTTTAGTTCAGTACATTCTCATTCAAGTCAATCAAATTTTATTTATACATCATGGTAAATGGACTGCTTTTTATATTAGTTAACATTAACAACAACGACATGAAACACACAAAAGAACCTTATACTCATATTTGAGAAGCTGGAGAAAGCAAATGATTTTTTTTTTGTTTTCCTTTTGGTAAATTACTTAAAACGCGACAAAAACACTGATTCTTTTCTTGTCTATTGATTAACTGATTACCTAGCTAATCCATTCAGCTCTGGCTGTGAACACACAACAATCTTTAAATCACTTTTACACATCCATGTTGCGTATTCCCTTTTGCTCTCGTTTCAATTCCTTAGAAATGTTCATTTCATCTGCATATGCACATGTCAGATGTTATTGTTAGGAACTGCCCTGTTTCTTCAACAGCATTCACTCATATTTTAGTATTTAAAAACACATATCATGTAAAACTAAACAAAATGGAGATTACTTCTCTTAATCCATTTATTTCTTCTACTACAAATAAATAAAGAGAAGGAGACAGATTTTTGTCTTTATCCCTGTTTTTAAAAAACAAAACAAAAAAAGAGGTGACAGTGTGTAAAGCATGGTTCTGTCAGGTGTGTGTGTGTATATGTGTGTGTGTGTTGTCACCTGTAGAGCAGAAGAGGGCAGCGTGGAGCTTCAGCCTGTGTGGAACCATCTGGGGACAGCGGGCCAAGCCCGTGCCTGCTTCTCCAGATCCAGAGTCAGGGCGAGAACCGGAGGAGGGCCCACGACGGCGTCCACGCTCTCAGCTCGCTCTTTGGGATTGACAAAACTACACAAACAAGAAACAAGCATTTGATCAGCCTGCCTTCATCTGTGCAGGACACAGTGTGATACAAAGCCGACTCAACATATTGAATTTTCCTTTAATTTATCACCTGTTTCCTAAGTTTTGTGCAGCATATTTCAACTACAAAATATTTTAAAATATTATACCGTGGCTTTAATTTCTTGTTGCTCCTGGAGCAACATGTGCACTGACACCAACCTACAATACACTTCTATCAACCTATACATATTTTAGGAAGCCTGACCAGGGCAAATTTTAGGGCAGATGCCTGAAACAGAATGTTCTTCATGTGTAAAAACAACTGAGGTTTAGTTCCAGATGTATTTCTGTCTTTGCCCTAACGTTAGCTACAGCTTCAAAAATCTCATTTGACAGACTCACACACATTCGATCATCCCCACCCTGAGCCCCGCGGCTCTGTACCTGTGCTGCTCTCCAGAACTCTGCAGGTGCGTTCACTGACAGTGAGACAGGCAGCAGGTCAGGACAAGTCGGAGCTGGCGACTGCCGTGTCTGAATGACAGCGCACTCTGATGGCATGTGTGCTTGTGCTCTTGTGGAGAAGGTTGCATTCTGGGAGTACAAACAAAGGACAGGAGTCAGACTCAGTGGAGAAGGAAGGGAAAGTTAGAAGTGTCATTTCAGTGGTTGTTACCGCATTGACTGCTTCTCGTCAGCGCTCCGTCAGTGGTCCTGGTCTGAGCCAAGCAGGAGGCGAGGTCTCGGTGGAGGTAATGGTCCTGAACCACCTCTCTGTGTTTGGGGGAAGGAGGACGGGTGGGATGCGGACAGAGTGAAGTGGAGGCTCTCTGCTGCAGCTCCTCCTCCACCCCCTGCCTGTAGTACTCAAGCTTCAGCTCGTGTAGCGCAGCTTGGCTTCGAATATTGTCGTTCTCTTTCTCTTTCAGGGCTTTCTCCCTCTGCAGTGCCGTGACGTCCTCTTCATTTAGCGCCAACCTGGGCTTTCAGCTCCTCAAATTTGGACTCCAACTAACTTTGAGCATCTCAGCCAGCACCGTCTCCACCGCTCCATTCACAGGCCCGCTCGACACGGTGCCCATCTGACCTGCGAATCAGCGATAGCAGCAATGCTTACATCATTTTGAAAAAGAGCTGTGGACCCAGAAGACAGATAATCGATCCAGCTCTTTGGTCTACAAGTACGTCACTTCACTCTCTAACAATCACAACAGGGGAAAATATACAATTACAGCAGAGAGAATGAATCACATTGAATATTTAGCATAATGTCATTAAGGATCAGCTTATGCTTGTTGGAAAATCTACAACCAACAAAAGCAAACAAATCAAACAAACTAAACAAACAAACAAACACAAACAAACACTAGGGACAAATGTCTTTTTTTGCACAAATGTTCACCTCTGTGAAACATATCTTTATAGATCCCAAAACCAAATACATGACTTTTGCCTAAAAAGTGACATTGATAATCTATTGCTTTGCTACAGTTCCTGGACCCGAAACTTTGTGAAAAAAACTTCTCTTAAAAGGTAAGTTAAAGAAAAAAAAAGCAGTAATTGTGGCATGTGAAAACGACCGCTCTTGCTTGTAAAGTTCAAAAACATTAACTGCATTAGGGCTTATTGATTGTTAGGACTTGTAAGGCAGGTAAGAATCTGTCAGCTGTATCATTACAAAGATGATTCGAGGCTGTGCTAACACATCACAACCACAGGCTCCTCTAAGCAGCTGACTGAGGATCTGAAATTGAAGGCTAACGTGATGCTAAAAAGCAAGGAGAGGCTTTAAAAAATTATCAAGAGAGCTTCCAGCTTCAAATTTTCCCATTTCTTTACTTCATAAAGGACATTCCTTTAATTAGGAATAACTAATCGAAGTCAAGACAAGGATCTGAAAGACCAAGAAATATATTAAGATATAACGCCAAGGCATACTGCCAATAAGAGAACAGCGACCTGGGGAGCGTCATGGGTGTTTCGCCAGAACACCATCCACGCTGGGTGTATGCAGGAATAAACAATGCAGGAGTTTGGTCAAACAGTCTTAGGCAGAAGTAGTACTACGAAGGCAAAAGGATTGGGAAAAACAGGAATGCACATACACACACATAGCCACTTGAGGTATAAAGGACATGTCACGATCTGTGTTTGGTGTTGTTGTCTCCGTCTTGTCTGCAAGTGGGGCCGCAATTGAATAAAAAGAGATTCCCAACCTTGAATACGGCTGTGTCTGCGACTGTCTGATTCCCTTTTTTGATCCACCACTTCTACGCCACAACATTACGAACCTTTAAATGTTTCCATGACAGAAACTTTAGCTGACCATTCAGACTCTTTACAGCTCCATCGTACAAACAGGTCTTTTAAACTGAACGCCAATCTGTGCAGAGGTTATTAGGCTAAGCGTTAGGCACCTCTCTCTCTGTACACAGCTTCTTTAGAGGTCAGACTGTGTTGATTATTATTCTGTTAAAGTCTACATTTGGGGTGAGCAGAGAAAATGTTTCAACTTTACCGCTTGTGATAGTTTATCGATTGAAACAACTGGTTTGCTGCTCGGCTTCTTAGCTAACACAGGATCAGAACTGTGGTTAGCTAGGTAGCGCTAACTTATACTTTAAAAGACTGTTTGAGGTTATTTTTTCAATTACTAAAACTCCCATTATTAAGCACATAGCATAACTGAAAAAAGTGTGGTTAAATAATGTTTTTTTCACATGAATTTGGGAGTAAAATCACCTATCACAGTAGCGTAATTTTCTGCCATCGCAACCAATTTGGTGAAGGCGTTTCCGGGGTCAAATTCAACCCGCGACACAAAAGCTCGTCCAATTGAAAAACGAGGGATCACTTCTGTATTGAGAAATCTTTCTTACTCTTTTTTCCCCCCCCCCCATTTTTCGTTTGGCAGGAACTGTTGGTGTTTTGGGAGCATTGGACCACTATTTCTGATCAGGACTGTGGGTTAGATATTGAGAACCATACCTCATTACTCAAGTTATGTTTTCTTACTCACTATTTAAGACAGTCCAAACTCTTCTATTTAAATGAATAACAACTGAAGTTTATTATATACGTTTTGTAACTGGATGAACTTTAAAAAAAATAAAAAATTATTGATAATTGTTTATTGTTTTTATTAAAAAAAAAAAAGGTATGAGCATAATAATGTTAAAACAGGTGCTGGGCACTGTAGTTTTTAAATAGCAAATATTAGCTGATTCTCAAACTGCTTTTGGTTTGGCAACATATTTTCAGCTTTGCGATAAATTCACATTCGGTGGCAGCAGGACAGTGTATATGGAGAATCGACTGTTAAAATTTAATACAACCTACAATAAAATACAAAGTTTTTTGTTCGGGGAAGATTAAACAGCTAGCAGTGCTCATTCTCCCCTCCTCGCCCGCGCGGGTAGCATTAAAAAACCATGGTAGAAGCAAGAAGAAGAAGTACAAAACAATGCAAGAAGGTTTGTTTTCATATATTAATTTAAGTAAAGTATAGTCTCCCCTCATTACTACATAACAACAGATCTGGTCTGTTTCAACAATATCCGCAGCACTCATCTTTTTCCACATCTTTGGCTTTTAACTTAACAATAACCTTTCCACCTCAGGACCGAAGCATACAAACAATTTTTTGCAGCATTTAAAATTGAAAAAAACACTAAATAACAGGTGGATGTGGAATCCAAGCTCTTAGAGACTCTCCCTTGTTGTTTTATACCTTGTTTGTTTCTTAGTATGCGTGTATTGGG